AGCTTTACTGTAATGCATTTTCTCATTATTTTCATTTTTTTTCATCATCATCATCATCATCAACGAATATGAACCAACCAATATATGACGATAATAATTTTGTCATTCATTTCATTCCACATTTTTTTTCATATGTTATTTTCATCATCATCTTTGTTGTTTGTCGTTGTTGTTGATTATCATCATCATCATACGGTAGTTTTTTTGATATTTAAGAATTATTCTTTATTGTCGTCTCCGTCATCGTGAATAGTGAATAAGACGACAACAACAACAACAACAACAATAAACGACGACGACGACGACAATAAAAAAAAGCTATAGCTTTTTGTTGTCGAACATTTATCATCAAAATATTCGTACACATGCGAAAACATGAAAAAAACCTGAATAAATAAATGAAAAAAAAATCAACAGCAATGATCATTACAACAACGATATATATTGCACCACAACAACATCCATACATATTTTTATCATTGAACACAATGGTCATGTACATAGATAATCATTGAAATGGGTATAATGAAAATTTTTCAAAATTATTTTTATTATATCGACGACGACGATGAATATCAATCGATCTGATATTTTGATCATTTCTGATCTGTATATTTTATTATATTTTCCGCATAACAAAACATAAGTAAACTAAAACGATAATAAAGGAATTTTTCGTGATGGAGAGAACAATAACAATAAAAAAAAATGTGAATGCCTGACTTTTTTTTTGATTCCAGGAACATTTTTTTTGACTACCGAAAAATGTAATTTTCGTTTCATTTCCAACAAACATTATGATGATATTCTTGCTTGTTTTATCGAATATAAATGGATTCTTATTATTTTCATTTCTTATTATTATCATTATTGCAATGGCAAAAAAAATAAAATCGAATCAAAGATGAAAATCAACAACGACAACGATGACGAAAAAAATGGACATCAAAACAAATAATAAGAATCGATATCGATTTTTTTTTGTCAACATAACATATATGATTATTATCAATAATTTTATTACCCACACACACACACAAAAATAGTTTCCATTACATTTATTACTTCTGTGAATACTTACAAAAAACTGAATATTCTTGGAAACAATCCAGCGTTGTTTATGTAATTTCATTGTTTTTTTCTCTTCGTCATAAAATAAAAAATCTTGGCCATTTGATATTGTCGTTGTTGTTGCTAAGCCTACTTTTTTGTGAATTTTAAAAGATTTTTTTTTGCATTTTTGAAAAAATTTCAAATCTTTAGACAATCCATTTACATCACCATTTTTATCTGATTTTATCATGCACGAAAGAAAAAAAGAAAAGAAAATGCAATCGGTATATGCACGCACATAACATGTCAGCCAGTCAAACAAAAAAAAAAAAAAAATTGAGATAATTTCATCTGGATCTAATTTTCAATCCAATCGGATCAAAATTCTGACATACCAGTAATCATTATTATACACACACACACACATAATCGACAACTAAGTGACTGACTGACATTTTCCATACACACACACACACCAATCAATTTAACAGAAATCCGTGTGTGTGTGTGTGTTTCTATCGATTCTTTTCTCAATTCTAATATCGAGATATAATAATAATAAGATTCTCATCTCATTTTCTCATCATCATTCTCATCATCATGTTGAAGAGATTCTTCAATTCTTTTCTTGTAATTTGAATATCGATTCCATGAATACTTTTCAACACTATTTGTGTTTAGCTGCTGTTTTGTATTATATACAAGTGGCGCTATTTAATTTAAATCAATTTTATCAAACTTATCAAACACACACACACACGCGAAGAAATAAACAAAAACATACGAGCCAGAAAAACAATTTTCCATTCTTTGTCCTATTTGGTGATAAACAACATTTCAATCATCAAAATCTTCAAGTGGTTTTTCATTCTTTTCGATTTTTTTTACATCCAAACCAAATTGAATATACAAAAGTGATGAGTGATTTATTCAATCAAAATGAACGCCTGTGTGTGTGTGATGATCATTTTAATTGATTTTTGTTCTCTCATTTCACCACTCCTTTTTGCTGTTGAAATCACTTTATTTCTCATCCATTCACGGTTAAAATTGTTTTTTGCAATTGATGATTGAAAATCGAAAAAAAATAGAAATCAATTTCATTCTAAATCGAACCAATAAAAAAAACTCAGCTAAATTCAGTGTCAAATCCAGTTTATACACACACACACACACAAATACCACCTTCTAATCGATAAACGAAAACTTTGCGAAAACATGCCAACCACTATTGACACGCCCTCTGCTCTATTTATTTATCATTATCATATGTATGTGATGAATAATTTATTCATAATGTTTTTCTAACCATTTCACTCATATATTCAAATAAACAAATGAAAAAAATGCCAATTTTTTCTCCATTTCGAAAATAAAAACAAAAAAAAAATAAAAAACAAACACAATCATTTGTAATTCATATTTTCATCATTTCACCATGATACACACATATATACTGGTGGAAGGACATTTTTCTCTTGTCTTTTTTTTCACAGGTTTCTCCTTTTTTTTCTCTATCTCCGTAATTCTGGAATTCTGGTCGTATCACCATCATCTCGTTTTTTTTGTTGTTGCAAAATTCATGATGATGATGATCAGTATATTTTTCTTTTTTATATTCTTATAAATATTAATGTTTAATTGCTTTTGTCTTGTTTTCAAGCGTTGCTAGTGTGGTGTTGTGTTGGTCAATTCATTTTTCCATTGTCATGTTGTTGTGGTTTCTTTTTTCTTTGTTTGGTCCAAAAAAAAAATGAGACCAGAAAAAAGTTTCATCACCATCATTGCATTAGATATTTTTCTCTGCCTTTGATCTAGATATGATATGATTCTTCGTTTTTTTTTGCTGTGTTTGTTTCTCTCATCTAATCTATTTCTCATAGTGTGTTGTTGGTGATAATGATTTGCAGTAGTAGCACCAAGCAAAAAAAAAAAAAAAAAATTCTGGAAATTGTCGCCTTTAAGATGATGATGATGATGAAAATGGTGAATCCTTTTTTTTGATTTTCTCTGTGTGTATACGTTTCCATAGAATATTCTTTCTTTTTCACACCAAAAAGATTATGATGATTACGATTCACTTCTACTACGGCGATGATGATGGATCACATTTTTTTCCCAAAAGTATATTTTTGTCGAACTCATTTTCCATTCTTTATTTTTTCTTGCCATCACAAATTTCATATTCATTTTCACGAAATTATTATTTCATAATCATTTCGAACATCATCATCTGCTTACTCATACACGATGAATTTAATTTATCGATTTTTTTTTCTTCTTTTCATTTCATAAAGCTGAAATTTTATTCCATGAAATAAAAGAATTTCAGTTCTAAATTTGATTTCCTTTATTTTATTTTATGCCGTCAGTTTTTAAAGTGCACATGTGTGTGTGTGCCTGTTAATTCTGAAGAGTTAATCACATTTAAATTATCATTTTGTAGTGTAGGAAAAATTCTTCTGTTTTTCTTCAACACTTTTTGGTCAATGTTTGTTTGTTTGTTTGTTGGTACGTGTGTGCTGTTCAAACGAATTGAAAAATATTTGGATCCTCAGGAATTTTTCAAGTCTTTTGCAAGCATCTCATCATCATTTTTGATTTTTGGTTTGTTCAAGAATCGATTCGATTCGATTGAATTGCAAAAGCAGTAACAGCAGCAGCAGCAGCAGCAACCTCAGACACGTATTTAGTCAATTTCTGTGGCAAAAAAAAAGAGAAATATGCTAAGTGGATAGATGTGTGATGTCGGGGTGTTTTTTGTTTTGTTTTCTTTTTCTTTTTCTTTGATTTTCGTGTTTTGAATACGAAAATATTGAATATTTCTCTTTTGATCGACGACAAATTTTTCTTCTTTTGGATTTTGTTTTTTTCCTGGTTACCAAAATTATCGCCATGTGAATACAATTGAAATGAAAACTTTTTCGAAAGTTTCAGTCAATTTAATTTTTTTTTTTTGAGAACGACAGTGGAAAAAATTTGTCTTTCATTTTTGTTTTTTCCCGTTCGTTTTTCGGATTAAAACAATGAGAATTATCGTAATTGTGAATATTCACAAATGTTCTGTCGGTATACCGAGAAATGTGTGTGACATTCTCGTACACCCGGGACCCGAAAAACAAACGAAAAAAAATGCCGACATTCATACACACACACACACGATAATGATAATTTGCCAAAGTCTATCTCTCTTTTTTTTCAAATGAGTTTATAATATTCATACGACACAAACATACACAGAGATAGAAAGGATTTACCCAAAAAAATAAAAATAAACGACAAACACACACTGAATGATGTGGAACCAAACCAAACAAAACAAAACAAAACAAAAAAACTAACCGACCGACCGACAAGGCCTAGCCAGTGATTTGAATTCTTCTCTCACTTTTTTTTTTTCCTTTCATTTCACATTTCAGTCGATTTGATTCGATTCAATTCATTCAGTCGTCGTCGTCGTCGTTTTAGTTTTTTTTTATTCTTGAGAGAGTGAAAAAAATCTACGCACATAATAACAAATGACACCATTAACGCGAAAAGTTTTTTTTTTTTTTTTTTTTTTTTCATTGTTTTCACTCTCATTCACTTTTTCTACTCGTGCGTTCCTGTGAAAATCAGTCTCTTTATTCTAATTTCTTTTATTTTACCATTTCTTTCAGTTTTGATATGAAATGGAATGGAAATAACTTTGTTGTTTTCATTGTTGTTGTTGTTGTTGTTGTTCTAGGCCACATTAAACGGTTTTTTTCTTCTTCTTAAAGTGACTGTTTTATTATCTTAGAGTAAAGCGAGAAAATTAAATGCAGAATTTATGCAAATAATAACGATGATGATGATGATGATGATGGTGGTGGTGGTGGTGGAAAAAAAGTAAATTTTCTTTCGTTTTTTTTTTGTTATAATTACTAAAAGTCTATGGATTTATAATTGAAACAAATCACACATTATTCAAGTGTCATATAGAATTTATTTCTCGTGGAACAAAAAACCGAATGGGTTTATGAAGAAAAATTTTTCCGGAAAAATACTTTCCTAGAAGTTTTCTCATGTAATTCAAAATTTTATCAATTTTTTTCCAGTGCTTAATAAAAAAAAGTCAAAGTTTATTTTGTCTGTTTTTTTTTCGTTTGAATTTTTTTTTGTTCAAGAAGAAAAAAAAATGAAAAATTGATCCAAATCAAGTGTGTAGCTGAGAAAAAAGCTCCAGTCAATTGTTGTTGTTGTTGTTGTTTTAGGTCTTGATCTGTTTAAAATTGTTGTTGTCAAATTTTTCTGGCAACATTTTTTTTTTGCTTAAAAAATAACAAATTCAAACCACCAGAAAGAGAGATGGTTGTTGTTGCTATTATCTTCTTTATCATTTTTCAAACACGAACAGCATCAGCATCAGCAGCAGCAGTACAATTATTTGGTGACCATGATTGGCGATAATCCTTGCCCAATTTCCAAGACAATGGTTTCGGTTTCCAACTATCCATCATCCATTTATCACAGATAGGATTAAAGAACTTGTACATTACACACACACACACACAGTTCAGTTCGTTATAATAACATATTTTTTTCGGTTTTTCGTTTCGTTTCGTTTCGTCGTACAGACAGGAAAAAAAATCCGAAAAAAATGAAATAAAATAAAAAAATGACAAGAACAAAATAAGTTAAAAAAATCTTCTTCAAAAGAAAACTGAAGTGAAAAACTGTGTTTCATTTTTTTTCTTTTGTTTCCAGTTTTTGTTGTTGAAAAAAAAGAAACCGAAATTACCTCATAGATAAATTTGACATTAACATTCAATGGTCTGGCATCCGTTTTGGCTCCTAAACAATCGTCAGCAAAATCGACCAATGAATTCACATCAAAATCGACTATTTGAAAAAGAAAAGAGCGAAATAAATCAAGAATTCTAATAATGTGGCTATTTGTGACCATATAATAAATGAAAAATACAAACCATTCAATGCCATTTCAGTATTAATGACCATAAAATTAGCTTTAGTAATCAATGAATATTCCATACGAGAAATTTGTTTCAATTGTAATTTATCGGCCATAGCACGTTTTAAAATTTCCGTGTTTGTTGGTTGATTTTCACAATTCAAAAATGGTAAATCTAATTTCAATGTTAATTTATAACGCATTGCCAGTTCGATTTTGGTGTTGAACCAAATCTTATCCAAATACAGTGGTAATAATCCCGAATGGCTGAAATGTTTATTACGTATATCACAAATGTTTAGATTTTCATATTCTGCACCCATTAGATTCAATGTCAATTGTACAGCATCATTATTGTTGGCTGTATCTTTTTTTCTACGTATATCCATTCTACCGGACATAAAATCAAAATTAAACAAACGTGCAGCAGTATAAAATCTGGTTTCAATTTCTTTTTCATCATTTTCCAATGTTTTTGTTATGATACTACGATTAAAATGTGCACCAATATAATCAGATCCAAATGTTTTATGTTCATAGCATTCTTGATGATGATTTGCTTGTACATCATTTTCATTTTCATTATCATTGATAATAACTTTACCGCTATCAATTTCATTATCTTCATCATTCGATTTAATCAATTCTTGTATTTTTTTCCATTTCATCCAATTTGATGATGATTCAGGTTGATATTGACGACAAATGACATTATTTTCATTGGAATTTGATTGATTTGGCTGTGGCTGCTGGTGGCTGTTGATCATTAGTTTCACGTTTTGATCGTTGTTGTTGTTGTTGTTGTTGTCGTTCTAGAGAAAGAAATAGAAATAGAAACAATTATCAATCTGCAACACACTGGTAATGCAATCATCGTTAAACAAACAAACCAAAGTGTTTGACAATTTTGTCACCATAATTAATTATTGTTGTGGATAATGATGGATCATCTGCTGTTTCTGTTTTAGAAGGACAAAAAAAAATGAATAAAAATCTGGTCTGTTTTCTGTGTTGTGTTTAATATTTTCTTACCTGATTCTGTCGCCATTCCATTTATTGAACGACGATTTCTTTGTTTCCGTTGTTGTTTGGTATCATCATCAGTATTTAGTTTCTAGAATCCAGACACAATAAAATGATGTTGATGATGATGATGATGAATGGAAAACATATGTGATGAAAACAACAACATAGACACACACACACAATGTGATAAGAAGAATCCAGGGCCAGGTTAGAATGTACATTTGATGTGCGGGGAGAAATTTGTTGGTTATCACATCACCCACGCCATGTGTGTTTATGTGTGTGTGTGGTTCATTAATTTCAGAAAGAAAAACGTCCACATCAGACCGAATAAAAATCCGGAATCACAAACAACAACGACAATGAAACACACGAATAATGTCACAAGACACATAAACACACATTTTTAGCAATCGTAAGCAAAAAAAAAAAAAAAAGGAATGAATGAATGAAACAAAAATAAATCAAAATTAATGTCTTTTCTTTTTTTTTCTTTGGGTTAAGAATCACGAATGAAACAGAAACAAAAATCAGAATATTCTCCAAACATTACTAACCACCATTGAATATTGCATATTTAAATCCAGATGTTCACGTAAAAATCTATCAATAACATGTTCATCGATTGTTTTTTGTGTTGAACGTTTTGTACGATCATTATTTTTCATCGTCCATTCTGTCGTTGATGATGATGTCGGTATAAAACCTTGAAAATATCCACCTAAGAGAAAAAAATTTCCAGAAACATTTCCGAAGTGAAAAAAAAATTTCCGACTTACCTGATGCAACAACCATATTGCCACGAATAAGTTGTACTTCTTGTACATTAAAATCCAGATTTTTCATAATCGATTCTGATGATTTCAAATCTTCTGAACGAAATCCTGGTCCTTGTTGCTGCTGCTGTTGTCTTCGTTTAATGATAATATCATCTGTTTTAAATTGTCTTATCACTGAAACAATATGTTCAGATTCATGATCATCTCGGAATGATGACGATGATGATCGTTTTGAAAGTCGCTGCCGTTGTTGTTCTACGGATGACCGATTCAAATAGTTTTGTGGTTCACTGTTATTGCCGCCGGACATTTCTTCATTATCAAATTCCATTTGATAATTACAATAATGTAAACCTAAATCACTTTCTTCAACGGTACGTTTTTTACGTTCATCTAGCTGTGTGGCGAATGAACGTGCAATAAACTTTTTAAATTGTCTAACATTTGGATCCTGATCCTCGTCGGATAATCGTATGTTTTGTATGGATCCATCCGATAATTGTATAAAACGAAATGGTCTACCATACATTTCGCTATAATTTTCTGTAAATTGTTCCAAATTCACTGGTTCATCATCATTATTTGATCTATGAACCATTGGATTTTGTCGTTTACGATGTCGACTTGATGATGTGGTGGTGGTGGTAGTAGTACTAGTAGTGGTTGTTGGTTTTTTTGCATCAACATTATCATCAGCATCACATTTGAAAATATTTTTTACTGGTACTGGTGTTTGTTGTTTTTGACGTTTTTTTGACATTAATGATTGCATAAAGCCAAATAATTTCCTCAATAAATCCATGAACCAATCGGCGAAATTTTTACTGAATTCACTGAAAAATCCATTTACAGCACCAATCTTTAAATTTGGTATTTTTGTTTCATTTTTATTATCGGTCATCATCATTTTATCTAAATTTTTCAATGTTTGAAACAATGACGCCATCTGCAGTGATGTTTGCCCACTATTTTGGGAATTATTTTGTTGATTTTTTATACGAATTGGTTGCATTTTACTGATCATAACTTCAAATATTTGTCCCGGTTTCAAGTGGCCATCAGTACGATTTAACCAATTGATTTTTTGTAAACATTTCAATTCTAAACCGGTTTTTATTTGAATTTGTTGTCGATGATCACCATCATCTTCATTGGCAAAAAGGCTACTTTGTGTTGCCATTACATAATTGTATTTATCACCAACCTAAATTTATTGATCCATCGATTGATTGAAAAACAATAGAATGAATTAGAATAATCAAATGGCGAGTAGTAGTGGAAATTTTTTTTGTTCTGTTTTTCATTTACTTTACAATTGATGGTGGAATAAAGATGATCACTATCATCATCATCATCAACATTTGATTCTTCATTAAAATCTTCATCAGATGATCGTTGTTGATCTGAAATGATTGAACAATGTATGGATGAAATCCATAAAAAAATGAACAATAATATGATCCATTTGAAATTTGATCGATTGATTATCATCATGATTGAATTGTTTTTTTGAACGAAAAAAAAAATCACACGCACACACACACACACTCGCAGACAGACACACATCAACTGATGTTTTTTTTTCCACTGGGATTTTTTTTCCAATTCAACAACCAAACAAAAAATAAAATGAAATGAAATAAACCAAACCCTTTTACAGTATTTATACACACAACACACTCATCAGTACCATTATCATCACTACAAATTATATGATTATGAAATGTAAAACTTTACATTTCATAACATAAAATTTATTCATCATTCATCAAGTGTTGATTATGATCATTTTGTTTTTTGGCTTTCGGTTTTTCGGTTTCATTCGTGATTCAGATTGTTGCATCCTGAATAATAATGATGATGACGATGACAAAGATGATTATATGTGATGGTTGGTTGATTATGTTATGGCTAAATAAATAAACACTGGAATTCATCAATCATTGACAAAAACGGATGAATCATTCAAAATGATGCCATTCACTTTTTGTTTTAAATCATCATCATCATTATCATATGCATGAATTTTTATAAAATGTTGCCAACAACAACAACAACAACAACAAAAACCAATGAGACAATTGTTGTAATATCTTATCACATGTGGAAAAGAAAAAATTTTTTTTATTCGATTTGATTCGATTATTAACACTTGAAATGCTCAATTTTAAGCTTTTCGGTTTTTTTTTTTTTGTCTTTGAGGCAAAAAAAATATAAACACGATTATTCGGAAATCTATCCATTGGCCTTAGTGATAATTATTTTTTCAAATCAAAATCTGTTTCGCTTATCATGTATTCAAAGAAATAGAAAAAAAACAAACGAACGAACGAACGAACTAATGAATGAATCATTACAATAAAATTTTGCAATCACCTTCACAAAAGAGAGTGATAGAGAGAGATAGAAAATTGAACAAAAAAACCTTGAAAATTTTTCATCACAACAACAACAACAAATTAACCCACAATGCAAAAAAAAATGGAAAAAAATATTTATTTATCAATACAAGGATTTGCCGCTAGATGGCAGTTATTACAAAAAGAAAAATAGTTAAAATAAAATAAAAAAATTGAAAGCCATTTAATTATTGCCATTAATATTATTTGGTTCAGCCCATTTTGCTTGTAATGTATGGCCATGAATTTTTATCAATCCAGCAACGAATGATCGTCGTGCACTTGCAGCTGTTGCATGATCACCGAATTCAATGATTGCTTGTAAATTTCGATCACATTCAAAATTGATCAAACCATTTATCATCCCATTAAATGCTGTTGGATCATAATTATTTTGAGCAGGTAATGGAAATTGAATATTTTTCACATAATATAAACGCAATTGTTGTCGTAATTGATTCGATGATTGAATTGAATTCGGTATACCAGAAATATGAAGACGTTTATTATTAACAGAAAATTCCACATGCACTGGTGGATTATTCGGTGATCGTAATGTTTGACCATTCAATAATTGTACGGCACGATTTGCAGCATCGACAGTGCCAAATATGACATATGCTTGTCGTTTACTTGCACCAGAAAATGTTACCAACAATCGTACTTGGTAAATGGGGCCAGCTTGACATAGAAATGGCAGCAATTCATTTTCGAAAACATTGTTCGGTAAATTGCTGATATATATTTCTTTTGCTTTAACGTCATCATATGCTGAATTTTCAAGAAAATCAGGATCATTAGGACCAAAAATACGTTGTCCATTTTCAAAATGAACATGATAATCTTGATCATTTTCTTGTGACGATAATGATGGTTGGTGGAACATTTTTTTTCTTGTCAAAAAAAAAATTTAATGATGAAAAAAAATGAAATGAATGAAATGACCAAAAATATTTTCTGTTTTTATAACTGAAAAACACACACACACACACGAAACAAAATGATCCATTCGTAAGAATTCTACCTGCTTCTTTTTCTTCTTTTTTTTTTCATTAACCAATTCTTCATATCAGTAATTTTCATCAATAAAACCATTCACTACCATACCACTATCACTAGCCCCAATGATCAGTTTTCATTATCACCATTGCCCCTTTGGGATAAAAAAAAACTAACTCAAATTTTTTTCTAATCCCAACAAGTGTTTGTATGTTGTTAATGAAAAAATTTTTCAATTTTTTCAAATTTTTTTTTCTTTATCGTCACAAACAACAAGCAAAGGAAAAAAAAGTTTTCTGTTCGTTTGTTCGTTTGTTTGTTTGTTTTTTTTCCGTGAAAGGTTATTCAAACCAACACACACACACACACACACACACGAATCAATGTCATCGAGATAAGCGAAAAAGAGGGGTAATTAATCCAAGGGAAAAAAAATTTTTTTAACGTAAAAAAACAAACAAACAGAAAAAAACTTTTTTCAGATACATTTTTTTTTCGTCGCAAAAAGGTATGGGAGGAAAAAAAACACAAACAATCATTTCGTTTTGTTTTGTTTCGGAAAGAAAGTCAAAAAAAAACACTAATCACTGTTTTCGAGATAAGAGAAAAAAAGTGGTAATTAATCCAAGGAAAAAGAATTTTTTTTATTACTTTTTTTTTAAATTTTTTCTTAATCATATAAAAAACAAACAAAAGAAAAAAGTGAAAAAAAAAAAAAATTGATAAGCAAAAAATCTTTGCTGCTGTTGTCGTTTTTACTGGTCGTTTGGCAGTTTTTTTTTTGTTGGTTCCAAAATATTGAATCAAAACACACACGCAGAGAGACACACATACACATGTCTCATATAGATACCATATAAACTTTTTTTACGCTGGTAAGAAAAATGATTTTAATAATTCAGATAAAATGGGCCATTTTCTTTTTTGACTCTACATTGAAAAAAAATGGGGAAAAAAGTCTATGTAAGCCACGCCTTTTTTATACAAATATTTCAAAACAATATAACTGTTACTGTACAAAGTTTGCCCTCTTTTTCCGGTAGGATTTTTTTCTATGTAGTGCCATTTCGAAATGTGTTGTATATTTGGTGTAGAATGAAACGTATCATAGAACTATTTTGTTCGATAGTTCGAATGAAATTTTGTATTTAGTATTGTATTTTTTGAAAATAAAATTTATTCGATGATTGCTCATTATTATGAACACATTGTGTTATTTCTTTTTGAGTTTGTGATTTAATCATACATTGCCTCTGATTTATAACACGAGATCGTCGAATATTTCACAATATTCTATTTTATGTACAACGTGAACTGGCCTAGTGGTCAAGAATTGGAGGATTTTTTTACAATATGTAACAATAGGTAAGCAAATTCTAACCATTTGATTATTGAATGACGCTGCAAATTATTCATTTTTCATTCATTTAGCCGAGCATCCAGCAAATCTAATGCTGAACACAAATTATATACATCCGTTTTGCGGAATCTGTTGAAATAACAGTTACCACACCCATCCATAATTATTCGATTTGCAATGGTCGAACATCCAAATAATGTTATGGCTTCACAAATAGAATGCCGTTTCGTGATAAGATACACGCCATCAGAAATACATTTTAGAGTATTTGTTGATCCTGATGAGGGACTTGAGGATAGAGTTGATGGCGATAACAATGGATATATAATATTTTAATATCGATATTTATATTGTTTTTATAAGATGATGATAATCTAAATTTTTAATATTCAATTACAATAATTTTCGAAAACAAAAAAAAAATGCATATTCTTGATTCAATCAATTTCTTTTCAACCCTAGAAAGGTAACCTACATAAAATTTATGCTTTTTGTTCGAAAAGAAATTCGAAAAAAACTCACTCATTTACATGCAAAATACGAAAGATTTACGTTGGTTCCCTTTACCGCAATATCGATAAGGTTACCTTTCTAGGGTTGAAATCGTTTGTAATTTTTCTATTTTTAAAATAAAAAATGATGATAATTTGCAAAACAAAACCATTAACGTACTTCATGAACGGATACAATGTCTATATAATGAAAAAAAATCCATTTTCATCATTAGTTCAACAAGAATTGAATTGAATTGCTCGAAGAATTATTGTTGATAAGAAAATAAAATAAAAAATTTGTCTCAATGTATGTAGTGTGTGGGAATTTTTTTTTTTTTTTTTTTGGTCTCAAGGACTCGAATGTTTCAAGTATATATTCTCAGTATTGTTGTTCCAGTTATTTTCGTTGTTGTTGTTGTTGTTAATGTTGACAAAAAAATTCCATTTCCATACTTGATACACACACAGGAAAAAAAAATTTGCCGCATCATCATTATCATCATCTCGGAAAAAATCCATATTGTCATTGAATTCCGAGACAAATACACACATGCACACACAGAATAATCTGAATGTTATTGATCCATTTCATTGCCTTATTTTACATTGTGAATATACCACACACACACACACACACACACACATTCATTGAACACATAACAATGAGAATTTTATCTCACTATACAAACCAAACCAAACCAAACCAAACCAAACCAAACCAAACCAAACCAAACCAAACCCATACAATGGCCAATGACAATGACAATTATCAAATTATGGGAATATGAAGGACAAATTTATCGCTAGCTTGTTTGCTTGTTTGTTTTTATCAATAATTGTTCATCTATGATTCGCAGTTATTTTTTTATTTTTTTTTTTTTTTTGTCATGTGTAATTCATTCCAGGATTCTAGTACCAGAAAGAAAGTGAAAAACGGATAAAGGCCAAATGAGAATGATAGTGAAACTGATATTTAGAGATTCTCTCTCTGTGTGTGTGTGTGATTCATTCATCAATCATTTTTTTTTTTTGTTTCTTGCCTATCTAAATGTCTGTTTCAGTGTCACAGTGTTTGTGGTGGTATGCAATGGAATAGTGTCAAGTTTTTTTTTCTTGTTTTCGTCATCCAAACACTTTACTTGTGTATATATGTTGTGTATGGCGTTCGAATGAATTTCCATGTATTTAGAAACTGGAAAAAAAACCTAATGACTTTAACCCAGAAACAAACCGAAAGAAAAAAAGTTTTATTTTCTAAAGTTCTATTTCGGTTGCCATTTTTATTTTGAATTTCTTCCATTGTCTCGTTTTCTGGTTTTGTTGCTGTTGTTGATGAATCCATCTGTAACAACAACAACAACAACAACAACGACTGCCAAAACAGAAACCAATAGACAGATATAAAAAAAAACAAACCACAGAATCAAGAAAATTTGCAACAGAATTTCATTTATTCTTCATCGATGTTGTGGTTGTTAGCACAAAAATAATTTTTTTTTTTTTGGAATCGAATCGGCATTCATCGCCAATAATTGTTCAATTTTCACCGAAAAATTTTCAATTCAAAATCATTACGATGATGATTCTCATTGTGATGATGGTCATCACTACTACTCACTACTACTAGTACTACTATGGTCAATGCTCAACAATTATCAGTGAATTATAATAACCCATCATCATCATCATCATCAATGTGGCAAATATAATTTTTCATCGAATAAAACATGGTAAGATTTGTGAATGAAAAACAATGTGTTTAGTTTTATGAAATGGAAATATTCATCAATCAGACCTGCTCATAGAAACACACACACACACACACACACACATATAAACATTACCACTAGCAGCAAATCAAACTAATCAATCAATAATCAATGTCATCAATGTGATGTTTAATAGTCAAAAATCAATATTCATAGTTTTACACATTTATGGCCAACACTTGATTTGTCAAAAATGAATCATTTTACACATTGATTTACACAAGATTCAATTCCAATCACGTTTCTGTCTTTTTTTTCCACAATGAAATACTCTACAATCCAATGTGTGTGTGTGTGTGTGTGTCATGTGACCACAACGAATTCAAAAAATTCACGAATGGTCAATTTTTTTCTGTTTGGTCATTAAGTTGATGAAGCCAGAAAAAAAACTCTGGTAATAATGGTGATGAATCAAACGCCCAAAAAAATGTGCGACCAGATTGACAGATCATTTTTTGCTCAGTTTTTGGGCTGGAAATTTTTTTTTGTTTTCATTCAATGACAATGATCCATATATAATGATGATTCGCTATATAGTTAGCATGAAAAAAAAGTGTTAATAATTGATCACCTGATTGATTAACTATTAGAATTTGATTACTGATGATATGAAAAAATTTTTTTTTTCACCACAAAGGCGTCAACAATAACAACAACAACGATACCAATGCCATTGGTGATGGACGACAAAATTGTACCAATGATCAGGATTGCCATACTGGTAATAATGATGATCAATCGATGATACAAACAACATTGCCTTTAGTCTTTAATAAATTTCAATGTCATGAAGGTTTTTGTCGTCACAATCAAAATCAATCATTCGATATTGACAATAAAAATGATGATGATGAACTGAGCTCAAATCAACGTCAACAAATAAAAGATCTGGAAATCATATGATTATAATAATGATCATTATGGCAATCATGTTCATCGGTATGTGTGTTGCACTCAATCTATTCAGCCGGTATGTAATGAATTCTCTGAAGAATTTTTTTAATTTTTAATTCATTTTTTTTTTTTGTTTGATTCCATAAAAGAGCACGTTTCAAGACAAGACGTGGAATATTTACAAATCCACGTCTATTGAAACAAGCCACACAACATCATAATTCATCATCTTCATCATCAACAACGAGAAGTTCATCACGCCGCCATTCAAAACAACAGCAAAAACATCATCATCATCGTTTACGTTTGATACATGATTCAAAATTTCATCAAAAACATCATCATCGTCATCGTAGTCGACATCGACAATGTAATGATGATGATAATGAAAATGAAGTTAAAGATCAACAACAACAACAACAGCAGCAGATAACAACTATAGATATGGATTTAAATATGAATGTTATCATACCAAGTATGAATCCTGATCAAATATTCAATCATCAACATCACCATCAAAAACAACAACAACAACAACCACAAGAATGTAAAGATGATTCTGTATAAAAAATCCATTCGATTGATTGAATGTTTGTTCGTTCGTTCGTTTGTTTTGTTGTTGTCGTTGATAATCTGAATCTCTGTAATGTTTGTAAAATACATTCTTTTTTTCGCATTATTTGATTTTCATTTATTGTCATTTGTTCTATTGATACGAATTCAGTGAATGATTAAAACTTTGAACTTCACACATGTGCTGCCATCTTTTAACATAAATTGTCAAAAAATTGGTAGAAATCGCCATCTATCGTCAATGAAATAATTTTCATTTTTGGCTCTTTTTGTGTTTGGCTATTTTATGAGGAGAATCGTCGTTTGCATCAATCAATCAATCACACATGTTGATAAAAACCACATCGTTATTGACTTTTTTTTCTGTGTCATCATAAAAATAATCATCATATTGAATATCATCATTTTTCTTCAAATGTTCATTTCATTTTTTGTCGCTGCCATAAAAAAAACCCCGATTAACTGTTTTCAACCGAAATGCCATTATTCGAACGAATCGTAATTCTTTACGGTACAGAAACCGGTAATTCTCAGGATTTATCCAAAATTATTGCTTGGCAATTATCAAGATTACAAAAAAAGAATGGATCGGATCATCAAAAAACAATGATGATACAGGTGATGTCATGTGATGATTATCCAATAAAATGTTTACCTGATGAAAAATTCATATTGATCATCTGTTCAACGAGTGGTCTTGGTGAAGCACCATTAAATATGAAACTGTTTTGGCGTTTTCTGATGCGTAAAGATCTTCCCAACGATTCTCTTGATCATCTTCAATTCGCTGTTATTGGTCTGGGTGATTCATCATATGCTAAATATAATTTTGTGGCTAAAAAATTATTTAAACGTTTAAAATTATTGGGTGCCAAAAATTTACTTGATCTAGTCTTGGGTGATGAACAACATGAATTTGGTCCATTTTTACGATTGATCCATGGTTACAAAAATTCTATCAGCTAATCATATCTGAAACAAACTTGTCAAAATTAACGGATGACGATGAATCGCTTATTGAACCAAGCATTAATGTGATTGAATTTTTTGATAATGTTCATGGTGATGATGACGACGATTCTCGTTTATCGTTGGCGTTGGAAAACGGATATGAAAATCATAAATATGACCAATTAAATCCATTCAAAGCACGTGTTCTCGAAAATCGACGTATAACTGCCGAGGATCATTTTCAAGATGTTCGTCTTATCGAATTAGAATTAGATTCAACAATTCAATATTCATTGACTGATGTTTGTGTTGTTTATCCAGAAAATCATCAGGAACAAGTTGATTTATTTTTAAATTTATTCAATTCTGATGAAGATGATGATGATGATGATGTTGATAATAAAAGTGGTCGCAATCGATTAATAGCCGATAGATTGATTAGATTGAAATTGAATGACCATCAATATTGGATACCACAATCATCATATTATCATCATTTAATCCAGCAGCGAAATCCATGTACCATACGTGAAATAATCCGACGTTATATGGATATAAATTCCATACCGAAAAGATCATTTTTTGATCTTTTTTATCGATTTAGTCGTGATCCATTGGAACGTGAAAAATTGAAACGATTTTCTGCGGGAGCCGATCTGGATGAACTGTATGATTATGTTAATCGTCCAAAACGTACAATTTTAGAAGTTATGACTGATTTTCCCAATACCACACCATATGTACCATTTGATTATCTATTTGATTTAATTCCGGCAATGGCTTGGCGTTCATATTCAATCGCAAGTTCACCGCTTTGTAAACCAAAATCGATTCAAATTTTGTATGCTGTTGTTGAATATCGTACACGATTGAAAAAACCACGATTAGGTCAATGTACAACATGGATGCAACGGCAAGAATCAAACATATCTTCTTTGAATATTTTTCTACGTACAAGTACATTTAGATTACCAAATGAAAATGATCGACCATTGATTATGATTGCAGCCGGTACTGGTGTTGCTCCGTTTCGTGCATTTATTCATGATCGTTGCGAAAGAAATATTGGACATAATTATCTCTTTTTTGGTTGTCGATTCTCGGATAAAGATTATTATTTACATGATGAATGGCAACCATTAATCGATCGAAAATTATTGACAGTTTTTCCAGCTTTTTCACGTGAAAATCCTGATCAAAAAGTCTATGTACAGCATATCGTATGGCAACAACGAGATCTAGTTTATCGATTATTTACTGAAAATAATGGAATCATATTGATTGCCGGTAAATCAAAACAATATCCAGAATTAGTACGTGAAACATTGACTGATATATTTCGGGAAAAATTAACAACAATCGAATCAAATGATCGCAAAGATTATTTTGAAAATTTAATCAACAAATTGGAATCACAAAAAAGAATTCAATTCGAGTGTTGGTAATATACATTGATAGATGGCGTTACGTTGACGAACGAAAAATGCATATTTTCACTCAACAGATTCAATTAGGTGTTTTTAGAAAATTTTTTCACATGCAATTTTTGATTTAATGAAAGGGCCAATTTTTTTTTAAATTTTGATGATAAAAAATGAAATAACTTCGACCATGTGATAATTGTTATTAAAAAAAATTATTCTTTGATGCTCATTCTATAATCTAAGTGGTTGTTTTTTTTGAAAAAAATGAGAAACTATTGGCAAATATTCCGTCATCGATTTTTGATGAAAAATTTCCAGCAGATTATTACATCGTCATCATCATCACGATTATTAATTGCTCGACAATCTTTTGCATTAAATTTTCCAATCCAACGAATAAATCCTCGAATTTTATTGGCATCGGGTTTTGTCACTGCAACCGCAGCTGCCACTGCATATGGATTACATCAATTGAAACAAATTCGAATGGCTGAATGTCGTTCGAATGATCATCAGAAACGTTTACGACCAAATAGTATCGAAGAATTGGAATTATTCGATGCAATTCGTGCAAATGATAGTGTGAAAATTGATAAATTATTGAAAGGAAATCGCAACCTGTATGTGAATACACGTCATTCATTGGGTTGGACCCCGTTGCATTTAGCAGCGATACTTGGCCGAACTGAAATTGTTCAACAACTGCTGGAAGCTGGCGCTGATCCAGATGTTATTGATGAATTTTCAAATGCCGGCCAAATTGCTCATGAACATCGTCTTCGTTATTATGATGTCCTTCTGATTCGTGAGCGTGAATTTAGTGATATTCTTGCCAATAATGTATCGTTTCTTGGTACAACTGCACTTCATTATGCATGTCTTTCTAGTTCAATCGAGACTATTAAAGTCCTGATGCGATATAAAGCTAATCCACAATTGGAAAATGAATTTGGACATAAACCAATTGATTATCTAGACGATCAAGATGCCGAAATCATTTCATTTATACCAGTAATGCAACAATATATGCAAGAATATGGTGATTATATTGAAAAATTGAAAATCGATGAAAGAAGAAAATTTCCACTGGAACTACGTTTGAAGGAAGTGATAGTTGGCCAGGAAGGTGCTATAGCAACGGTTGCGGCCACCATTCGTCGTAAAGAAAATGGTTGGGTCGATTCAGAACATCCATTAGTTTTTCTTTTCCTTGGATCTTCTGGCTTAGGAAAAACGGAATTGGCTAAACAAGTGGCAAAATACTTGCATGGTGAAAAATCCAAACAGAAAGGATTCATTCGTATCGATATGAGTGAATATCAGGAAAAACATGAAGTATCAAAATTTATTGGTTCACCACCTGGTTACGTTGGACATGATGAAGGTGGCCAGTTAACCAAAGCGTTACGTGAATGTCCTAATGCCGTAGTATTGTTTGATGAAGTAGAAAAAGCACATCCGGATGTATTGACGATAATGTTACAACTATTCGATGAAGGACGATTAACCGATGGTAAAGGCAAAACTATCGATTGTAAAGATGCCATTTTCATTATGACATCGAATCTAGCAAGTGATGAAATTGCCGAATATGGTATCCAATTACGACGTGAAACCGAAGAATTATCAAAAGCTCAATATAGTGGTAAAATTATCAATGAAACTGAAACAAAAATCTAGAAAAAGTCGAAGTTAGCCGCTATTTTAAAGATCGTTTTATTCGACCTATACTTAAACGACATTTTAAACGTGATGAATTTCTTGGTCGTATCAATGAAATGGTATGAATGAATGAATTTTTTTTCTGAATTAATTACAATTTTAATCCATCCGATTTAGGTATATTTCCTTCCATTTTCACGGTCTGAATTACATAAATTGGTACTACGTGAATTAGAACTCTGGTCTAAACGATCTAATGAAAGACATCAAATACAATTATCATGGGATTCGAATGTCATTGGTGTTCTGGCCAATGGTTATGATGTTCATTATGGAGCAAGGTCTATTAAATATGAAGTTGAACGGCGTGTTGTAAATAAATTAGCTAATGCACATGAAAATGGTCTTCTTCGATGCGGTGCTAAAATCCATTTAGTCGTATCAGATGATGGTGAAGATTATAAATTGGGTAAAGTCGAACAATCAAAAGAACAAAGTCAACAATCGACAAAGTCGACGTCAACCGCGGAAGAACGTGTCAATAATGATGATGGAGATGATGATAAGAAATCGAATAAAAAAATTGAAGCTAAACTAAAATTATTGATTGAAAATCCACCCGAAATGGCAACCAAATCAAAGTCTAGATTTTTTAACAAACGAAAAAAAAAAAAATTTCATCGTGTGACATCGGGTTTTTTTTCTCTTTCATTCCCGGTAATTGAATGATTTCATCTTGATTTTTGTTTTTTGGTATCTAGTGTAAATGTAGCACGCGTTTAAAATTTATACATTTTCATTCATAAAAATATGGAATTTTTCCATTGAAATGAAAACATTTTGATTTTTTTTTCAATCATGAGTATTTGGTTGTGTAAAATAGTATATAATCTATTTATATATACAAAATGAAATGAAAAAAAAATAAATGATAAATTGAATCAATCAAAATTGGATTGCTTATCAACAAAAATAAATCATCGGTGGGCAAAGTTTTTTTTGTCACATTTAAAATTGATGCAATGATGTAATTCATTGATGAAATTCATTTTTAACCAAGAAATTAAAAAAATTTGCTCGAATAGCAGAATGAATGGAAAAACTTTTCTGCTGTTTTGACAAAAAAAAAAAATTTTTTTGCATTACATCTACTCATCGCCAATGATTGTCATTGTCTTGTGCAAGTTTATATGGATAAAAATGAAATGAATGGCTGATATGGTTTGGTTTGGTTTGGTTGGTTGATTGCTCGCCTTGATCAACAACAACGCTATACAACATCCTTAAATATCATATATATATAATCATAATTGTCATTATCAACCATTCAGGCTTCGCGTGCTTTATGTGTGTGTGTGTGTGTATTCATGGATTCGTCAAATTTTTTTTTTCATCATTTAAAGATGATTCAGTATAGCTGTAGTTTATTGATTTTTTTTTGATCGAATCGATTTGATTTGAGAGATAGATAGTCGGATGCCGATGTTGGTGATGATGATGATGATGATGATTGAACGAGTGTGTGCGTATATATAAAAACACCACAACAATGTAAATTGTGTCTTTGCTGGTTTTTTCTTTGAATGAAAATTTTTTGAAAATATTTTTGAAAGAAAAAACTTCATGCGGAACAAAGGCAAATTTTTTTCCACTCAATCAATCATCACCAGTATTCTGATTTATTCGTATTTTGTTTTTTTCTGTTTTTCGATATTTGATTTTTGTGTCCAAAAAATAAACGCCCACCGTCATTTAATCATTTGGGCTGCCAAAAATGATGGAAATTGTCAAGGAAAAATTTATGTCAACACTGCCTGATAGGTTACTAATTGATTCCAATCATCATCATCATGGTGATCAAGATGACGAGGATGATGACGATGAAATTGAACATGACCATTTGCTTGATTTTCATCATCATCAATCATCATCATCGCCAACAATAACAAAAACAGCGACAGCAACAACGACAGCGGCAACAACGAAAATGATGATGAAACAAAGTAAATCATCAATAACAACAAAAAAACGTAAAGCAAAAAATGCGCTAAAATTTTCAGCAGTTTCATTTATGATTATATTCTATACATATCGATGGTCTAAACAACGATTTGATAATAATAACTCCCAAAAATCTGGCGATAATAATCATCAACAGGTGTCATGTAATTATAGTGAAAATTTCATAAATATCTGGCAATCATTTATTACAAGACAATCATCTGATCGTAAGTTGGAATAATAATAATGATGAATTTAAAATTTTAAAAATGTTAAAATTTTTTTTTCAATCCCTAGCAATCATTATTGAATTGACAAGTTATCGTATTTGTTGTGCATTATTGATAGCAACGGTAATTTTATTATTAATTTTGGAAAAATTATTTCGTATTCATATCATTATCAGAACCGATGACAACGACGACAATGATCATCGTGGAAAGCTATTCATAAATCCTGGTCGTTTAGCTGCATCATTATCTACACAAAGGATTGATCATTCGAAAACAGTAACAATTTCAATCATATGGTTATTATTACCATGGCGTTCCATATCACGATTATGGGGCTATTTTAATCAAATTCCGTTACCGGTATTCATACGACGTCCACTTTATATTTGGTATTCACGAATATTTGGCTGTAATCTTGATGAAATGGCCAATAAAAATCTGTACGAATATCGAAATCTTAGTGAATTTTTTCGTCGCCAATTAATGCCAAGTTTGAGACCTATTGATCGCCGAGCTTCGATTGTAAGTCCAGCTGATGGTACCGTTGTACAATTTGAAATGGTACCAATTGATGGCGGTTTTATTGGAAACGTAAAAGGAATACATTATTCAATTGAAAATTTTCTTGGACCCAATAATTTAAATTACTCTGGTTTCAATCGAAATTGGTCATTACGGCCAGAAAAAATTCAAACAAATAAACGTCTTTATGCTTGTGTCGTATATTTAGCACCCGGTGATTATCATCGTTTTCATTCACCCACCGATTGGATTATAAATCGACGACGACATTTCAGTGGCCACCTGTTGAGTGTTCGACCGTCATTTGTCCAACGTATATCAAATCTGTTTGCTATTAATGAACGTGTCGTATATTTTGGCCATTGGAAATTCGGTTTTTTTGCTATGGCTGCTGTTGGTGCTACGAATGTTGGTTCGATCAATGTTTTTGTGGATCCGGTAAGTTTTGTTTACCGATTATTTATACGGTCATCAATAATCATCAAACATGTTTTCAATCAATCAGGAATTACAAACAAATCGTTTTCAAATGGAAACAACGCTATATTGTAAAGAAAAATTGTTTAAAAAATCCATTCCACAACGAAAAGGTGAACTTTTTGGTGAATTTAATCTCGGATCAACCATGGTTGTCATATTTGAAGCACCTGCCACCTGTTTTAATGATATAAATCAACATGAAATAATTTCGTTGATTCAACAAAAAATTCATTATGGCCAGCCATTATTACATATCAATTGATGGTTTTTATTAGGTTTTTTTTTGTTTTAGTGAAACAAATATATAATATAATTTAATTAATTTCAATTCCAATGTAAATAAATAAATAAATTTTTTTGAAAAAAATCCAAATTTTCAAGTAGTGGTTGTTGTCGTTGTTTTTGAATTTGAATGATCCATCATCATTTGAATCAACAGGTTTTGTCCAACAAACACATGATTCGATGTTAGACGATTTAGTGCCTATAGTTGAGACGATAAAGTTTAGGAAATTGGATCGATTTTGATGTTGAAATTTTGGTAAATTATACATACCTTTATATGTGAAGGCGTTGCATTGAATTGAGCAGCAATACTACATAATGTTTCATCCATGTTTTCCACTTGATAAATCAAATATCGTTGTTGATCATCATTCGAATTATTATCGACCATCGATAGTAATGAACAACTATTATTCATTCGATTATTCGATGAATGATGTATAATTTTCATTTGAAACATTTTCTCATCACCATCCTGGACATTATGATGACCATTGTTAATTGGCGATACTTTTCGCGTTCGAAACATCATCATTGGATTTAACCATGAAAATCGTTTCGTATTATCGTTATTATTTTGGTCCATTAATTGATGAACAAGCGTCTGCTGATGATGGTGTTCATCTGGATTATTCAATTCCATTGTAGTCGTTTTTGTTGTTAATGCTGGTGATGGTGGTGGTGGTGGTAATTCTGGAGAACAATAACTATATTCCCAATCAATTAGATCATCATTTTTATCCTTTTTCATTGTCGTCATCATTGTTGATGATTTTATTGTTGCATTATTATCATCAACATCAGTGGCAACAATAATGATTTTCTTATTGTTTTCATTGCAATTGTTTAATAAATCATAATCATCATTGTATGTGGTATGTTGATCATTATTTTGAAATTTTCTATAATTTAATTTACAATCAATAATTTTACTAGATGATGATGATGATGATCTGCATTGATTATTATCAAATAAAATTATTTGATCATCATCGTCATCATTATTGGTAAATGATTGATGAACAGATGATGATGATGTGGGAAAAAATTTGGCCAGAAAATTTTCAATTCGAGGCATTTTTTTTTTTTGGTTGAAAAGAAAAAAATGATTTTTCAACAAGTTAATTTTCTCTATAATTAGAAAGAAAAAAAAAAAAGAAAAAACACCAACAACAGCTAAAAAAAAAAAATTAATTGATGACTCAATCATTTGATAAACGAAAAAAAAAAACGACGAAATGAAGAAAAAATGAATATTTGCATACAAACAAAGATGAATCGATGACGATGCAAATCCATCTTCAACATTCGATATCATCATCATCATCATCATCATTAATGTCATTATCAGCAGCAGCAGCAGTAGAAAAAAAAAGAAACCGATGATTTATATTGATGATAAAATTACAGTGAAACATGATGTATATGACACTTTGGTGAAAAAAGATTTTTTCTCGTTGATCGTTGATCGTTGATCGATTGGGTTCAATGTTCATCACCATGAATTTTTTACAGAAGAAAAAAAAATTCAAATTATTATTGATCCACAAGAAAGAATTTCGAAATTCATGATATATAAAAATTAATTATTGATTCAAATTAAACAGTCATTTAAAATGTAAGTGTTTTTTGTTTTTCTCAATTGTCAATCAATCAATATTCATATTATGATAATTATATAACACATGTTATCATTCAATCAATTAATTAATTGTGTAACCTATGGCAACATTTTCGGTAAATATTATCCTCTATTTCTGTGCTTTTTATATATCACCATATTAATATCAATTTTAATCTTAAAGCAACGATGATCGTCGTGGAAAACAAATGAAAAAAAATGGATGACCAACAACGACAACGACAACCAAAAGAACAAAATTATCTTCTACGATGGATGATCATCTTTTTCGGGTAATTATTGTTTTTGATTTGAATAGAAATTTATAATTAATGAAAATAATTTCTTATTACACGAAACAAAAGTAATATTATCATACAATTTGAATGGAAAAAACAATGGCAAAACACATTGAATATGTGTTACAATTATTCAATGCATTTGCTATTCATCTATTCCGCTTTGACTGGTCAATTATATTCAGCAACGTCGAATGATGATTTAACGATTGAACGTGTTAAAATCAAAATTTATAATAATAATGTGATTGTTTATACTGATAATTGTATTACAAAACTGTGATTGTTTACACAATAATTAATTGTATTACAAAAACTTTATAATAATAATGTGATTGTTTACACAATCATACATTTTATTACTATTATTGGAAATTGTAAACGGATAAATCAATTACTACGTGAAAAATCATTGGAAATTGTTTATCATGATAAACAAAATTCAATCATTGTTTTCATCATTGCTACGCTAAATATATCAATTCTGTTTGCCACTTTCAATGATGTTGTTCGATGATTTTTTCAATACACCATGGTTTATCATAATGAAAGTTTTGTTTTTATTATTTTATATGAATATCATTTATTATTACACGTGGATTGTTGTCTTTTATGTGAAACATGCAACATTTAAACGATTGAAAATGTTTTACGACGATTTATCATCATCATCATCATTATCATTACGAATAACCGATGATCAAAATCAAAATCAAAAACATCAAAAATGCAAACGAAAAAAATTATTCAATGAAATACAATTGTTGGCTAGAAATAATCGCCATACGAACGAATTGTTGTCAATGCCATTATCAATTTTTTTTATCAGCACATTTATCGATGTTGTTGGAACATTTTATTATTTTCTAGATAAAAATGAATTTTTCATGTTCATCTTCTATTTAATTGTCATGTTTCCATTTTTAATTTACATTGTTCATTTGAATGATCAAAATGAAATGATATTTCAACAAATTATTCAAATAATTTATCGGAAAAATGTGAAAAATATGTTCCCCGTCAATACTGATAATTATCGTTCTACTAAACATATTTTATTGGCAAAAACGAATTTGAAAATGAAACAGAAAAAATTTTTCCTACAACAAATGCGTATCAAAGAATTTTTCGATGTTTATGTTGACGATTTTCATCTCAATATTTATCAATTATTCAGAATTGATCAGAAATTTTTTCTTTTATATTTATTATCATTATTGGCCTATATAGTATTATCGTTACAAACTTCAGATGAATATTCATTTTAATATAATTGTTATTATTATTTTTATGGCATTACCAACTTTATAATTTACATATGTCATTTGAATATTCGACCCATTGATGATAAATCGATCGATTGATAGAAGAATTTAAACAATTTGATAAGATATTGTGACCATTTCCTATATACATGTTATTTACGAACAAACAAACCATCGAACGACGACAACGAAAAAAAAAGAATGGCTAAACCAAAAAATCATTTACTTTATTGGATAAAATTTGCATTTGGGTAAGTGATGATTTGACAATTTTTTTTTTTTGCAAAAAATATATTAAATTTATCTTTTAGAACTATTGGGTTTCAAATTCATCCAATCGATTGGATGGATTGGAAAAGTATTTTGCATTTACTTGTTAATATTGCCATCAATCTGACAAGTATTTCATTCTATCAATTTACCGATTATTTTAGTCATCGAATTAAACCGAAAAAAATTACACTTATTGTCTTTTTGCGTGTCCTATCGTTGACTTATATTCCAATTTTAATATTATGGTTTTCATTATATCTATCATACGAATGTCGACGATTGAATCGTTTAATCATACAAAAATCATTTCAATTAATATATCAATATCGATTTGAATCATTCAAAGTATTCATTGCATTCATTGGTTCTGTATCGGCCATTATATTTATGGTTTATCTAATGGATCATATTCCAGAAATAATCACAAAAGGAATTGAATGGATTTTTCTATGTAAAACATTATTTATTTATCAATTGAATATTCTATTTTATTTTCCATGGTTTCTATTACATTATGTTAAATATGCAACATATCAACAGATGAATCAAATATCCAGATATTCACGTCAATGGCGTTACAAGAATCGATATCGAATTCTTCAAGAATTTCGTAATCTTGCCTGTTATAATCAAATGATTGCACAAATTCTATCACCAATATTGATTACATTTTTCTTTATATTTATCATCGATTTATTGGTCATATTTTATCGATTAACCACATGGTTACGTAATTCAATCTATTTGATTATGGCAATCAAATATATTGTTTATATTGTTTATCTTGATATACAAATCGAACGTTTATTCAAACAAATTATAAATGATTATGTGATATGTGGTGGATATATCGACATCAACGACCAATGTATGGCAACAAAATATCGAACGTTATCGTTTTTCGAATGGAATCGATACGAATTAAAGAATTTTATTATGTTTATCATGAAGAATTTTCATTGAATCTTTATCATCTTTGCCGTATTGATGGTGAATTTATATTGGAATGTTTATTATTTGTATTAAGCTATATTGTTATTATACAACAGACAAAAGAAATCGATGATGATTGATTCGAATTCGATTTGATTGATTTGATGGTTTTTTTTGTTTCATCTACCGTGCTGTTTTTTTTCTGGTTGTCATCGAAACAATAATTGAAAAAAATGAAATGAGAATAAATTGAAATGACTTTCGTGCAATCTAAAAGAACATTATTGTTTCATTTATGGAAATGAAAGATTTGAAAAAAATGTTCATTTTAGTGAGAGATAATCTCCGATCAAAGATAACGAAATAATGTTACAATACAACAATTATTTTGTGGACGAAAATAATCAAAAAAATCATCTGCTTAAATGGTTTCTTTTATTATTTGGGCAAGTAAAAAACATTGATTGATTGAAAGTTTGATTGAAATTTTTTCTTTCCATAAATTTTAGCAATACTGGCATTCAATTGGAACGGATCGATTATCATGATCGAAGATGTTTAATTCGAACCGTGGTCAACATCCTGATTAATATTGTCGTAAATCTATATTATAGTCTTGTTGCTATGCCATTCTGGGATTATGAAGCTATGAAAAATGCACAAAAAACACCAAAAAGTTTAAACAATTTCATGACATTATTTGGAAATTATTATCTGGATGTATTTCTATTCATAAATCCAATATTATTCTTCACCATTGGACCATCTATTGGCCATTTAATGGCATCGATACATTTTAAACGAATTTATTGTTGCCATCAAAAATCTTTACGAGTAATGTCCACAATAGTATTGATTATTGTCCTATATTGTTTAGAATTCACTATATTTGCCGGTTCATTGAATATGAAGAAAAAACGTACCCAATGGACAGTTGTATTTGAATTTTTCATCAATTATTATATTTGTATATCATTTTTTATACCCGGTTTCACTTTGAATTATGTAAAATTTGCAACTATCGAAATGTTACGTACAACAACTACTACTACTACAAGACGAGAATGTGAAAATATTGAAAAAATCATTCGAAAAATTGGTCAAATTGCTGAAATGAACAGGAAAATATCGCATTTTCTATCACCAATGATAACGATATTTATATGTAGTTCTGTATTGGATATGATTGTATTGTTAATGTGGTTCCAAGATCTTGGATGGAGTTTTTTTCACACTTTATTAGCATCATTATTCACTTGGTTCTATTTAACATATCTTATTTATCTGGATAATCAAATTGAAAGAATATTTAGTGAAAAAATATATGAAATGTTATCATTGAAAAATGATATATTCAAATGTTGTGGCCAGTGTAAACAACGATTGGAATATGAATATATTCATCATTGTAAACGGAATAATCGTTCAACACCAAAAACGATTCAATTATTTTTTTGTTCCCATAAACAACGATTAATTGAATGTTATCGTTTGTATGAAAAAGATTTCCAAATGAATTTATTTAATATTTGTCGTTTAGATTATAAATTTATGTTAGATACATTATTATTTATTATAATTTTTGTTGTCATTTCACTTCAAACCTAACTATTTTTGCATAGTTATTATAATCAATAAATTCGAATTACACGTTTGTTATGAATAGGACATATTTATTTTTGAAACGTTATTATTTTTTTTTGTGATGGTCACAATGTTGAAAGTTTTCATTCAATTATAGTATCTGTAATGCTTCTGCTACAAAATAATACATAACTGTACCGATGCTACTACCATTATTATTGATTGTCAATTGTGACCACATAATAGAATATATGGTACTTTCGCTTTTCGCCATCACCATCATCATCATGAAAAATTAAATCGATTGAATAATAAACGAAAGAGAAAACCAGCACCGTCGTTGCCGTTTTGTTTTTCTATTACATTGCTTCTTTTTGTTTGTTTGTTTGTTTTCAATAACTGAAAATTTTATTTCAATTTACGATAAGTTATTCTTCGATTTTGGTATAATTAAATTCTGCAATCGCTGCTGCTGATTATGATGGTTATTTTAATTATCTAATTTTGAAGAATTAAACCGTTACAAGCGTCATAAAGAGATAGATTCGTATAAGAAAAAAAAATTTAACGACAAATAAAAAATAATGACTGATGCTGGATTTTTTCGTGGTACAAGTGCCGATCAAGATAATCGTTTTTCGGATAAATCAAAAAAATTATTGAAACAATTAAAATTCAGTGATGTATTGAATCAAAAAGTTGATATAAAAAAAGTCAACTTGAGTATCATCAAACCATGGATACAGAATCAAATAACAATGTCACTCGGTCTGGATGATGAAGTTTTATCCGAATATATTATCAATCAATTGGAACAAGAACGCAATCCAGATGGTAAAAGTATGCAAATAAATCTGACTGGTTTTCTTGATGGCAAACGTGCACGTGAATTTATGGATAAATTATGGACATTATTATTGGATGCAATGGCCACTAATGATGGTATACCAAAACAATTATTGGATGAAAAAATGGCTGAAATGAAAAAACGTCAAGAACAACAGCAGCAACAATCGATTGGTAAGAATGAATCGAATGGTACAATGACAGCAGCTGCGGTAGCAGAATCAAATAATTCTAATCAGGAGAATTCATCATCAAATCATCATGATCATAATCAACAAAAATCACAACGTAAGTCTCGAAGCAAAAGTCCTAATAATGATCATCGTAATCATCGTAGTAGTCGTAGCCATAGTAAAGAACGTAATATTCAACAACATGGTCATCGTCGTAATGATATGGATCACAATAACAGTGATGGTCATGAAATGAAAGAACGATTGAGTCATAGTCGATCACCGAGACGCTATTCCCGTTCTGGATCAAGTTCATTAGAAAGAAAATCACGAAAGAAACATAAAACTAGTTCAAAATCTCGATCAAGATCTCGTTCACCATCACCATTTAATCGTCGACAGCCACGAACAGCTCGAAAAAGATCAAGATCGCGATCACCATCATTTTCATCACCACCACCATCACGTTCGAATAATAATTATCGCCCTAGATATATCGATCGTAGGACAAATCGAAGACGTTTTCGTTCACCATTACGAAAACGTTCATCAAAATCAAATTCACCACCACCATTTTATCGTCGCCGTGGTGGACCACCATACCGTCCACGTGATCCTCATTTTCATCATCGACAGCAATCATCGTATCGTGGAAATCGTTCGCCACAATCACCGCCACGTAGATCATATCAACGTCGTCGTGATCGTAGTTTTTCTCGATCACCACCACCACCACCAATGCAATCAATTGACCAAAATCGACATGGTTCACCTTTTATGAATAATAATCGTCGTCAATCATCACCACCACCACGAAAACCAATTCATCGATCTCCATTACCAATCAATCATCATTCGCGTTCAATAAGTCGTTCACCAAATTACAATCAACAAAGACATGACTTTCAACCAGCGCCACCACCACCACTATCGTCATCATCATCGGGACGGAATTATCATGATCCTTCATTATCAAATAAATCTAATGTTCCTCTTCCATCATCGCATCATCAACAAATGTCAACACTGCCTGTTGGTGATGGTGGTTATCCATCAACTAATGAACGGTAAAATTTAATGGATTGATTTTGATAAATTTCCTACTAATAATTTTTTTCCTTGAATAGAATTAAAAATCCAGAATCTGAGAAACGAAAAAAGAAAAAATCCAAACAATCCATTAGTTCTGATGACGACGATGACGATAATGAAGATAAAAAACCAAAGAAAAAACAACGTAAACATAAACGTCGTAATAAACAACGAGATAGTGATGATGATGAACCGGACGATGATGATGAAGGCGGAAACCGTTCATTATTGAAACGTAAAAAAGATGCTACAAATGATGACGATGATGGTGGTAGCAGTGGAAAACATAAACGACGAAAACATAAAAAACATAGCTCAAAAAAACATCGAAAACATTCAAAACATCGTAAACATCGTAGTAAAAAACGAAAAAACAATAGTTCAGATGATGATGATGATAATGAATCTGATGCTGGTACCGATAAAAATGCAAATGATGATGATGAGGATATTTCAGATGGTGAAATAAAAGAATCTTTTGCGAAGAAAAAATCTACATCATCAAGTAGTGGTAAAAAGAAGAAATCGAAAAAATCTAAAAAGAAAAAATCAAATAAATCATCATCAAAACGACGTAATAATTCATCATCATCTGATTCAGATTCTGATTCCGATGAGGATAAAAAAGATCCAGATGGTGGTCACCATGAATCATCATCAGCATCATCAAAATCACCGATTAAAAAACATCATCGAAAACATGGTGGTGGTAATAAAAAACAACGTCGTAAACATCGACATCGTACAACAAACAATAGTGATGTTGATCATGATAATGATGGTGATAGTGGACTATAATTTCAATATGATTGATATTTGTGTTTTTGTTACTTTATTTTGTCCATTTCTCTCATATAAATTTTGTATTGTATTCATTTTCTTTTTCACACGCATACGTATAAACACAATTGACTCATTTCATCATAAATGGCAATTTACCATCCACCCAAACACACACACACACATAAACATTACTACTTTATAATCATAATCATTCTACATAATGGATAATATATCATCTGATAATAATAATTTTTTTTGGCATCAATTAAAATAATTTTAAAAAATGAAATTGAAAATTTGAATTTTTTTTAGAGAAAAACGATGGCTGTTTGGCTCTTGTTTGGATATTTTAGGAGTTAACCATGCATGGTAAAAATTGATTTAAAAATAAACAAAATGTGGCGCTACATGCAATGCATGAGCTCATGCCGTTTGTCATAAATAAAAACATCGGAAATATAAACTTTTTGAAAATAATTCTCTTGCGTTTGTTTTTTTTCGTTTGAATTATTTTATTAATTGATAATGGCCACCATCAATAATGATGATGTTGATGATAATGATAATGATTTTGCATATCAATTAGAACAAGAAGAATTTGAAAGACAACAAAAACGACAACAACAATCTTGTGGTGAAAATTCGAATGTTTATCGTGATCCAACCGATGGAACGGAATATGAATGGGATCCAATAAAAAAAGCATGGTTTCCGAAAATAAATGATGATTTTATTGCCAAATATCAAGCATCATATGGTCAATTCGATAATGATGAATCAGATGCAAATATAACAGAATCAAAGTCAGTCAATGAAGAAAAAAAAACAACATCAATTATTAATACACCTACAAAACCGGAATCTATTGATTCTGAACAAACAACATCCTCATCATCATCATCATCATCGAAAAAAAGACAACGTGATGAACAACAACAACAACAAACACCACAATGGTTCGAAGTTGATGATCAACATAATACAAATGTCTATGTTTCAAATTTACCATTAGACATAACGCTAGATGAATTTATTACATTAATGAAAAAATGTGGTCTCATCATGAAAGATGATAGGTTTGTGGTTCAAATTTTTTTTTTTCATTTTTCAAAATCAATTTTTTTTGTTTTCTCTTTCCAAAACAGAGGTCAATTAAAAATAAAATTATACACTGATGAACAAGGAAAACCAAAAGGTGATGGCCGATGTTGTTATATCAAATTGGAATCTGTTGAATTGGCATTAAACATTCTGGACGGTTATCAATTGCGTGAGAATCATTCGATAAAAGTTGAACGTGCAAAATTTTCCTTAAAAGGCGAATATAATCCATCGTTGAAACCGAAAAAAAAGAAAATGAATAAACAACAAAAGGAGAAACAACGAAAGAAAATGGAAAAATTATTTGATTGGCGACCGAATAAATTACCCGGAGAACGACAAAAATGTGAAAAAACCGTTGTAATCAAGAATATGTTTGATGTGAAAACATTTGAAAATGATCCACGTTTAATATTGGAATATAAAACGGATATACGTGAAGAATGTGAAGAAAAATGTGGCCCAGTACGTAAAGTTGAAATTTATGATCATAATCCGGATGGAATAGCAACGGTTACATTTCAAGAATTTGATTCGGCCGATAAATGTGTTGAATTGATGAATGGAAGATTTTTTGCTGGACGTAAATTAGACGCACAATTTTGGGATGGTAAAACTCGATATAAAATTGAAGAAACTGATGAAGAAATTCAAAAACGAATCAAACAATGGGATGAATTTCTTGAACAGGATAATGATGATAAACAGCCAAAATCACAGTGAATAATCAAAATTGTTTTCTTCGAATCATCATCATTTGTATATTTATTTTTCATCAACAAAAAAAAAATAAAATCATAAAACAAAGCTCGAGAATGATTGATTGATTAAACTTTAATGAAAATATCATTAATGGCCAGCCAATAGGAAATCCACAGCCAAATAGTAACGGCAAATAAATTCTGTGCCAAATATTGCCAATGTGTGGAATATGAATTGGCCAATTTAAATGGTAACATATCGTTAGCAATTTCATGTCCTAAATATAATGCAATAGAATTTTGTCCAGGATAATTCAATGGTTTACCCATTGGCCATATTCGTTTCAAATCAATAAGATAATGAAGAATGGCAAACACGATGGTGGCTAAACATCCATTAAATGTTACGAAACTAATGGACCATAAATTTTTATTGATTGAAATTTTCAATCCATATACCGAAATGATGGTCGTCAGTGCTTGATGTGGAAAAAGTAATAAAAAATTAATTTAAAAAAACAAAAAATTGATTCAAAAAACCTACCCAAAAATGCAATCATATTAATAAAACGTCGAAAACGAGCCCATGGTTGTACATTATGTAAAACAGTATGACCAACTTGTAGACCAATGATTGTCAATACAATTGAATTAGTTGTACCTAACAGACCTTCTGGATCATGCCATAGATTGAAATAACCTTGATCAAATAGAATGCCGGCAAAATTTCCACGATAACAATGATTTCTTGTAAATAATAATTGATCAATACGATGAGCAGCCCCTCCAATACAGAATGGATACGAAACATTATCGGATAAACCACCAGGTCCAGTATAACCAATTGGACAATTTGGATCAAATCTCCAACCGAATGATAAATATCCATATATCAATATCATAATCAATGCCAATGCATATTGTGGCCATAATTTTATACAATTTAAACATCTTGGCATTATTGTACTACTGATCAGATTAACCGTGACTAATTGTACGGTGGCAACGATTCCATATGATAAAGCAAATCGTTGTAGCACTCCTGGTATTCTTATTGTTCCAATATCGGCTAGAATAGAAAAATTGAATAATTTTTGAATAATAATCATCATCAGTTATTACAATAATTACCGGCACCAATAGAATTGACAATAATACCCAATACGAATAACTTAATCGAACGTCTAACGATCCGATCGATTATTTGATAACGATTATCATTGATTCTTTGAATATTTTTAAAACTAACAGCAATAGACATTCCCATTGCAAAAATGAAAAATGGAAATACCACATCGGCCAAATGGAAACCATCCCATGGCACGTGTTGCAATGATTTATATTGACCGGCGCCATAATTTACGAATATCATTAACATGATTGCCATACTGTAAAATAATCAAAATGATCAATCGATTATTCATAAAAATAAAAATTTCATTACCCTCTAAATGCATCAATTGAATGGAAACGATGACGTTGTATCGATGGTATCGGTTCCGTATGAATATGTTGGTGATTCTGTATTATTACGTGCAAGCGTCGATGGCGGTGATGATGAATGATGACGATTCAAAAAATTTTTCCATATTCTCACAATATATTGATGTCCATAAATCAATGAAAATATAGCGACCAAATATACAACAATAACAATCATGGCCGGTATCCATTGATTTTCTCCGGATTCCAACATTTCAATATGACAATTTTGTTGGCTATTAATTCTATTTATTTTTGAAAAAATAAAATAAAAATTCAAATTAATTAAAAACAAAAAGTTTCTTACAAAAGTTGATAACGTGATTTATCACGTGCATCTATGGTTTGAATGGAAGCACAATCCGATGTTGTTGGATCATTACAGGAATCATTTCGAGGCAACCAAAATGTATCATTATTATGGCTAATAGCGAATGCTTGTGTAAAATAGCTACGAAGTTCAATGCTACGTTTCTGACCAGGATGGATAGATGTTTTCAATATCAAAGGACACTATTGATTAAGAGATGGTGATCATCATTAATCATTAAATTTTCATCAACATTTACAAATACCTTGTAACAATTTGTAAATTGTCGATAAAAATATAAAGTTTCATTTGATTGATTAATCAAATCAATGTGGAATGTATCGAGAACCATTTTTGATGATCACTGATTATTATTATTTCATGAAAACAATTTCATCATTATCGTCAAAACAAAAGAAAAAAATCAATGATTTTAATCTAAAGCACACACTTGGAAAAGTAGAGAAAAAAATTTGATATATTCGATATTGATATCATCGACATCTTTTTTTTATCACTAAACTTGGATTGATTGTGTGGATTCCAGCCATAACCAGAAACAAGAAAGAAATTTCGAAACCAAAATATAAATAAATTAGTTTATTTTCCACAATCATTATTTTTCATTGTTTTTGCAGTTGTTATTGGATTGATCGATTTAATCGATCCAATGTTAATGATGATGACGATGAATTATTTTCTTTTTTAGGTCATCTCTCAGTCTGTGCATGGTGAAAATATTGCGCAACAAATTTAAATTAAAAAAAATGAAAATTATATTGCAAAATTCAACAAAACAAAAATGAAAACATCACATGTGATAATTCTGAATTACAAATCGATAGATGGCAGACATTCATTGATGGCAATTTAATTTTTTTTTTTCAAAGTGTGCAAGAAAACCTTTCATTTTAGAATTTATTTAAAGGGAGGAACCATTTAAATCAACAGGTCAAAATTAACCCATTGAATAAAATGATTATAAGCCCTCCCTATTGAGAAAAATCGGAGAAAGAGCAATTTATTAAGCATAACCTTTACAATGACCTTAACAGTGGTATATGTATCCATCATTCTAATTGATATGTGACAGTTTTTTATGGAAAATTATTGTATTTTCAAACGGAAAAAATCTACACGATAAACGACTGTTGTCGATAAATTCATGTTTAAATCAATGAAATTGATGAAATTTTGCATAATCTACTACTTAGTCTATGTCGCTTAACCGTAACTGAAAATGCTTTTACACTCTGCAAATGCTTGCACTGTGTACTTAATGCGGGGAAGCCATGTTCCATGCTAGTAATAATTTGTTTAATAATTGTTTAGATAATTAAAAAGAGAAAAGAAAAATTTTAAAAATAACGATATATCACTATGTACATGAAATAATAAGAGAGAGGTTTGAACATTTTTTTCTTGTTTTAAAAATTCAATTGTACATGATAACAAAAAAATGATTTCTTCTTTTTTTTTTGGTTTCGATTTTCTCCGACTGTCCAAAAATTTTTTCAGGCACCAATGATGATTACCGGATGAATTTTTTTTTATTCGGTTTCACTATCGAGGATAAGCTTGATTACGATTCTTAATGGGTAATGGATGACCTTCTGAATTGAAGACCCATTGATCAAATGATATTAGATCGTCATTGGAAAATATTAAATAAAGATATTTCAATGTTTCAGCGAGGAAAAAACTTTGTTGTACATCATCTTGTCGTGTTTTTGGATCATCAACATTCGATATACCGGAATATCCAGTTTTTTCCGGTGTTGAACAATATTTTTCAATAGCCACAGTAGCGTCCCATGCCCATTGACGATATTTTGCATCTTTTGTCAAGCGCCATAGATAAAACCAACCTTCAATCACTTCGGGTCTTAGGATATAATAACGTTCATTTTTTCTAAATCGGATAATAAAAATTAAAATTAATCAAACCGAAAAAAATTTCGAAAAAAAACATACTTTCCAATTTGAGCATCAAGCTGACCGGTGAACCAAAAAACTTCAGGTCCAATATTGGTTTTCGTGCGAATATAAGATTCATGACATGTTTCGGCAATATCTGAACCAAGTTTTAAGAAATGTTCAGCTCTATGTTCATCGTGGGCATTTTCTTTTGCTCCTAATGCAAACATTCCAGCCGCAAAACAAGCAAGATGGCCCATTTTATGTTCCAAACGTTCATAACGTAAATCAGCTACATAAACAAGACCAGATGATGATTTTTGTACCAATTTCTTGTCGATTGCATCCACAGCTTCATTATACATTCGTAAGGATGTTGTTTGTTTTTTATCCATCATTAACCACAGTTTCAGGAGATATTCATAAAAACTATCACCTAATGCACCAAGTGAAATGTGTTCTACAAAAAAAGTTGGAAAAAGTAACAAAAACTTGTTAAATCTTCGAAATTCAATTCAATCAACTTACTTTGACCAAATTTTCCAGTTTTTGGATTAATATAATTTGGATATAAACCATTTGGTTTTGGTAATGAATCCAATATTGTTTGTATACGATCAATTTTATTATAATAAATCTGATCACCAGTCAATGCGGTTAAATAATAAAATTCCAATGATAATGTTCCAACTTCGGATAATATTGAATTACTTTGTGATGCCCATGCATAATTACGGCTAGTTCCAAGTGCTGGTTTTATCAATGCATGTGGCAGACCAGTAGGAGTATCGAATGCTGGCAACATACGTTGTGTTATATTCACTGCTTTTTGTAAAAACATTTCATCTTTCGTAAATGCATAACAAGTTAATAGGCCACCAACATAACGTATAATTGTCTCGAATACGGATATTTCTGATCCAATGTTATTGAAATCCAGATTTTCAGCAATCCATTGACGGCCATCTTCAAAACGATCCATCAGGCCCATTATGTACAATGTATCCATACCATCGACAATTGTTGCACCTGTTGTCACAGAAAAAAAAACAAATTTCAATATTAATATTTGACCTGTTGCAAAAGTTTCGCTTACCTAATTTTGTTTTACCAAATACACCGGGAGCATGACCTGTTTTCTTTATGGGTTTCAATTCATTTTCACCCCATGCATATTTTTTATAACTATCCCATGCTACAATCATCATTTGTTTAATTTTGTCCCGTTTTTTACGAATTTCTGGATCACCATCTTCACCGTTTGGTAACTGTATTCGTGTCCAATTTGATTGTCTTCGTATTGGTTCATATAATGCAACCAAATGCTGATTATTCACATTATCATGATGATTATCCAAAGAATTTGATTGTACTATTGGTGATGAGGTTGGTGATGATTTCGGTATATTCGGTTTTGGTATCACAGTTTTTTGTTGTTGACTAAAATGTTGTTGAATTTTTTCACTTAAACGTTTTTCATCATCAAAACGTCCTCTTGGTGGCGGTGGTAATATAGCTGTCTGTTGTTGTTGTTGATAATTATTATTGTGGCCATCATTAACCATTTGCATACCACCAATTTCATTAAAATTATCATCATTATCATTTGGTGGTATTAAACCCAATAATTGTGGTCCCAATGAATCAGCTGGTTTTATGTATTGTAAATAAACTTTACTTGTTTTAAGCTCTGGTAAATAGGCCATACCAATCAGGCTAATGACCATGAATATAATTATAATGGCTAGTAAAAGATATTTTTCACGTATCCTTAAAACAGATCTTGGATGTATCATCATCATCATTGTTGTTGGTGGTGGCGACAATCGTTGTTGTGTGGACGATAATAATGGTGATGCACTATTATGGCCAATGGCCATAATTTTATGGATTTATTATGAAGAGGATGATTCGAAAAAAAAATTCGAATTCTAATCGAATGTTGAATATTCTAAGATTTGATTAATTAATATGTCAAGAAATTTTAGTATTTTGTTGAATATAAACACATCACACACACAATTTTATTGATAATAAACATGTATGATCAACATGTTTTTTTTCTTGTTGAAAAGAACACGTAATCAAATTTAAATTATCAATGATGAATTGATATAAAATTTTTATTGTTGTTGTTGTTGTTGTTTGGTTACCAAGGAGGTAATAGTCGTATTTGATCGTTTATTTTATGATTGATGATGATTTAGGATTTCATGACGAAAACACACAACAAAAAAAACTATGAAAATTTTGAATCCGATAAATGTTCAATCTGATTGGAAATGACAAAAATCATCTGCATATGTGATGGTGAAAGAATTTTTTTTTTTAAAGTTGGGCGAATTGATTGAACCACAGGGGACAAATGGAAAGAAAAACAACAGGCAATAAAAATAAAAAACAAACGACAATAGAGATGTAGAACGTCAGCGAATAGATTTTTTTCTGTCGATGTCAAATCAATCAAAAATCGATTGGTTATTTGGTGAACTCAATTTATCAATTGGTAAAAAAGAGAGAATAATAACACCACCACCAGAACAAGTATCAGACGATGTTGTTGTTGTTGAATAAAAATCGAGAATTTCCAATCAAATTCACAAAGTACGTACAGTTAAGAAAAAATAATTCGAATTTTCGAAAATCAGAATTTTTGTAAATTTAAAAAAACAGATCAAAATCAAAATTTTAAATCACCAAAAATTTTGTCAAAGTTTTAATACAAGAAAAAAAAATGTCATCGAAACAAAAATTATATCAAACATTGAATAAATTATTAATCTTATTATTTATTTGTTCATCATTATCAATATTCATATCGATAATGATTACAATGATCGATACATTGTTGATTGATTATCATCTCAATTTCAATCGATTATTCTATTGGTATATGTTCATATTGAATTGTATGATATTAATATCGATAATATTTACAAGAAAAAATTTATACAAAATTGCCAAAGAATCCACCATACAATGTTATTTGTTGGCAATTGAAAAATTGAAATTTTATCGTTTCTTTCAATTATTAATGGCTATTATTGTGGCAATAAAAGTATTCTATTTGCTTTTACAACAAATATTCATTGCTTATGATGATGGTAAGTGGATATTTTTTCTGTTTTATAAATTAAAATAACCATGTTGAATTCATTTTTAGATAAAAAGGTTGAAAAAATCGAAATAATGCTCGTATTCATTCTATATGCTTGTCAAGATTTACTTCATTTCATCATTTCTAAACGGTTGGATCAATTTTTAAATGTTGCTTGTGGTTATCATTATCATTATCATCGATCGATAAAAAATGAATGATGACTATTGAACTTTATAAAGTCGTTTCTTGTGGATGATGATAATTATTATTGGCCAATTGTGATAGAATTGGTGCAGATTCATTGTTAGCAGTAGCCACGGATGAAGAATCGTTAGCCATTGTATTTAATGATGATGATAGATTCCAAAAACATTGTGATGAGTCTAAAACAGAAAAAAAAATTTTAAAATAAAAATTCTTCACATTTTATGCATCACTTACTTTTAATATTATTCAATGAAAGAATTTGATGATTATGAAGGTGATGCATTAATTTTGTCTTTTCCGAATTATTCGCTGATGACAATCCACTTATCTGTCCCACGACATCAATATCCAATGAGAGCATTAATTTCTTCACAATATCTTTTCCAAGTATATGATCAAGTATTGTTTGAAGATAACGATCAGAACTAATCGATAATTTCAATTTATCACGATTCCAAACAAGTAATTGTGATTCTTCTAATGCTATGAATGATACCTGATAAGTATCCGAAGTATTCATGCCAAACCATTCAGGTGATTCAAGAAATTGATAACAATCAATTATATGACATGTGTGGCCATTACGTACTACCGATACACGACCAGATAGTAGCAAAGATAATTTATCAATTAATGTTTCATTTTCCATTGCATAAATATCTTTCGGTTTCAATATCTGTATGGTTCGAGTACAAGAATAAAGACGTTTAAAATCATAACGTGACACACCGAGTGGACGAAATAGATTTCTATATGCCATTTCAACTTCATGTGGAAACCTGAAAAACAAAAAAATTCAATGTTTTAAAAACTGAATAATTCTCGGCGATCAAAATTACCTGATGAATGGATGAAGTTTACAGAAAATAATAATCATATGAGTAAAATTAATCAATGCAAACAACGAATTCCAGAATAATAAATCCGAAGAACAGGATACCAGCCAAATCCATAACAATGTAATCAGATTTGCTGACAGAAGCATTGAACGAAGAAACAGCAGTGAATAGATGCTTGTTGAACTGAAAAAAAGTCCGATAAAAATGAAAAAATTGGCAAATTGTAAAAAAATATGATGTGGTCCATTCCAATCGGTACATGGAACAAAATTGATATTTTTTCCAAAACCTTGAAATAATTGATTCAATGCTGCTGTTGAATTCATCATCATTTTTTTTCGTTGGGTAAGATTTCTGTGTAGATTGACAATGATTTTTTGAATTTGATTTTCGTTTTTGACAGGAATACGCATCAAATCAATAACGTGGAATTGTTGTTTTTCTGTTGATTCATCATCATCATCATCATCAGCATGTCGAATTCAATAAGAATCGAAAACTAAACAAAAACAAACATTGAAAACTTTTTAAATCATGAGGAAAAAAATGATTCACCAAAAAAAGAAAATATTACCATCTTTGTTCATGCAATAATCATCATCAACATCGACATTATTATCATTCAGATATATAATATACGCACACAATGCAATAGGCAATCATTTCAAAAATGTTCAAGGTTTTCAATTCATTTTTTTTTTTAGTTTTGCCCAAAAACTGCCATAGATTTGTCTGTTTATGTCTGCATGATGATGATGATGATGTTGATGGGAAAAAAGAGCCGATAACAATTCAATTCACGTGCATGTGTAACAACAGCAAGACGAGAAAAAGAAAATTTTTAAATAAATCTCAAATACGAGAGAGTAACAGATAGAAAACAAAACCACTTCAATAGGTGAATTTGATGAATTTTATTCGATTGTTGTTATTGTTGATCGACGATTGATTGATTGTTTAATTGCTGATTTCGGTTATTTCGATGTATCGATCGAGAAATGAATGAATTATTAAATGCACACACACCACCACCACCAACAACAACAGCGAACACATGCAAAAACAACAGAATGAATCAAATTGAAAAAATTGACCGCTAGAGGTCACACGGTACAATTGTCTGTCATATATTTGCTATAATTCACATCATCATAAAAATATACATTCGGTGAAAAATAAATAAGTGGTCAATGATCTCTCATCAAATTCTTGGTCGATTTTTTTTCTCCAAATGACGGAAATTAGTCAGAAAAAAAAGTTATTTTTGGATTCATTTGAGCAGTTGAAAGACGTGAATATTCAACACATGATTGTGTGATTGTCAATTTTCAATCCTCAACTAATCAATTTTTTTTCATCCTGTGCATAATGTACAAATAAATAAATAAAAAAAGGTTAACGGATGTTTTTTTTTGTCATCATCATTCATGATAAATTCACCTGGAGTCAATAAAGTTGCTATATGGCCACCACATATATAGGAATAGAATGGCAGATGTGAATCAATTTTATGTGTATGTGTAGGCGACGTTGATGATATAGTGGTGTTTGTGTAATATCCGGAAAATCAATTTCATTTAGATTGTCCTAATTTGATCATGACGATTGTTGATGTAATGTAATGTTGCAAAATCATAAAAAAAGCTGTAATGATTTTTTTGATTTATTTATTTATTTATGTAGCAATAATATGATGTTTTTGAAATTTTAAAAATTTTTGAGACAATTATCATTTGATGAGAGAGAGAGAGAGAGAGAGAGAAAAAAATGTTGTTGCCACCAACGCATTTATCTAATTGAATGCTTTTCATAAGCGTCGTTTCTTTGCTGTTTGTGGCAATGCTGTTGAAAATAATGGTATATTTGATCGTTTTGATGATTTTCTTTTCGTTCCACTAATTGTCAATGTTGATGATGGTGTCAACAATGAGTTTGTTGCCGATGATGTTGATGATTTTCGATAATTTTCATGTTTAAATGGATATCTGATCAATTTTTTTGATCGATCTTTTGTCGATTTCGATGATTTTACTGATGATGATGATAATGTTGGTAGATTACTAAATGTTTTAAATGTATCCGAAGATTTAAACATTAATGTTTTTGAACGTATTTTATCAAAATTTTGTGTATTATACAATATAATTCCAAGTGTCAATAATGTCATTGGTATGAGAACACATAAAAGTATAAATATACCGGTCAATATTGTCCAACCATCATCATCGGGGTCATTTAATCCATTGATTGTGTCACTAGAAGTAGTAGTCGATACATAATCGTATTCATATTTTTTCACCGTCGTCGTTGTTACTGTCGTTGGTGTTGTTGATAATGTTGGCCATAGATATTCAAGTGTTGTTGTTGTCGTTGTTGTTTGATTCGATATAATCATTATCATTATTATCGATTGATTGATTGATCGTTCGTTCGTTTCAATAGAAACGTGAGATTCAAATCTTAATTTTGTATTGAATTTCCGAAATTTTATATTCCAACCACACAATTCAATTGATAATTTCGAATATTATAAAAAGAAAAAAAATATTCGAATTTTAAAAATCAATAGAACAAGTGCTGCCATCTTTTGAACACATGGAAATTTTTCAAAAGTTTTTTGCTTTTAAAATTTTTTTTTATCAATAATAATTTGTCACTTATATAAAATGACAAAAAAAAAAAAAAAAAAATACAATCAGATGAATTTATCCGAAGAATATGGATAGAGAATGAGATGAAATAAAAAAAAAAAAAAACATGTTTAAATGGATTAATGATTGATGGATGATATTAAGAATAATTTGGCCAAATTTTATGCAGCGGCCAGATATGGACACATGAGGAATGAAAGGATCGATGGTGAAAAAAATCAATAAAATAAACACATGATGATTATCAGTCATAATCCTCATCGTCATTAAATTCTGTGGAATTAGGTTTTGTTGTTTCATCCAAAAAATCGTCCGGCTCTTCCTTGACATCATCTACCATTTCATCTTTGACTGTTATTGTTGTAGTGTCGATTTCTTGCTTAATTTTTGGTTGTCGTTGTTGTTGTTTTTGCTGTTGCTGCTGATTCTGTGCTTCTTCTTCTTCCAACAAAATAATATCATTCAATACGGTACTAATATCATCAACTGTTGCAGCTATTGTTGCCGCAGTTGTAGGCTGTGGTATCGTTGTTTCATTGGAATTTCTACATGGATTATCATCAATTGTTAATGCCGATTGTTCAATCGATGAAGAATCTGAAGATACTACATTATCGTTTGTATCGATAATTTCCTTTTTTACAATCACCTGCTGCTGCTGTTTGGATTTTTCATTTTTATTGCACAGTCTACCATCATGTTGACGAGTTTTTTTCACTGATTTTGATTGATCAACTATATTATTGCTACTATTACTAGTATTTAATAGAATGGATGATGCTTCTGTTTGTTTACGTTTTCGACCAACCGTAACAGTTGTCGGTGTTGTTGTTATTGTGGTGGTGGATGGAATGGCCGCTATCGATGTTGTTGTTGATTGTGATGATAATAATGATTTTGTCGATGATGGTGATGAATTTTGATGGCTTGCTGAACACTTGGTAACAGTAGTAGGTGTTGTTGCTTTTGCAACAGGAATGATTGTTGTTGGAACTGGTGATGATGATGATGATTCTAAAGTATTGGATGGTGGTGGCGGTGGTTTATATTTCCGTCCACGACGAATACTATTATTGATTGAATTTGATGATGAAGAATTTTCTACTACAGCTGCTGCTGCTGCAACTGGTGATGGTGATGCTGATATTGATTGAGATGGTGGCGGTGATAATATTGAGCGTTTTTTATTCTGTCGCTTACGATTTGATGATGATAATGCTGGATTCGATGATTCATCATAATCAGCATATTTTGTAACCATTTTGGGATTTTCACGTAAACCTCTACGTGTTTTCTTAACCATATTATTCTTCGTCGTCGATGATGATTGTTGCTGTGAAGTATCAGCCATCGAATCATCATTGGTTGACGTGGACATTGTTCCATTACATTTATTGTTTGCTTGTTGATCAACAACATCTTCATTATCATCATCATCAATTTCAATAACGTCATCATTGGTTTGTTGTTCTTCATTTTCGGTACAATTAGAACATTGCCAACCACCGAAACGTGTTTTCTTTGGCATTCGTCGTAATGGTGGATCCAAACAATGTAGATGATAATAAAGATTACATGAATCACATAATGCCATCATATGTGGTTCTTTGGATTTTTTACATGTTGCACATTTTTTCATTTGAAATTCATTTACAATATTTGTGGTTGTTATTGATTTTGAAGACTTTGATCCAGAAGCGGATGAATTTTTTCCATTAAATGATTTATTTAAAGCAGTGGATGATGTGTTGGCACCATTATCATTGGCATTGGCCAATCCATTGGAATTTTGTTGTTGTTGCTGCTGTTGTTCGTCATTTGTATTGAGCATTTCAGGTAATGACATTATTTGTTGACCAATTTTTAATAATTTGATTCGTCTCATTTCATCATTTATTAAATTTGCCGTCTTAGATGATTGTGGTGGTGGTGGTCGAAACCAGCTTAATGCAGCTAAATATCGACGAATTTTTTGTCGTAATAATTCATTGGATGTTTTGAGTTGTTCATGTTTTTTCAATAACTACACAAATATAGATTGATTGATAATTAGAAAAATTGACATATCTTTAAAAGGAGGTGAAAAAAATTACCTTATTATATTTAGCAAATTGTTTGGCTTCAATATCATTCAATCGTTTATTTTCTTCAATAAGCTCATGTGATTGTTCTTGCATTTTTGCTACCCGTCTATTACGATCTACAAAAGCAATAAAAATAAATGAAACAAAAACATGAATGGATCATCCAGATAATCTTACCATGATAATAGCTAACATATTCAATTGAAAATGCCGGTGGTATATACCATTTACGGCATATATCATTCATTTCTTCTTGAATTAAAAATGATTCTCTACCAATGGAAAAACCAGCCAATTCACAACGATTCATTAAACGACGCATTGCCGATGGTGAAGCATCCAATAATCGTGGTGTTCGTTTGGTTAAAACTAGAACAAACAAAAAATGAAAAGTGTTAAAAAAAACCATTGACTTTGTATATAATAATAATTTTACCATTTTGTGTATTTCCAATTGATTGAAAATTTCTACGAAATTTTTCCCTTTGTATAAATAGCTTATTCAATGTTCGACCATTGGTAATAGAATCTTCGATTCGTCGATTTGAATGTTGTTGTTTCAATAAATATCGATGTCGAGCTAATAACGCTAAATAATTTTGTCGTTTCTTTTTAGCCATTTGCCTCTCCGAATGTAATCGACAATAAGCAATGTATGGATCGAGCATTTCTCCAGGTTCCGTTGAACGAATTTCGGTTAAAAGGCCTTGACGTTGTGCACATGTTACATGAAAATTTGTTTTACAAAATCCAGCATCACAACGTATACAAACACCGGTTTGTGCAAAATTTTCATCTTCACATAGCATACAGATTTTTGAACCCCAATGATTGAATTGTATATGTGATAAATTTGGTCCACGAAATTTTTCTGGATCAGCAAATGTTACGCCTTGTGTATATAATGCACATACCATATGGACCCATCTATATATACATCCAATAAACAATAATCGGTTATTAGATCAAATTCAATTTTTTTTATCCATCAAACACAACATACCTTCCATTGTCGGTAATTTTATAAATACCACCTTGAGTTGGACATAATTCACAAAGTGGTTGTTTTACACCCGCTTTACATGGATCACAAAACCAAGGTTCTGTTGATGCAGATGATGCATTCGAATGTATTGATTCCGTATCATCAGCTTGTATACCATAACATAATTCATGCACCGTAATACCACATGCATCACATTCAACCAATTCATCATCAGCAAGTGATTGTTCACCCAAACAAACTGAACATATAAGTATTTTACGATAATTATTCGCCATTTCTATATCATTTGTTGATTGAGAATTTGAATTCGTAGCATGATGATCACGTTGACTAGATTTTGGTGATAATTTCGATGATGATTGATTGAGCAATTTATTTTTTGTTTTCAATTTCGAACCATTTATATTCTCGTCGTCTTCTTCATCATCATCTTCTGAAGATGATTCTCCATCTTCATCAGAATCATCATCATCATCATCGGAATCGGAATCATCAGTTTCATTCGATGAAGAAGATGACGATGAATCACCATCATCATATCATGGTTTTCATTTTGCAATACTTTTGATGTTTGAGATTTCGATTTATTAGATTTTTTACTATTCTTATTATTATTATTATTATTATGATTTATTGTTGATTTCGAATTCATTTGTTGTTGATCACCATCACCATCATCGGAATCAATTTCAACATCATCGTCGTCAACATTTCCGGGTGGATTATAATCACTATCATCACTTTCACTATCACCAAGATCATCGTCCATTGACAATATACTTTCAACGGGTTTAATTTTTCTTTTATTTGGATCACGATCTAACATGGAAAAAATGATCGTTTTTAGTTTTTGAATTTACAAAAAAAAAACAACAAACAAACTTACTCAATGATTTATAAACGAATGCAAGCGCTGCATTTTCAAATGCAGGCTGTTGTTGTTTATTTGATGATGATATTTTATTATTTTTAGGCATTTTTTTTTTTTTTTTTTTTTTGATTAAATCATTAGAAAAACAAACAATGACAGCAGAATGGAGAAGAATTTAAAATATTTTCTTTTTTGTCACACAAAAACACCAAACAGACACACGGAGAAAGAGAAAAACAAATAGAAAAAAAATGTGTGTGTTGATGTCTGTGTTCTGCACCAAACACACACACACATCATACACCATCGAACATCACACAGACACACTGATAGCATTGGATTCTTTTATAGAAAATATCATTATGTTGTGTCAATCGTTTAGTGATAAATTTAAAAAAAATCGAATTTCGAATAATGATGATGATGATGATGGTGGTTGGATGGAAAACAAAACGGAAAAAATATTTATGAATGAACGATATTAAGTCATACGCACACACACAGTGAAAAAAAAAAAAAATTTTTTTTTTTTTTTTAGTGAAATCGATTGATGGATGGATGAATTGGACGGTGAAAAAAAAATGACAATGATGCTCGATGGTGCAAAAAAAGTGGGAGAGAGAGAGGGGGGGTGAAAGTTGTGTGTTTAGCCACACATACACTCACACATTACCACAAACAAGAATTAGAATTATTGGAAAATTGTTCTGCACTCTATCGCATTTGTATACAATAACACGAAGAATGATGTTCCAGAATTCAATTCACAATTCAACAACAATATAGTAGCAGAAGCAATAAAATCTGTTGGTATATGAATTGGAATTAAAATAATTCTCATCATCATCAATTGATGATGATGATGATGGAGAGAATGCGCGATGAATAAAAATCTTTTTTTTTTCTTCTTTCGATTTAGATTGAAAGATATGTTATTCTGGTGATGATCAATTTATATGGAACACACACGAATGATCAATATACATTCAAACCTGGTCCAAAAAGAAAATTTAAAAAAAAAATTCAAATTACAAAAAAAAATCTCTCTATCAATAAATCTCTTGTGTCAAAACGATCAATCAATCAATCATCAATCAATTAATTATTTTTATTATACATACCAGGAAGCATTGTAAATCGAAGGGCAGATTTTTTTTATTGTTGTTGTTGTTGTTGTCGGGTCCTAGCATTCATATTTCGCGAGGTCCTAGTAAAATTCAATTAAAAAAAAATAATCTGGTAGTGGTGTCTGGTGATATAGGGGAGGACGGATATTTGGCAACTTGATTTGACAGAGAATTCGAAACATTTTTTTTTTTTTGTTATCCAGAAACATTCGCAAATATATTCGAAATAGTCATACACATGCACACTGTGTGTGTGTAGTAGTAGTAGTAGTGGCAGAGGTGGTAGTAGTATTTAAAGTAAGAATTTTATTTTAAAAAATGAGAAAGCCTATTCAGTCAAAATAGATTTAAACACAAAAAAAAATTTAAAAATTTTTAAATTTTAATTTTTATTCTATCAATGTTGTCATTATTCATTAAATGTGACCTATATTTGTTCTCTAGCTCTATATATAGATCAACTGAATTGAATTGATTAACCCAGGTGCAGATCCATTCAACTCCAAGAATAATAACGAATATATTCCATTTGTATTTTTCAAAATTTTACAATATAAATAGTGGGTGTTTGTTGTTTACTTTTTTCTTCCTGTGTCTTTTTTTTCACGATTATGTAAAATTCCAATACACTCCAATGACCCTCGAATAAACAAAAAAACAAATGAACAAAAAAAAAAATTTCACCAATCAGCCAGTGTTGATTGAAAATTTATGTCCTTGAATATTGATATGTGTGTGTGCAACATTGTAGACATTCGATGATGATGATGATGAAAAAACAAAACAAAACAAAATTTAACACACAAGTTATTTATCGCGCATTCGCCAAATAGTTTTTCTTTATTTTTATTTTTTATTTATTAACATCCAAACTGTTGCAAACCATAAAAATAACACACCAATCAAAGTCAAAACAATTGTGTTTGTTTAAATATAATACCCATCGTCATCATGATTTAACGTCTAATCCACGAAATTCGAACGTTTTCTTCTTTGATGTGAATTGTATGTATGAAAAGATTTTTTTTTTTTTTTTATTCTGTTTACAAGAACTAGCCAATGATTATCCTTGAAAATCATGAACGTATGTATGACGCAAAATGAATGAATAGACAGACAGATGTGAAATTGGAATGCAGTAGAAACAAACAAAAAACAAAAATATGGAAATGATACACGATGATGATGGCGATGATGGAACGATAAACAAATTTTTATTGGATCGTAATCATAACCAAGTGACGAATAAAAAGAAAAATTCAAAACAAAATGAAACGTTGAAATTTAAAATTCCAAAATCATCACCAATCGACGATAATTCATCGATCGATGAAGGTATTGAACGATCAATGAATATTTCAGAATCATCATCATCATCATCATCACAGCATCAGAATCGGGTTATTATCTACGTAGTAAATGTCCAAATGATTGTTGTAACGCTGCTACTATTGCTGCACAAGGAATAAATGTCCGATATCGACATCATCATAAAGGTCAAAAGTAAGTGTGAAATTTTCATTTTTTTTATTGTTTAGTTTATCGCTGACATAGATAAAAATGACATGATAAACATTTTGGGTGTGAATTTTGTTTTGTTGCAAAAAAATCAATGTTGTGTATGTCATATGGTGTGTTTGTGTAATTTTAACGATAAGATTTCTGGTAACGAGCACGTGCACCAGGACCGCCGAATTTTTTCGGTTCCATACGTCGTGGATCGCTTACCAATAATGAACGATCATGTTGAATTAGGATGTCTTTTATCTCTTTTTTCGATGATTCATCCACATATTTTTGATAATAAGCAACCAATGCTCGTGAAATTGCTTGACGAATGGCATAGATCTGAGCAACATGACCACCACCACGTACACGTACACGAATATCGACCTGTGCGAATCTGGTCGAGGCCAAAAAAAAAATTGTCAGTTTCAATCAAATATTTAAAACAAAACAAAAAACATACTTATCTTGTCCCAATAATAGAATTGGTTCCAAAAGTTTATATTTCAACATTTGTGGTTGAATCATATCCAATGGTCGGCCATTTACATTGATTAAACCACGGCCAGTTTTACAATAAGCAACGGCTGTTGCTGTTTTTTTGCGTCCAAATACCTGGACTGAATAGGTTGGATCTTTCCTAAAAAAAAAATTTCAGAAATAATGAAAAATGGATGAAAAAACAAATAATCAACTTACGTTTCTGGCATTTTGTTTTTTTTAGATTAAAATGATCAAAAATTTTTGATAAAAAATTCGTAAAAAACCGGACAAAAAGACACAAAAACACTCAAACACGTTGAACAACGATGTGAACGAGAAAAAAAGGAAATAGAAACCTCACACTGTCTCACACATTTTGCTTTTCCCTGAAAACGTGTGTTCAACGTAGTAGTAGTAGTGGTATTTGATGATGAGAAAATTCAGTTTGTAGCTCTCATTGTATTCAATGACCGTTCATAGAGTATAGGACTAGAATATTTTTTGAGTGAAAAGAATCATTTTTTGTTTTGGGTGTTTGTGTATCTTTTGTCCTTTATTTATTTCCATTGTTCAATTGATTGATTTTGATTGAAATATCCGTTTCGAAATCATCTATTTTCCAATGATAAACGATGAAGCCAAATATTTTAAATGAATTTATTATGACAATGATGATGATGATGATAATTGTGCCTACATAGGTGTAAATGTTTGTGCAACTATAATTTTCCAATGGAATCAATGTTTGAGGATAAAAGAACGAAAAAATTTCAATTAATTTTTGTAGATGATGATAATTTGAATCGTCCAAAGCGATTGTAAGATTGACGAATTGTTTTTTAAAATTTTCGTTTTTTTTCTTGATTTTGGAATCATCGATAATTTTTTTTTTTTGCAGACGTAAAAAATCCAAACAAATAACGACCACCATTATAGCTGATGAGAATACAGATGACGATACAGATACTGGTGATTCATTAGCATCAACATCAATATCAACTATACATTTATCCGAATTAGATGATTGTGATATTATCGATAATAATAACCGAACATCGACACCGAAATTAAAGAAAACTAAATTTGATTTACATGAACATCATCATTTGGAACAAGAACAACAACAACAACAAGATAATTCGAATAAAAAACAGCGAAAAAAACGACCACAGTATTCGAACGTTTTTGAACGCCACCAAATTTCGAAATCATTGGAATCAACAAAAAAGATAAAAATAATTGGCAACAACAATAACAACAACAACCAGATTATAAGTAATAAAAATAAAAATAGCCACAATATCAAACAACAACAGCAGCAGCAGCAAAAACAAAATTTGTCACAAAATCAACTACTGCAACAACAACAACAACAAAAAGAGGCAGCAACTGATGCAGCAGCAACAACAGCTCATCATCACGATCATCGAAAAATAATTGTTTCATTTTTTGGCAAAAATATTCGTCATGGTCAGATAAGTGATAAAAGTGAACAACACCGACAGCAACAAACTGCTCGATCTATTGTGATTGATGAAGAACAGAATCGATCTATCGATGGTGTTGATGGTGATAATTCAATCATTCGGCAACAACAACGACGTTCGATTGATGAAGAAATTCATTCACGTTATAAACATTATTTACAATTGAAAACGGATTTAAAGTAGGTTCTTTTCAGAATTTTTGATTGTGTAATTTAATTTAATTTTTTCGTTTTTGCAGAGATCAAAATAAAACTGATTATACATACGCACATAGTTCGAGTTATTCACCATTAGTTCAGAATTGTGATTGGTATAATTGGACTGTACCAAATATGTCACGGCAATCTGTACGGCATCATCATCATAATAATAATCGATCATTATCACCAACGAATAAAATATTACAATCAGATATGATACAGCGAAGATTCAATGAACATGGTATACCAGTATCAACAATTTCATCAACACAACAATCATTAGCAACACGTAGGATTGTATCATCATCATCATCAACTTCCACTACTACTGGCTCTTATCAGGTATATGTTTATAATTTGATCATTATTTAAATTCTAATGAAAAGAATTTATTTCTTTTTTTTCTAAAAAGCAAAATGCTGCTTGTAATGAAACACATATTGTTAGGCCACGTATACCACAACAATACCATAATATTCATCATCATATTGAACAGCCATTTCATTCAACACCATTTAAACCGAATATATTGGATGCTGGATCATCTGGATCATCATTATTACCTCAACAATCAACTATAAATAAAACAACAACAAAAACATTGAAATCATCGAATATTGAATTTTCCGATGATGATGATGATAATAATGATAATAATGGTGGATTCATGAATGAAACAAATTTGAATGATGAAGAAGATTTAAATCAAACTGTGAAAATGACATTACGTAAACCAATCATAATTGATAATAATGGTGATGAACCAATGAAAATATCAAAACGTCGTATGGTGAAATCATCATACTCCAGAACACGGAGTAATCAAAATAATCTCGGTCATTATTCTGAAGAAGATGACGATAATGGAATGGAAGACGATACTGAAGACGAAGAAGAAGAATTTACTTTTATTCGTCGAATTCAACGATTTTTTATTACAACTGTACGTCATATACCATATATTGGATCCAGTGATTTAATCATCAATAATAAAGTGCCATCAACAAATAATAATGATTTAAATTTAAATGAAACTTATACATCATCATCAACGTCATCAAGATTGAATGTATATCAAAATAACGATCATATGGGTGGTGATTCAATGTTTTTTCTTCCAAAAACCAGTAGTAGTGGTACATGGTTCCGTCAACGAATCCGTAATAATCACAATCTTGTTGACAATGATGAAGTGATGATAGATTCTTCTAAATTAGGATTCTGCTCACCAGGTTTTTGTTTCAAAATTTTTCTTGGCCTTTTTCTTTTCCTATTCTTATTACCATTATTGATAAGTTATTTATTGGGTCCTGGATCATCATCATATTATCAAATGTTACAATGGACAACAAATGCTATTGATTTACATTCATCATCACCATCATCATCATCGTTTGTTGAACTTTTTTCATCATTATCAATATGGCCAAGTTTCTTATCCTTGAATTCATTATCAAAATGGCCATCATTATTTTCATCATATTCACCACCAGCTGGTGAATCTTATCGTTCTGTTTTTGATTCAGAAATTTCTGCCTTACGAAAGGAACTTTTATCATTGAAAGAGATGAATCAACAAAAATATGATTCTATTTCGAATCCTGCTGCCTCTATGCCACCACCTACTATAATGGATCCACGTCTTGTAGAACGTATCCATGAATTGGAATCACAATTAACAACATGTTGTAATCGTTCAAATACAACTACTTGGGATCGTGTTCGAAGTGAGATTGAGAATGAAATCACTAGAAATATGGATTCGAAACTATCTCAAATGCAACAACGTTATGATGAAGAATTAAAATCTCAAGTGGAAAATGTTCGATTGAATTTAATTCAATTAATTGACGAATATCGTAATCGTGTGGATATGAATCTTTCAATGATTATCGATCAGATTCGTTCGGAATTAATTGAACAACAACAATTAGTACAACGCCAAAAACACACGGGTAGTTCGAACATTAAAATAGATTCAATATCATTGATTGATGTAGAACGATTGATACACTCAGCATTGGCTAAATATGATGCGGATAAAACTGGTGAAGCAGATTTTGCTCTAGAATCTTCTGGTAAGTTGAATAAATGTATTTTTAAATACAAAAATTTGATTTTTTTGGAAAATTCCCAATTTAGGTGGTTGGATTATGCAAACCCGATGTTCTGAATCATATGAATTATCATGGGGAACCTATAAAATATTGGGTCTGACTATTTGGCGTTCAATAAATAGTCCACGTGTTGTAATTCAATCCGGTGTCGTTCCGGGTGAATGTTGGTGTTTCAAAGGATCTGAAGGTCGTTTAGGTATTCATCTATCGGCACGTATAATACCGACAGCATTCACGTATGAACATATACCAGCTGAATTATCACGTGATGGTCATATAAAATCGGCTCCAAATCGTCTTATTGTTTATGGACTTCGTCATGAACATGATTTAGATCCAATAATATTAGGGGAATATCATTATCAAATTGATGATGGTGAACGTCCATTACAACAATTCCTGGTACAGAATCAAGAAGCAGCAAAACATACATTCGATATGATTGAATTGAATGTTAAATCCAATCATGGTCATCCAGATTATACATGCCTTTATCGATTTCGTGTACATGGTATTCATCCGTCCATTACGAATGCCTGATAACAACAAAAACAAAATTGAAATTTGTAACCAAAAAAAAGTACGTGTTTTCATACACCATCCATAGTGATCAACAAGTGTCATAATAATTATATTCACATCATTTCACACTCTACTACTATTATCACCATTACCGGTCATATAATAATCACACACAAATTCATCAATTATGTGTATTCTTCAAATACTTAACCTCGGTGAACACAAGGCTAAAATAATTCCAAGTCAAATTTGATCATCATCATCATAATCATCATCATTTGTTAAAAAAATATGAATTTCTTTTATCCAACTTGTTTTCAACATTTTAAAAACAAAAAAAATCTCTTTACTTTAATTTTAATTCTTTGATATCATTTTATTCACACACACACACATACACACAGAGAGATGCAAAACAAAAAACTTTATGAATTATAATCCGTTGTTTTATTTTTGAATAAAAATGCAAAAATTCAATAAATTTCATTGATTTTGATTGAAAAATAATTTTTCCACCTGTTCACGTGTATCATCCGGACATTTAACAGCATATCCAATGGTTCTTTCATGTGAAAACAGTGCATAATCATTACCATTGGGCAGGCAACGATCACCAAAAAAATAAATTTTATCATAACGATCATCGGGTATGAAACGGAGACAAAATTTTTTATCCCAACCACGTGGAAAACAATCAATGGATATTTGTCCACCAATAACAAAATCCATTTCTATGTCGGTGCCATTGAATTCTTGTTGAAATGCATTAATCATTTTCTCACGAATACCGTGTTTTTGATCATAAGCAAAAAAATCATTTCGTTCGTCACGTGAACAACTTCTGCCAATTGGCGATACATTTATAAGACCATTACGGAATTCGATGAAATTTCCACGTTTTTTCGGTATCGTTAACCGAGATAAATAACCGAGTGCAAAATTGATAAATCTTTGTACACGTTCTTCACCCAATTCGTTTAATATACTTTGTTTACCTATTAATCGGCCATCGTGGTAAGCCAATAAACCATTTTCGGCAAAAATATAATCATATTTCTTAATCAATTGAGCGATTTGTGAATCCGAATCTTGTGATTGAAATGATTCACCACAATCAATGGATGTCATTTGTTCGGCAATTTTGGCCAGATCTGAACCACCGACTAAACCAACGTCAACTTTTTCTTTAAGTTTCAGTAGAAATTGTTCCATTTCTAATGTGATTGCCATACGAGATCGGGTTAATGTTCCATCGACATCGAACAAAACAAGTGTACGTGGAAATTCTTTTTGCTGCGGTAGTGATGCTGATGATGATGACATGATGATGATGATGATGATGATTTAAATTGTTAATGGGACAGAATTTGAATCAAATTGATGATATGTTAAAGAAATCCAAACGATGCCGTTGTTTTTTTTTTTTTTGAAATGTGAAATAACACATCATCATATGAAAAAATGACGACAGTACCGCCATCTTTTGAATAATTTTTTTTTTTTCGTAAATAAATTTTGTCAGCAAAATTTAATCAATTTTCATTGATTTTGATGATGATGATGATGATATCAATATTTTCTTCGTAAAATTAATATCATCAATATTGCAAAATGTGAAAAAAAATTCCAAACTTAAATTTTCCTTGATAAATCATACACATATCGATCATCAATCGATTCATTGATTCGAAACATCAGGCGATATCCTATTGATGTGATGAGCGACACTATCGATAACATCGACAACAACAATATAAACAACAAAAATTATTTTCGAAACTTTCAATAAAAAAAATACACACACACAAAAAAACTGGATGGAAAATTTTCATTTTCAACTTTAAATTTTTGTGTGTGTGTTTCAACAAGAAATAAAGAAAGAAAAAAATTTTTTGTCTGTGTGAGATATCGCCTGATTCATTCGAAATGTTGGCCATTTCTTTCACATCTAGGTTGCCTGATGATGATCGGATAATCAAAAAACAAAAAAAATCGATCAATTATCGACTATATTTGATTGAATAAATAAATAAAATGTGAAATGTATTTATTTGAAACTTTTATCATCATCAACAATCATCACAAATTTCAAATCACCGGTTCTAACTGGGTCTCCTTGTGACGATGACGATTCGCACGAGGATTTTATATATTATTTATTTATTTATAATTGAAAAAAAACATTAAGAGACAAATGAAATTATCGAGAAAAAAAAGAAACAATATGCTGACCAAAGTTCATGTGCTCGATACAAACACACACACATTGCATTGCATTTGATGTGATTTGTTTTTTTGTTTTACTCATTTCATGCCGTTTTTCAAATCAAAAAAAAAAAAAAAAACAATTATCATCAATGCAATATGTAGCAATGATTAATTGATTGATTGAATATTCAAAATATCAATTGTCGTTGTTTATCAAAACAAAAAAAAACAAAACAAAAGTGAATCCTGATTTCACGTAAAAAAAATTTTTGTACGTACATTTTTCGCACACACACAACTGTATATCGCCCATCACTACATCGAAAATGAATCTATTCGCGATATGATTCGATTTGAGTAATCAATTTGTGTGCCCGATTCGAATGTGTTTTGTATCGGAAATTGTTTGGTCGTACTTTATGAAAAATAGTCTTTGAGGAAAATTTTATTTTTTTAAAAAATTAATTGAAATCAACAAAAAACAAACAGAATCAACTGATCAAATCTCAACAAATAAATAAATGATTTCATCATCATCATCATCATCATGGGTTCAAAGTTTCAACAAAATCTTCGACATACATTCAATTCAATAGATATGACACATGGACATTTCCCAATGACGAATATCGATATTGATGATCGATCGATGATAATAATAATAATAATCCGATGATTGTGATTCGATGAGATTAATATAAACAAAATCACAATCAATCAATCGATCAATCTTGTGATCAAATTTGATCAATTTTCTTCGTAATTCATGCAATAAAAATCCAGCAATATTTGATGGCCAAAAAAAATGTTCAAATTTTGTTTTTCCCGTACAAAAAAAAATTTCAAACAAAAACAACAACGATTCTACCACCAACGAATACCAGAAGAAGAAGAAGAAGAAGGGAAAAAAAGAACAATCCAAAGTTCGAATGTTTTTTTTTCGTACGTACATTTTGAACACAGGCACACACACCCATGTCATCGTCATTTTTTTTTATAATAATGTGACGATAATATCATCATAATCATAAGGAACAATCTGATTATCATTCAATTACTACAGCACTATAATTTCTTGGTCATATGAATTTCGATTTGACTTGATCGTTTTTATCATTTTTGCAATATTATTTTATCATTGTTTCATTCATAATACTGATATATACTGATATTAGTCTAGTTGCAGTATTGGTAAGTGTTTCATTTTTTTTGTTTCTTATCAAACCTCTAATTGTAATTATCGTTTATGATGTGAACATGTCTGTGTATGTATCACATTTGGACACACTTTTTGATATGTGACGAAAAAAATTGGATTTGAATTCATCATTCACGGTACACGAATCATCATCTGTATTGATGGCATATATAAAATGCCTTGTTACAATGGATGTATAAATCAAATCAAATTCAAACCTCGAATGAATCGAATCAATTAATTTTTCAACAACAACAACAATTTACTGTTCAACTTTTTCTTCGTTTTCTTCAAAAATTAATTATGGATTTAGCCATAGCAAAAGAAAGTCAACAAGAACATCTTCTATCACCAGAAGCTATTACTACTGCTAATGTTTTACGTAAAAAATCCAATGATTCTTTGGCATCTGAATCCATTTATTATCTGGATCCTTCGGAACATTTTCGTCCTGAACATAAATCACCAGAAGAATATCGTATTTATACTATTAATCAGGTTGGTTTTTTTCTCTCTTTGATTGATTGATTTTTATTAATTGAATTTTACAATTCTATAGGATGATTATATCCAGAAACGTGTATTTGACACATATCGTTTAATGCATACAAATCAAACATTAGAATTTGCACGTAATCGTTTACATCATTGGACACGTTTTGATAAACTTAAAATGACAATAATGGATGCATTGGAAAATTTGAATTGCCTAGTGGATGAATCCGATCCTGATGTTGATCTACCAAATATTATACATGCATTTCAAACAGCTGAACGTATACGTGAAGCACATCCGGATCTGGATTGGTTTCATTTGACTGGATTAATACATGACTTGGGTAAATTAATGGCTGTTTATGGTGAACCACAATGGGCTGTTGTTGGTGATACATTTCCATTGGGTTGCCAGGTGGCTAAATCCGTTGTATATGCTGAACAAACATTCATGGATAATCCAGATACAACAAATTCTGATTATAATACAGAATATGGTATCTATCAACCAAATTGTGGATTGAAACAGGTTGTTATGTCATGGGGCCACGATGAATATATGTATCAAGTATTGAAAAATCATCCAGATTGTTCATTACCAGAACAAGCATTCTACATCATACGTTTTCATTCATTCTATCCATGGCATACTGGTGGCGATTATTATCATCTATGTTCTAAACATGATCTACATATGTTACCTTGGATCCGAGAATTTAACAAATTTGATCTTTATTCTAAAACACCGGAAATACCAGACATACCAAAATTGGTTCCATATTATCAATCATTGATTGATAAATATATACCTGGATTGGTTAGCTGGTGAAAGAAAAAAAAACAAACAAACAAACAAACAATTGAAATCCATCCATTCATTCATTCAATCACATCATACAATGAAATTATAAACGACGACCATATATTATTGATTTATAATCATTGAAAATGGAAAAAAAACATTGATCTTTCTCATACATTTCTCATCGTTAAACGACGTCATTCCTTTATATAGAGCCTCTTATGACATTTTTGTTTTTGTTTTATCAATTACATAATTATTCAACCTGTATATGCAACTACTTCGACATTTGCCTATTATTAGACCACTGAAAAAAATGCATTATTAATATATTTTATATGTTTATCTATTTGTTACACTACGTTGTTATTGCTATATATTCATTCTCTCTGTGTGTGTGTGTGTTAATTGGCCTTGGTGAATATCCCGAACATCTACAACCGGATTTTCATCAAAAAAATTGAATCCAATTTCATGATTTTAAAATGGCCATCATCATCATCATCATCAGCATCATCATCATCATACGCAACACAAAATCAATGAGTAATCAAATCAAATTTGAATAAAATATGAAAATTCATAACGATCTCTCATCACCATTTAAAATTATGATAACGAAAAAATTTTCCCAAACCAAAAATCAAAATCTAAATGGAAATGAAAAAAAAATATATTGATCGAATCAATGTTCTTTTGATTGATTGATTGATAATTGATATTTGTCATATAAATGATTGATTGATTGAGATTGGGCCAATCAGGCGACCCATTATGCCGTTGTAGTCGTTGTCGTCGTCGTCGTCGTCGATGTTGAATCGCTTGGCAACTCCACACAATCAACAAGTAATGTGATCATCATTTTTGGAAGAAAAAACTTATCAATCCTTCGATTCACTTTGAATAAAATAAATCATCATCAGCATTCGAAAAAAAAAATTATCGAATTCATCAAATTTGAGTTTATCAAATCAAATCAAATCAAACCAAATCAAATGACAAGAAAAGAGAAAGAAAAATTTCGAAATCATTACCTGACATTTGGCGTTCTTTTTTTTCGTTTGAACGATAAAATCATTGCGTTGAATTTTCGAATTTGAATTTTTTTTTTGTTTGTTTGTTCGGTCAGTCGAGTGCATTGATTTGTTTGGATTAAAATTTGATTTGAATTCGGTTCACAGAAAAAAAATCGAACATTTTCTTTTTTGCTGGGTATAAATAAAAGATCCGGATCAATGGCCCAATAGTAATTCAAATTTTGTTTTTATCGATTGCACTGTGATTGATTGATCGAAGAATTTTTGTTTTTGATTTGATTTGTACGACGAAATTTTTTTCGAGCTAAACATACGTGACAAACGATTTTGAAAGAAAAAAAAATGTCATCAATATATCAGAAATATGATGATGAAATTGGTAAAAAAAATTGTGATTATAATCAATTGGAAAAAGAGATGCTCAATCAACATTGGCAACAAGATCCAGAACTGGCATGGCGTTTAGCATCGATTGTTTATTATAAATGCTTGAATCTATCCAATGATGAAGAGATAAAATTGAAGACAATTGAATCATTACGTTATGCAGAAAAATCAATAGAATTGTTTACCAAACAGCAAAACGAAAGTGTTGGTGGTGGTGATGGAAACATTTTCTATGCATATAAATGGTCAGCAATGGCACATGGTCGTTTAGCATTATTTGAAATGGCAAATGTTGAACGTAAAATTCTTTATACGGCAAATTTTCTTCAATATTTAGATAAATGTTTACAGCAACAAGAAAAACAAAAAGAATCGAATCAAAAGATCACCAATGATCATCTGGTATTGTTTATGCAAGGCAGATTTCAATTAGCATTATCAATGTTATCAGAAGATGAGCAGAAAATCTTTCAAAAACGTTTAGGACCCAATGTGGTGATACCGAAATTAAATCTACTGGATGGTGAATCAAAACTACGCCGATCCATTGAATTACAGCCAGATTTTATTGATAATTATATTACATTAGCATATCTGTTGATAAAAGAACATAAAATTCTGGATGCCAAACAGATTATTGAAAAAGGATTACAACAACAATGTTGTAATAAATCCGATGAATTGATACGGCAAGAATTGTTGAAAATCAAAGAAACATTAGGTTGATAATGATTTTCTTTGATTTTTTAGTTTTAAAATTAAATTTTTTTGTTTGTTTGTGTTTGTTGTCATCATTTCGTTATTCGGTTATTTGAATGACCAAATTTTCTTTCTTTATTTCCATTTTTATTTTGCCATAATCATCATCATCGTCGTTGTCCGGTTATTGAGATTGTTGTTGATTGATCAATAAATAAAAAAAAGAAAAAGAAAATCCGATTCGTCATCATCGATCGATCGATGATTGTGTTTGTTTCCATTCTTTTTTTCCCTTGTGTTTAATGTTTTCATATGTTTGTCACGTTATCACATGGTGATGATTAGGTATCGTACAAATTTTTTTTTCTTTTCATATCGATGTATGATGCTTCTGATGCTGGTAATGATAATGATGATGATGAGTGATGTGTTGTTGTGGTTTGAAACGAAACAAAATAGAAAACAATGGGTTATATTTTTTTCGGAACAAATGAGATACGGGCATAATAAAATACAACAGACAAAAAAAAATCGGGAAGTATCGATAATGAAAACAAAAAAAACAAAAACAAAAAAAACACAAACTATCGATACAATCGATATATTTAGTTCGAATCTTTTGTGTGTGTGTTTGGTTGTTTTCACAAAAAATCAATAAAGTATTTTTTTTTGTATTCATTCAAATTTTTTGTTGTTGTTGTTGTTAAATAAATATTGATGTGGGTTTTATTTTATTTCATTGATCGATCGATCAATCCATGTTGTTGTTGTTGTTGTTGATGATGATGATCACTGCGCGATGGATTTACCGATCAATCAATCAATCAACTACCGTGTGTGTGTGTGTGGTTTTTGCTTCCGTTTTCCTCGTTTACCATCATCATCATCATCATCATTTTAATCATAATAATAATCATCATCGAAACAATTCGTTTTTTTCCCGATTTACTCATTCAATCTGAATCGAATTGATTTTATGAAAAAAAAACATTTTATCTGAACATGTAATTTTTTTTTTGGTCAAAACGAATTGAAAATGTGTGAAAAAAAAATCATCATCATCATCATGAATCAGTGATGAAAAGCATGAAATAATCAATCAATCGATCGATCTATAGAGAAGAAAACAAAATTCGAAACGATTCAATTATATGAATTTTAATACTTGCGACAATCGCCATCAATTTTGACTGACCGCACCAACACACATACACAAATTAATGATCCACATCCATTATGATAATCGTGATAAGTGATGATCAGTGTCGGATTTATAATTTAATTAAATCGATTTGTGATAATAATCTTAATGATGACATTGGCGCCACCAATAAAGACATCATCATCATCTGTTCAACATACATACAATACAAATTGAATTATTCAATTAATCGATCGATCGATCGATTGATTGATTGATTGATTGATCGTCATCAAACAAAAGAAAATTCATCCGATACATTGTTGTTGTTGTTCTCTTATTGTTTGTTTCACCATCATCATCTGATTGATCCATTGAGCCATTCATTTATGTCATCTTGTCCATCATCATATCATAAAGGTATGTATCGATTTTGTCCATTGTTTATTGTTGTATATGAGGAAACAAAAACAACACGACATCGTGTTCATGAATGACGTACGGAAGATGTATGCAAAATAAGATTTTGATGAATAATTTTTGTTTCATTTTGTTTCCTGATTAATTAATTAATTAATTAATCAAAAACAAATATGTGTCAGTGATGGTGATGGTGGAGGTGTTTATTTTTTCTTTCTTAAATCAAATTCAAATGATCTAGTTTTTGTTGTTGTTGTTGTTGACCGATAATGATGATTAAGAAATTTCTTTTTCTGCTTACGTCATTGAGGTTTCTGATTGGATTTTTTTTTTGTTTTCCTCGATCGAATAAAAACCGTTTGCCATTTTTTATTTGGATTGGGTTTTTTTTCTTTTTCGGTGTGTGTGTTTTTTGGTTTTTGGTTTTTCTTGATCAACATTGGATTGATTAAACATCACTGGTGCCGGTTATGATGGATATGATGATGTTTTGGTTCTCATTCATCATGTTCAATGCAATTCATTTGATCAATGCTGCTAATAATGATGCGGATGATAATCATCTGGTGGAAATAGCTGCCGAAACAAAATCATCATTATGGCATCCACCACCACCCCCACCAGCTTCATCACATCATGATTGTCAATCAAAACAAGATGGAAAAATCATTTTAGCCGTTCAAACGGAACGTCAATTAAAATTACAGCAAATTAACCAACCACCAAAATTACCTGCAAATTCTATACCGGAAATTGTGATCAAATCAAATGATAATGAATTGAAATTAAAATTTCTATCACAATCAAGTTCACTGCATTTGGAACAATTGATAAAACCGCCAAAATATTATCATCGACAAAATCCATTAGATGTGCAAGAAATTCATGAACCAACAATACAATTGAAACAATTGATAAAAAAACCAATACATCAAAATGTACATGAAATAATCATACCAACAAAAACCATCGTACAGGAAATACTTCCGATGAAGCAAATTGTTAAAACCATTGTTTCAACAGCTAATAATCATCATCAACAGAAATCACCTCCATCACCGTCATTACATCATGGTCAAGAAGATGACGACCAATCGAATCATCACCATGAACCACAGCAACAACAACATGTCATTGATGAACGATCATTAAATTTAAATTTACAATCATTATCAAATCAATAGAGGAAATGTGATTTAATTTTCCATCATCAAATTGAATGAAAACAAAATAAAAAAATAGAAAAAATGAGTGAAAAAAACCTGAAAAAAATTAATTTTTTTCTCGAAAAAAAAAAATTTTAAAATTCTAAATAACGGATTTTGTACCACCAACATTCATTGATGATGATAAAAGAGATGGCCGTGATGATGATCCATAATGACCACCACCACCACTGACACTACCATCGATCAATGATGATTGAGATAATGGTAATACTGACGATGATCCATAATGATGAGGTTGTGGTAGAATTTTAAGAAGCAATTCTTTCATCAATTGTCGTTGTTGTTGATTATCATTATTATGGATCAATGTGGACGTTGTAGTGGACAACATTGGTTTTTGTGTTAAATGTTGTTGCTGTTGTTGGCCATTACCATTATCACCACCAACATTTGGTTCAACCATTTGTTCAACACCAATCAATAATGGACTTAGTGTTACTGTTGGTGAATCTTCATTGATTGTTGATGATTGAAATTGTTCCTTTTGATTTGGATGTTGTTGTTTTTGTTGCTGTTGAATTTGTTTGAATCGTGAAATTGGTGAACGATTAAATTTATTCAATTCTGTTGCCGTTGCTGTTGTGGTTGATTGATTGATTGAATTGGATTTACGAAACTTAGATTGTACAGTAAATGGTTGTGGAGATCGAGATGATGTGACTACCGTGTGAACTTGTTCCACTACCGGTTTCACTTCCTGTATTACTTTACGATATGGCATAATTATTTCATGTACTTGTTGCAGAATTGGTTTACGTATCTGTTGATAATAAAGACGTGGTTCTTCTTCTGTTCGTTCTATTTCTGGTTCCTGGTGGATATTTTCTTCTTGTTTTCCATTATCATTGATCGATGATTGTACAACTTTTATTCGATTTGATGGTGATTTAAAATGAATTTGTAATGGACGACTTTGTGGCAATACTTCAATGATTCGTTCATCACCAGCATTTAAATCATCACCTTCAATTTCATGATGATGATGTTCAGCCAATAGATTGGAATCAATCGGCCGATATTCCATTGAATAACGTGTGAGAACCGCCGCTTTAAAACGTTGTGGTTGACCACGGCGATTATTTTTTTGTTGATTATTTGACATTTGTTGGCCATTTTTAGCCGAAATAGAATCAATCATTAGATTCTGTTGTTCGAAACGTTCATTTTCAAAATTTCTATTCTGTTGTTGTTGTGGTTTAATCGATGAATCAATTAAATCGATTTCAAAATCAGAATGTTTTCTTGGTTGATTTTCATCATCACCAGTGTTCATTAAATCATTAGTTTTATTAATATTATCATCTTTACCAGAATCGGCATTATCATCTTCAATGTCAGCATCCATATTTTGTGGTTTTAATGATTGAATGAATTGTTCCAATTGTTGTTCCGATGGCGTCGGTGTCGATGTTGAAAAAGGCATTGATGGCTGTTGTTGTGCGACAATATTCAAATCTGATCGTGATTGAGATTTTCTCGGCTGTTGTACACCTAAACAATCATCAAATTGTACAGGATTTTCAGTTTCTTGTTCCAGTTTTTGTTGCTGATGCTGCTGCTGCTGCAACGGTTGAATCAAATTCATCATTTTACCACCATATGAATAATGAAATGGATTTGTTGCAAAAACATTTTTACGTAAATTCTTTACAAATGAATTTATACGATTCTGTTGTTGTTGTTGTGTTGAATCGGTTGTGGTGAATGATGATGATGATGATAATGGTGATTCAGTTGTTGTTATTGTAGTAGATAATGGTGTTGTAGTAGTGGTCAACGTCGTATCAGTGGTTGCTATAGGATTTCCGTTTATTGATAATAGATGATGATGATGGTGGTGATTATTAAAATGATTATTATGACGTAAAATGCCATAACAGGTATTAATAATCAATGTTATTATCAATAATAATCTAATTAAATCCTATTAATGAATAATAAAAATGAATTATAATCGATTATCGATGGTGAAAATGTGAAAGAATATAAAACAATCGATTATTTTACCATTATATTCAATTATATTATTGCCTGGTTAAAGGATGAAATTAATGATAATCGGATTATCGTCGTCTTCGTCGTCGTTTGTTGTGGTTGTTGTCGTTGTTGTTACGAAATTGGAATGATTGATCTGGTCGAATCTGATTGAATTTTTATATAGAAAATTTTATTCGCCAATCCATTAATGTGACCAAACATAAAGTCTCTTTATCTCTCTCTCTCTCTCTCTCTCTCTCTCTCTTACTACAAATCTCTAGGTTCATTATTGATTCTGATCGAAACAACAAAAATTTGGTTTGACTGGATGATGATTTGTTGTGCGTAGGTAGCTCCAGAAAAAAAAATTTATGAACCACTTGAATTTTGTTCAAAAAAAACCATCACCATCATCAAGGAAACGATTTTTTTTTGTTGAATTAAAAATTGGATCAAAAATTTTTTTTTTAGGTTGCCCATTCTTTTTTCTTTCTTTCGAAACAAAATGGAAAAAAATTCGTCGAGTGGATCGATAGATTGATGCTTTCATTTTCATTTTTTGGCTTGCTACTACTACTTTTCATTTCAAGATTTTTTTTTGTTTGTTGTTTTTCAAATGATTATCAAATAAATTTTTGAAGTATCTGTGGTTGGAACACACACACACACACAGATGCACAATGTATAAAGTGATTTGGTAAATAGTGATAATCATGATGATCACAAGTGTCATCGATTAATTGTTGTTGTCGTCGTTGATTGTTCATAATCAAATTCAAAATGCAAATGATGACCTGTATACGATGATGACCTATCAAGTGTGTGTATATGTGCAGAAATGTTCCCGAAACATTATGACCGAAAAATTTTTCTTCAAAAAAAATTTCCAAAAAAAAAAAATAAATTTTTCATCATCATATTCAAAAGATAATTTCAAGGTTCATTTTATTTTACTTAAATATGTGCTTGCAGAAGAAAAAAAAATCCTGAAAATAAATTAAATAAACAAAAATTTCACCAAAAACGGAATACATAAAGCAAAAAAAAAATTTGACCAAAAATCGATTTGTTGAGCTATATGGTCAATTTTGAAAAAAAATCGATTTTGGCACAAAAAAAAGTTTCATTCATTGTTATCGTTCATCACTAATTCGAATTTTTTCCCAAAAAAAATATCGCCACATTTAGTATCGATTATTATTGTTGTTGTCGTTGTTGTTGCTATTCCGGTAATTCCAATTTTGATTGTAATTTTGATTATTGTAGTTGTAATTGTTGTTGTTGTTCCAATTTTGGTTCCAATTATTATTCGATTGCCATTGTTGTTGCTGTTGTTGTTGTTGCTGGTGTTGTGGTCTTATTGAATGATAATTTTGATTTGATGCAGCTACTGCATGACGAAATGACAATAATGGTGCATGACGACGTTGAATTTGTTGCTGTTGAAATATTTGTCTTGCTGGTGCAATCTGTTGAATGTCCGAATCTGAAATGCCATGGCTTGAAACTTGTGATCTTTCAAATTCCGATGTATCATATGATGATGAATCATATGAAATTGGTGTTTGTTGCACTAATCTTCTTGGCGTTGCTGATGTGGATCGATGGCTCGAACCGGCGGAACTAGTAGTTGATGATTGTTGCTGGGCACGGACAAAACTTTCAAGATTTTTCATCAAATTAGCAGATGATTCAATTTTCGGTCTTGTAGTAGCAACAGTAGTAACTGATGTGGTAGTGCTGGTGGATGGTTTCAATGTTTGTCTTTGAAATTTATCTATTTCCGATGATTCTTCTTCTGTTTCCACACTAGTTGGTCGTCCAATTACTGTGGCATCAGTTCCGATTAATTGTTGTTCATCTTCATGACGATGTTGTTGGCCACCATGTGATATTACCGTATGGATTTCTTCAATAACAGGTTGTATTTCCTGTAAAATACGTCTATATGGTGTAATGATTTCTCGTACTTCCTGTTTTGGGATAGAAATAGATTATTATTAATATGAATCAATCGATCAATTTCATCACGAAAAACGAACCTGTATGATTGGTTTCCGTACCACATGGAATAATCGTTGTGGTTCCTCTTGTGATTGGGTACGTTCTTCTTGTTGTAATTCACCTTTTTGATGTTCTTGCACCATTTTAATTCGCGATGATGCAGATTTGAAATGAATTTCTAACGGCAATGATCGTGCTTCAACTTCAATTATTTTCGGTTCCGGTTGTTCACGAAATTGTTCAATTTTCACCGGTCGATATTCAAATGTATGTTTTGTACGTACTGCCGCTTTGAAACGTCGTTGATCACCAGTGAATGCGGCGCCATGACGATTTTTAACACCTGTGGTAATTCGGCTAGAAAAACGGCGATGAACCGGTTCCAATGGTCGGCTGGTAATATGGTCGGCATCAAGAATTGATCGCATTGTATCTTCGACATTAACCTCTTTACTGGCACCAAGTTCAGCACTAGATATGGACAGAGCTTCATCCAATTCCGGTATTCCAGGTGATGCAGTTGTTGCGGTAGCCGTAGCATAATTACTACCACCATAAAGCATAGCATCATTGACTAATTTCATTTTAAAACGTAATGAATCACGAAAATTATCCGGTACAGTTGTCGGCGATGTAGCTGGTGATTCCGGTAATATTCGTGACATTTGTTGTTGTGATAATTTAGCTGTGGTGGTTTTGATTCCACCAGATTTTGCCACTGTTGTTTCTGCATTGCTTGAATAAAATAAAACCGGAACTACAAAAAGAATGAATGATTTGATGAACATTTTTATATATCGGTATTGAATTTTCAAATGTTGAAAAATTTTCGAATGAAAAACAATCGATATATCGAATTTAAACGGGCAACGAAAAAAACGAGTGATGAAAATTCGAATGTTATCGATTCGATTCGATGTTTTTCGTCGTTTTGTTGTTGTTGTTGTTTTTTGAAATGATATCGATTGATTTGGATTGATGTTTTTATATATCCATAACAACAGGTGCTCTTTCAACACTTTCAACTTTTTCAAAAATTTTTTTTTGTGAAAGAATAATATTTAAAAAATGAAAATTTTTTTTTTTGAAAAAAAAGATGTGTCACTCTCGTATATGAACCAAGCGAAAACAAACAAAACTAGAAAACGAATATATAGCCATTGGTGAAGATTTTGGTCAAACAAATGGCCAATTTACCTTGGTTATAGATAGATATTGGTCAATCACAATTGATTGATAATCAATCGAAATGAATAGAATGAATGAATGAATCAACAACAACAACAACAACATGTGACATATATGTATGTGGTTGAAGACTTTTCAAAAATTTTTTTTCTTTCACTACAATTCATTGACCGTTGATGAGGTAATGTATTGATGTTTTTTTCGCTTTTTTTGGTGTCAATGGCCATTTTGACCAATATATATGTCTATATGAGAGGTGTGTGTGTGTCTGAAATTTTTTTTTCATCATATATTTGTTTATTCATCATGTCACCAAAAAAAATGTTTTTTTTAAGGCTTCTGATTTATTTATGACCAATATTTGGTCAATTTTTTTCTTTCTCTTTCTCTGTGTGTGTGTGTTTAATGTGTGAGAAAATTCTTCTTTGTCTTTGGTTGATTGGTTGGTTGAGAAATTTTTTTCATCATCATCATCATTTTAAATCTCCTTGAGATCCAGTACAATTTTTTTTTGGTGACAAACAAAACAATACAAAACGAAAAAAATCTCTCTCTCTCTGTACAAGTATGGATCGTTTGTTTTTTTTAAAAATTTTTATTTATAGCATCATCAAATGTGGTCAAACAAATGATAAAATTGAAAAAAAAAATTTTCCAGTGGGATGATAATATGTTTTTAACCCGATGATGTCAGAAAAAAAATTTATCGATGATGATTATATATACATTGTATATATATACATCGATTACGTTGATTAATTTTTTTTCCTTTTTTTTGCATTTCCATAATCGTTGATCGTGATTTATCATTTGGTGCATAATGAATTGAAAAAAACAACAACAACAACAAAGAAATGAAAGAAAGAAAATTTATTGATTATATCTGTTTTTATTTTGTCTCTCATAACAACAACAACAAAAGCCAATCTCTGCCAAAAAAAATGTGAAATGAAATAGATGGTGGCCATTTAGCTATTGACCAAATAATAATAATTGTATTGTTATTAGGACTTCCTGATTCAAATTTTTTTTTTTTTTTTTTTCTTTTGACTTTTACTTTTTGTGGCTTCTTTTGTGTTCAGTTTAGTTTATGAAATGAAATAAAATGGAATCCAAAAAAAAAAAAAAAATGACAAGCATGTGTTAGGTTAGGTTGAATGAATATTAAAGAAGATTCACATTCAAATTAAAGATACATTGCTTCGTGTGTGTGCTTTTAAGTGTGTGTGTTCCAGGAACATCACGGATGTTCATGCTGGATGATGATGATGACGATGATGGACATTTGATCATGATAATGTTTTCATTTTGGCTTTGAATATTGACAATGATGATGGTATATATTTGTTTCTATGGTATATCTAGATTTCTGTTACACGTGTATGTAATGTTTATATAAGATAATAAAATCAGTGAGAGCATTGAATCGATTGTAGTGAGAAACGAAAAATTTATTTTTAATGCATTTTCTTTACATAATGAATGAATGAATGAATGGATGGATGGATGGATGAATGAATTAGATGTGTGTAAGTACAACAGCAAAAAAAATAAAAATTGAATGAAAAAAAATAAAAATTAAAATAACAATGAAAAACAATGACAGAATTACGTAATTCATAAATAAGTTACAAGAATAAATATATGGAATTTTCTGTATGTAGGAAAAAAAATGGAACCAATTGAATGCTTGGCAAGCTTATAATGATTGGCAGTAATAAATGAAAATTAGTCTGACGATTTTAGTCAATCATCGATCATTTTTGTTTCATTTGATGATGATGATGATAATGATGATACCGGAAGATGATTAACCAAGGTATTAAAATAATGATTGATGATCGAAAACTGAACAAAATCCTAATATGATTTTTGTTCGGTTCCAGTTTCAAATGTTTGTGATGTACCTGATTCAAATGTTTGTGAGAATCCATTGAAACCACTGCTACCACCACCGGAAGATCCACCACCACCAAATGATGTACCACCAAAACCACCACGACTACCACCATTGTTGCTAGAACCAGTACCGCTAAAACTACCACCACCACCACCACCACCTGTTGAACCACCTCGTGATCCGCCCATGTAATTTCCACCACCATTACCACCAAAGCTTCCTGATCCACCAAAACTGGATGATCCACCACTGCCAAAACCAGATGACATTCCAGTAGAAGGTGTAGGAGCACCACCAAAACCACCTGTTGCAGGACTTGAGCTTCCACCATAATTTCCTCCAGCACCAAAACCAGAACCACCAGTAGGAGCTGAACCACCTTGGCCCATAGCAGCGGCTCCATTTCTGCTTGGTGATTGAAGACCTGAACCAGCAGAACTTCCGCCACCACCACCACCACCTCGTGATTTTGATTGATTTCGATCGAATTGTCGTCTTGCTTCGCCTTTGGCAACAATTGTATGAATTTCTTCCATAACAGGTTGAATTTCCTGAATAACACGTCGATAAGGTGTAATGATTTCTCGTACTTCCTGTTTGTTGGAACAAATAATAGATTATTAGTATGAATTGAATCAATTAATTTCATTGAAAACGAACCTGAATAATTGGCTTTTTAACTTCGTGAATAAGTCGATGTGGTTCTTCTTCCGATGAAGTTTGTTCAACTTCACCAGCACCGGCTGCTTCATGTGTTTGATGAACACGAATTCTTGATGAACTTGATTTGAAATGAATTTCCAATGGTAAAGCACCACCTTCAACTTCAATAATTTGTGGTTCAATATCTTCAAATGGAATATCCACTTGTTTGAAATCCACTGTATGTTTAGTGATTACAGCTGCTGGTATACGTTCACCACCTGATCCACCCATTTTGAATTGACTATCACCATCACTGAAACCGCTGCCACCTCCGATAGCTCCACCAGCAGCAGCTCCATCAGCTGATCCTGAATCACTTGAAGAACCACCGCCAAATGAAGAACCACCGCCAAATGAAGAACCACCACCAAATGAAGAACCACCACCACCACCACCACCCGATGACATCATTGAACCAGATCCACCGAAAGATCCGCTCCCGCCCGAGCCGAAACCACTTGAGCCAGTTCCGCCTGTTCCGCCAGTTCCAGTAGATCCACCATATGAACCACTGCCGCCAGAACTGAATCCCATTGAACCAGTTCCGGTGGATCCACCGAAAGAACCGCTACCACCAGAACTAAATCCCATTGAACCAGTTCCGGTTGATCCACCGAAAGAACCGCTACCGCCAGAACTGAATCCCATTGAACCAGTTCCGCCAGAACTTGATCCACCATTATAGCTTCCACCACCATTACCAGTAGAGCCACTGGTTCCACGACTTCCACCGTTAGAACTACTGCCAAAACTTGATCCAAAGCTGCTTCCACCATTCATGCTACCACCACGGCTGCCACCGGATGAACCATAGCTTCCAGAAGCACCGCTACCACCACCGCCACCACCACCACCGGTTGATTTAAATCCACCACCACTACTACTACCACCACCACGGTTAGAACCACTTGATGTTGATGTCATTGGTGACCAGCTACCCATAACGGTACCACCGCTACTACCACCACCACCGCTAAGTGAACCACCAGATGAACTACTTGTTGAGCCGCTATATCCGGTTCTTGCACCAAAACCACCACCATTCATCATGGCTACAGGTGAAGTAAATCCACTACCACCACCACCACCACCACGGCTAGAACCGCTTGATGATGATGAAACGGGACGATTTTTCGTACCACCTTGTTGCAAACTTGGGCCAGCAACAATTGCCAATAATAATACTGTCGATAAGAATCGAGCCATTTTGATTCGTATCGAAATTAAATCGATGAAAAAAAAATTGAATACGATGATGCTGATGACGATAATTTGATGAAAAAAAAATGAAATCACAGATTGAATGAAAACACAATCACTTAGTTTGTTGATCAATGAATGAATGGTGGATAAATGATAATGACCGAAAAAACAACAACAAAAAAAAATTTTTTTGAATATCACAATCAACCAAACGCAATGCAAACTAACGAAACACTTGAAAATATTTGAATAGAAGACGATTCAATATCGTTTTTTTTTCGGGCCACTCAAAATGCACACGAATCAATCACTATGACGAATGAAATCGTTGTTGTTTGGACCAAACATTCCTTTGTGACTTTTATACTCGACAAACAAACAAACAAAAACCGAGAAACAATGAAAACGAAAAAAAAATTTTTTTTCTTTTATCCAAATCTATTCGATACAAAGAAAAATAAAACATGCACATTTTCATTGCTTCGGAGAATCATCATCAAAAACGATGAAGAAGAAGAAGAAGAAGAAAAATATGGTTTCTCCATATTTGTTTGAGAATTGTGTATTGTAATGCTGATCTACAAAAAGAAAACGGGAAAAAAAGTAAAAGTTTTTTTCGAGAGAGAGAGAGAATGGAGAGACGAATAAATCGCACTGAATGTATCGTCGAACATAAACACACACATACACACAAAAAAAAGAAGAGATGAACGCAAACAAAATGAGAGAAAACCGACAATGATCACACGACAAGATAAACACACACACACACACACACAGACACGGGAACATCAATCTTGACATACACATAACGTATACACGGACATTGAATTCAAAATTCAAATCACAATTCATTTCAATTCAATTTTTTTTTTCGAAGGCAAACAATTCATTGGAATTGTTGTTGTTGTCGCTGTTGATGTTGACCGGATTTCATTTTATCCATCATTGTCGGTTATTATTATTATTATTATTACGATGATGATGATGATGATTATGATTTTCTTTCTTGGAACAACAAACACACACACACACAATTTGAATTCAAATGATGATGATAATCATTATTCGGTATTTTTTGCTTATTCCAACAAAATGAAAATGAAATTCATTTTTTTTCCTCCAAAACTTCAATTTCAGGTTCGTTATTCAGGATCATCATCATCATCATCATCTGGAATGTTTTTGTTGTTCCGGTGGTGGTGTTGGTGGTGTTTTGTGTTAGAAAAAAAATGGTCGTTGACCATTTGTTGAAGAAATAATTGATATACGAGCCCACCGGCCCCCACTCCACTGCACAAATAGTTTTTCTCACACATTTTCTGTTGATTTCCATTCACTGGTGTTTTCTTTTAATTTAAATTTCAATCTTTTTTTTTCTTCGTTGTTTTTTTCATTTTTGATCTACCTGATTGTTCCATATTTACAAACAAACATGAACACAAGCTGGACATTTGGCAAACACAAACGGATTTTTTCGTCGTTGTCGTTGTTGTTTTATCGACGAGAAAAAAAAATTGTAAAATTTTAGCAAATAGGAAATGAAGAAAAAAGAACAACGGAAATGAATGAATTTTTCTGTTCTGTTTGTTTTTGTTGATTTTTTTATATCCATGTTTTGGCTATGTTGGTTGTATCAGAATTTTTTTTTCAACATAGGTCACTCATAAATTAAGTTATCATTTTTTTCTCCTAGTTTTTTTTTCTAAATTGATACTATTATATAATGATGATGTTGACAATAATAATAATAATGAATGGTCATGTGTTAATTATCATCGACAACAAACAAATGGTTTCCATAATTTGTTTCTTTTTGGCTTGATTGGATTTTTTTTTTCATAATTCCAATTGAATGGTAGAGAAAAATTTTGAAAATTTTTTGTTTATTTTACAATATCGATAAATAATCAATCCATATGGAATTTTTTTTTCTTATCATTATTTCACTGAAATGATGATGATGATGATCCAGGTCATAGAAAAACAAACACAATTTTTTTTATATTGAAAACGAGAAATTGACATTAGGTCATAAAAAAAATAATGATGTCATCAACATCAACATCAACAATTTCGTTATATATGGATAGATCTTTGATTAGATTCAATTCGATTCTTTTGTTTTGTGTTGTCATCCAAACATCAGACACGACTTTTTACTATCGTTTGTTTTGTTTATGTTTTTTTTTTTTTGCTGATGCTGCTGTTTTTTTTTTCTTACACCTTTTCGATGAAAATTTATTCAAAATCAAAAAAAAAAAAAAAAAAATTAACTCGATTTGAAATTGAATGGCCACCATCACCATCAACAGTTGGCCATTTGGATTCAGCAAAGAAAAAAAAAATTGTTTCGAAATAGGAATTTTTTTGTTTTTTTATTTTCATTTAATTCATCCAACAACCAATTGTCTTCCAATTTGTTTTTTTGTCTAATTCAACTCAATCACACAATGTTTGTCTGTGTCACTGTGTGTGTGTGTGTGTGCACATGTGTATGAATATCGTAGTAAAAAAAAAAATTTTTGGTCAATCCAAATAAAACAAAACAAAGAAAGGGAAAAAAAATTGGAAATTGCTCAATCGAAAGTGAAAATGAAAATGAAAATGAAAATCGAATCAAAAATATTGAATACCGATGTCATCATTTCGAATCATATTTGTTGTTGTTTGATTTATCGTTTGAATTTATAAATTTTGATGATGATGATTTTAAATTTTCAGTTTCAGAACAGAAAAAAAAATGATGATGATACAATAAAGTGGAGAAAAAAAAATTGAAAGTTGAAAATTCATAATTCTAAACAGGAAAATAAATTTTCCCTTTTTCCCATTCGAAACGGGATTTTTTTTTGTCAAAATCTATATATATATGAAATTCATCCGAATCATAATCATCTTGAATAAAATCATGAATAAAATCCTGATACTGAAAATTGTTCAACTTCAAAATAAAAAAAAATCAAATGTCAAGCCCCATGCCGTGACATGACCTTGGCTTAGAATTTATTTATTTATTTTTTTTTTCGTCTTTAAAATAATCTTTTGAACGATTTTCAAAATGATTCGAATCGAATCTTGAATGTTGAAATGGTCTTGGTGATGTGATGTCCCCGGATAACAACATTGGCCTTAACTTTGAACAAAATGATTTTATTGCAATTCATTTGATCATCACAATCATCATCATTGATGATGATTGAGACGTTGTTCATTCTTTCATTCTTTTTTTCTTCTTCACAAAATTTACATTATTTTCATAATAATAGTAATTGATTCTGGATTGAATTCAACTTTTTTGGATTAAGCCATCATTGATGATGATGATGATGATGATGATGATGATCGAATCAAATCAATCAATCAATGATGATGATGAGTTTACAGGGAAAAGAAGATTACATATCTTGAACAATAATATCAAAAAAAAAAAATAAAAATCAATTCAAATTAAAATCGATTGATTGATCATGGATTTTTTTTCCAATAAACATTTTCGATTCGAGATTGAATCATTATTCATTTTTTTTGTTGTTCTTTCTTTCTTTTTTTATTATTGAAAAATAAAATTGTCCTAAATCACAAAAGAAACCAAGTTATTAACTGATATATCACCTGATTATCATCTTCAACAATCGATCGATTTGATATATAATGTGATGACCATAAAAAGCAAAAGCAAAAAAAAAATCAAAACAAAAAAAAATATCGATGATGATGATGATGATGACGATTGAATCAAACTTTTGTCCTCGAAATCAATCATCAATAAATATATGCATTTGAAATTTAAAATAATGTAACCGAATTTTATGTTTTGTTTACTTGTGGCCCTTTATCAGGAGGGAGTGGTTGTTGTTGTTGTTGTTGTTCAGCGATTTGATTTCGACCATGATGATGATGATGATGAGCATCATCATCATCATTTATTGATCGAAAATATTTGAATTATTGGTGAACTTTATTTTCATTTTTTTTTTCATTCTGTCGATGATGATCAATGATTATTGTTGTTGTTGTTGTTGGCCATGATTATTTTGTTTCGACGATGATGGCCATGATCATGATCATCATCGTGTGTGTATGTGTGTCCTTTATAATAATTTCTTCCTTGATAATCAAAAAAAAAACAACAACAAAAACAATATCCATGACAATGAGAATTGACATTTTTTGTTGTTGTTTTATTTTGATGAATTCATAAAAAAATTCGAACGAAAGGTCGAATATTCAAATGAAATAATCGATTCGAAACATTTACAGTTTTACACTATGTATGTGTGTGTGTGTGTGTGTGTTTTTTTTTTCTCAAATATAGTCTGATTGGTGGTTGTAATAAAAATTTTAACCGTTATTTTTTGTTGTTGTTGTTGTGTGTCTATGTGATGAATGATATCTGTCTGATTGTCAAAAAATTCTTTGCGTTTTCATTTCAAAGTTCATTATCATTATCATCATCGTCGTCGCCATTTATTCATTACAATATATTTGGAAATCAATTGTTATTGTGTGTCTGTCATGTATGTTAATTGTTTGTAATTTCCTAATTTTCTTTTTTATTTTCTTATTTTTCTCATTTATTTTGCATATATAGATGTTGTTGTTGTTGTTGTTGTTTTTCATTTCATTGACGATGGCTATGTAAAAGATCATTATCACCGAAAATTCAAAATCAAATGGGAAACCAATATGAAACAAACAAACAAACAAATTACCATTCATAACATGTAATGATGATTATGAGAAACATTATCATCATCATAGTCATCACCAAAAAAAAAAAAAAAAAAAATACAATAATGGAATGTTGTAGATGACGATTTTGTGATAATAAGTGTGAACACCATCAAATAATGGTCATCATTATTGTATATCATCACGACGAATGAATTAAACTCAAACATAAAACAAACAAAGAAGATAATCCATTTGTAATGAATGAATGAATGAATTTAATGTTTTTCTTTGTTGTTGTTGTTTCTTTGTTGTTTTTCCTGTTCCTTTGTGTGGCGCACACCACACACACATGTCAATCATCATCGTAATTATTATCATATGAAGATGATAATAACGAAGATGACCAAAGAAAAACAAAAATGTTAATTAGATCGTGTTGAAAATATATATATACAAGTGCATGAGATTTATGAAAAAAAAAATACATAAAGTGGTCATCATTTATAAATGATAATTTACAATCAACAAACAAGTTGAACAATGGAATGTTAATTTTTTCGCTGTGTTTGTGTGTGTGTGTGTTAGATCCAATTCCACCACAACGATGACTTATGACAACTACAAAAAAAATTGATGACAAAATCTCAATCAAGTTCAAGTGATCATTATTTTCATTCATTTATCAATTTGTCCATAAAAACTGAACATTCAAATATCAAATATCCAAATTTGTATCATCATTGTCATGTCAATCAATTGATAATTATCATCATCAATTTTTGTGTTTTCTGGATCAAAATATCCAATCCATTTATGAATGTGTATGTAATGTCATGTAACATCGAAACATCTGTTTGTCATCATCATCATCATCATCATCAACGTCAAGGTCAGGAAATCAAAACATGTTTATTCCATATCCATTTATTTATATTGAAAAAAAACTAATTTCCGCAATCAGGAAAAAAATCCACCCAAAACAAACAAACAAACAGAAAAGAAAACAATGTTTTATATTCACTCGTTTTCATTTTCATGGTAAGATTTTAAATTGAATTTTTTTCAAATAAATTAAATTTTTCTTCTTTTTTTTCTTTTTTTCTACAGAAATAAATGAACACCGTTTTTGATTAGACACATCACACACACATGAATTTTCGAAACAGACAAATAAACAAACGAAAAAAAAATTCCATCATGATCATCAAAATCAAAATACCGCAGTGAATGGAATGGCTATTATCATGATCAAACAATGAAGACAAAAAAAAAATTCAATGATTTAATCTTGCTGAAAATTTCAACAAGTCATTCATTCATTCATCGCTGTTCAACGAGTGAAGAAAAAAAATTTATTTTCCATACATTTTATATACATCCTGATGATAATTGTATTTTTTCTTTTCCCGATTTTCTGTACATCATGGGTGCGAAAAGAAAATTTTTCAACAGCCAAACTCTTCTTTCAATCGGCAATATGTGGAAATCATTAAAATCGAAAAATCATCATCATAATCAACACGTTGATTCAATGATTATATTACTTGATGCATGATTTATCCGTGAATTTTGTTTTTGTTTTGTTTTTGTTTTTCGTTCAACAAAAACACCCGTTCGTTCTTTTTCAGGACAGAAACTGTTTACAATATTTTGGTTTGTGGTATATGATGATTTGTGTGTGAAAAATAAGAAGAAGAAGAAGAAGAAGAAGACATCGCGAAAAAAAGGCCAAGGACATCAATTGTGTGCGATATATCATCATCATCAAATGATGAAAAACCCATTGAATACAAAATGGCCGAGGCCAATTAATTGGAGAAAATAATAAAAAGTACATTCTGCAAAAAATGTGTTGATGGCTTTGATTTTGTTGTTGTTGTCGTCGTCGTCATTAACATGTTAATGTCAAATTAACAACAACAAAATTTGTCATTTTATGGCCATGGCCAAATGATGATGATGATGATCATCATCATCATCATCATCAAACAAGATGATGGATAGAATTGAAAATTCATCACACAGTGAAACAATATGAAACGAAAAACGGGATTTTCTTTTATTTTCCAAACAACAAAAAAAAAAAAAAAAAAAAAACAAAACATTGATTGATTGTTCGGTGTTGACAGTTGTTTTATGACGACGATAAAGAAGACGAAAAGAAAACCTAATTTCGCCAACAGCTGATGATTATGATGACAGAGAAACAATACAGTGAAGAAAAAAAAAAAAAAAGGCATCATCATCATTCATTTATTCATTTAGAGGTCAACATTCATTTAATGTTGACCTTAACCTTTTTATTTTCATTCATTCATTTTCCATAATCATCACTTTGTCACTTCGTCAAATTTAATCGAATCAAATCGCATCATCATAATGATGATGATGATGATCCCGAAGAATGATTGACCATGTTTAACGTGTTTTTTTTAATTTTTTTTTTTTTTGACAACAAAACATTTGAACATCAGCAGCAACAGAAACAATTTTTAAATATCCGAAACAAAACAAAAAAAAATTAAAATCCGACACGCATACTTGTTATTGATTGAGATAAAATTTTCAAATTCAAAGTTATAACGCCATCTATCGGTCGTATGTGGGATAACTTTTTTGTATTATATCAAAAATAAATCTTGTTTTTATAATTAAAAAAACTTTTAAAATGAATGAATTAATGAAAATTACAAACGAAAAAAAGTTATTCAATTTAAAATGTGTTCGATTGTGTGTGTGACTAGTGTCTGTATTGATATAATGATTGTGTGTGTGTGTGTGTGTCAATTGTGATTAAATTGTTCTCGTGTTTTTGATGAATGATATTTCGTGATTGGAAAAAACGAAAAACAAAATTGAAAAAAAGGAAAAAGAAATCATTCCGTATACATATAGTATAATTCTTTAGCTAATCGATGTAATGGTAATCCAACAACATTGAAATAATCACCACGAATTGATTCGATTAATGTAGCACCAATACCTTGGATACCATAACCACCAGCTTTATCAAATGGTTCGCCAGTTTTAACATATGATTCAATGATTGTTTTATCCATTTCGGACATTGTAACATCGGTCGCTTCATGGAATGTAGTGACAAGATAATCACCATCAACAGATGATGACGATGATGATGATGATGATTGTGTCATTTGTTGTTGTTGTTGCTGGTTAGAAGCTGTTGTTGTTGTCGATGATGATGATGATGATGACATGGATTTTGATTTTGTTATTAAAGCAACACCTGTGAATACCGTATGTGTTCGACCATTCAATTTCATCAATACACGTATAGCATCCGTTTCATTTTTAGGTTTTTCATAAATTTTTTCATCCAATGTAACCACTGTATCGCAACCGATAACCAGATCGGCAACATTGTTTTTATCCAAACGGGCTAATTGTCGCCAAACTGATAGCGCTTTTTGTTTAGCATTTTCTTTTACATATTCACATGGATGTGTAAATGAATTTTTATCCAAATTCTCTTCGAATTCTGGTCGGATGACTTCAAAATTAAATCTAACACTTTCAAGAATTTCTTTTCGCCGTATACTTGATGATGCAAGAATATTACGTTGACGACTGATGATTTGACGAATTGGTTCCAACATGATGATTCTTTTTTCTGAAAAAACGTAATCAAATTAATAACAATGAAAACTAGTTGAAAAAAAACATACCAAACGAAAAAAACAATCCAAACTATAAAAAAAAAAAAGCAAAAAATTAGAACAATACTCGTAAATAACCGAAAAACGAGCTATCAAGATCCAGGATAAAGAAAAAAATAGAAAATCTTTCAAACTGGATCCCTTACAGTTGATTGCCTGTTGATTACTTTGCTCTATTACTTACATTATAATGTCACAATAATTTCAAAACACAATGATTATAAGTGTGACATGAATATATAGGTAAAACTAGGATTGAGCTTTCAGAAGAATCCTCTTTAGAGATTTAGGTAACTTGGAAAATCTTGAAGAAAAAAGAGCAAAAATCTTAAACAAAAGCAAAACAAAATTTGCATGCATGAGTGAACCACACACACACACACACACACACACAATCAACAATTTTTGGGCGACAATGGCGCCATATAGGATTTTTTTGGTGAATTATTCAAATTTTTTTATATATCAAAAATTGATTTTTTATGGACGAAAAAAATTTTAATTTTTTAAGAATACTTTGTGTGTTTGGAATTTTTCGAAATAAATGTGTTTTTTTGATGATATTTTTTTCTTATTTTAACAATAGAAAAGAGTATTTTTCATTTTATCATTCAATTTAACCAATTCATTCAATCGTGTTATGATATGACGTTCAAATTCTTCTTGGTTTTCAGCTGGAATATGTCTACTTTCATGTTGTCCTTCTAGATGTAATTTAGAACGATAAGCACAAAGATCAGCATAACGAACTGGAATTGGCATGGCAATTGGACCACCACGAAAGCGAGTACAATTATGGCATAAATAGAAACAAAGTTTTTGTAAATCATCCATACTCATTTGTCGCCGTTCATAATCATTATGTAAAACAACATATTTCAATGGACGTGATGTTCCCTATTTTGAATTCATATAAAAATAATGAGTGTTTTATGATAATGTAAAACCATTTTATATCACACAAACACACTTACCAATGGTGAGAAATGTGAATTGATGTAAAACATACAATAGTTTGGATCGATGATTGTAGTATCAACTACAGTTCCTGATGGTACATTATGAACAGGACGATCAGATGGACCACTTGGCTTGGACAATACAAAACGAGTTTGATGACGTTTCTGTGTAACAATAAACAATAATTTGTAATTCTCAACACGAAGACGTACAGCTCGACGGATTTGATCAATTTCATCTTGAGCAGATTTAAATTGTCCATCACCAATACCATCACGGAAGACGATAAAATTTTCCGGTAAATATTTGTTAATTTTTTCATATTCATCCAACAATTCATTAATCATTTCTTCAAGTACATGGATCAATTCTTCTTTTTCTCGTTTTTGAACACGTATACTTGCTGAATAACGAGTGAAATGTTGATCATAACTACCGATTGCGCAAGCAATTGAATTTAAAACTTTTTCACCACTACCAGGATGATTAACATCAATACCAATAGCCATAGTTTTCATGTGATCAAATGGTAAAGATTTCAGGTCCCTTGTATCAATATAGCTATTTTGACCATTAAGTTTTCCATTAACTTTTAACAAAACACTCTCAATGTAACCACGAGAACGTCTTTTAGCTTTCGATGATAACAAACATTGAGTGATGATACCAAATTTTTGATCACCAAAATGTTTGACAATATTATACAAATATGGAACTAGAGAATGGGAACAAAGAAAAAAATATATGAATCATTCATAATCAATTTATCAAACACACACTTACTTTGTGGTAATAAGATGAACAATAAATTAACATCGGGTAATAATTTCAAAATGTTGGCAAAGACATTTTTTACCACATTCAGACTTCGATTATCGATTGGTACAACTTGAGTTTCTACACATTTCGATAAATCCAAACCAAAACGATGACCAGTTTGTTTCAATTCTGAAACAATATTAGCCACATCTCGTTTATCAAATTTTTCGTCGAAACTGAAAAATGCCCATTGTTTTGAACCAACTGTTGATGCAAAACGATCATTACGACCACCACCAATTAGATGTGGTGGATCCAAAACACGGCCATTGAGGCGAACTGGTTTTGGTGAAAAATTTGCACCAAAATGATTCATTTTATCCGTATCCAATTGAGCAATTTCTGTAGCAAATCTTGATAAATGATTAAAATAAACCAATGGTTTATGTGTGGACGCATGTAGAAGATCATTTTGGATTAATGGATCAATTTTGGACTGATTCAAAAATTGTTTATCCACCATATGTAAAATTTCCAATGGCATGAAAAAATTTGATCGTCCCATCATTTGAACTGTTGGATAATCTTCTAATTCCATTTGATATTTCATCATAAAATAATCATATACTGAAATCAATCTTTCGTGATCGTTGTTGTTGTCGTCACCATTACCATTATTTCGTTCTCGAAACATGAATGTTACTTCACGTGGTTTTTTTGAAACAAGAGCTTTAATTTTATAGGTCATTCTTCGGCCCATATGTGTTGAATAAACTTCTAATCCACGGATTATTTTATTTACACGGTCAAGATCATTCGATGATAAATTTCGTATATTACGACAATCGGAAATCATTTCCACCAATTGAACTAATGATTCAGTACTAAATGAAATCAAACATGATGTTTTTAAATGTAGATTCAATGAAGGTCCAATCTGGGTACGATGAACAGCTGTAGTGAAGCCTTGAACAAATCGTAGCCATGAATTTGGACCACTTGTTTGGCCATTTTCAACATCATATAAATTTCTACGATGTAGTTGAAATTTATTCAGACAAATATTCTGAAATAAAACTTCAAGAAAGCTGATTGCCACTTCAGGTATATTGGATATTTTCCCGGAATAAAATCCAATAATTGTTGAAAGATCAATGATTTGAACTTTTGAAAATTCAACAATAAATTCTTTTTTTCGTCCATCGATTTCAGCATCAATATTTTTCACCAAAATAGAGGAATCAATATCTTCGGTGGCATAAATATTTTTACCATTATCGTATATATGTTTGATTCCCGTGAAAACATTTTGGTTTACGTTAACAAATCGATCAACCAATTTTGGGGCATGTTTTGCAAAAAATCTTTGGATTCGTTCATTTTCATCAGCGGAAATTGTTTTTTGTCTTTCAGAATTTTTGAATTTAAAATCCACATCATATTGGAAGACAATTGTTGGATGGACATTAATCAACATGAAATTGGCCAATAATTCAATTGTACGACCATTAGTACCGGATTCAAATTTACCGGAATATACAATCGGATAAGATTGTGCTTCAGGATAATTCGAAAAATCCCGACGAATTACTGTAGTTCCTCCTTTTGATTGAGGTTTGATTTGTGGTGGGCTTTTTCGTTCCAAGTGTTCAGCACGTGTAACCGAAATATTGTCACCAGAATCGCGAAAAGATGGAGCTGAATGAAAAAAAAAATATAAATAAATTTGAAAAAACTTGTAACAAAGAAAAGACTGACGAACCTTGAATTTGCATCCGACGTAACTGTTCTCGGGTTTGTTCTTCAACCACTTCAGTGGTCAGCCTGGTCGGAGTGTCAATTGGTAATGATGGTAATGATGGTGATAAAGATGATAATGGTGATGTTGTCGTCGTAGTCGTCGTTGTTGTTGATAATGATGATGATGATGATAATGATGTAACCGGCAATGCAGCCGGACGAAAAATAAAACGTGGACGAGATCGTCCACGAAAACTCATGATGATTGTTTTTTTTTTATACCAAGAATTAATTCGTCAAATCAATAAAAAATGATAACTTGCTTCAAACTCGAAAACGGCATCGGAAACAAAATCAAATCGCTCTCTTTAAATGTGAAAAATTTCAACAAACAAATTGTTCATTACACTCAAGTTCGATTTTTCGAGAATGTGCGAACAAACAAAAAAATTCGAACACTTCCACTTTGATGCAGCTCCATCTATCGGTCGACTAGAGGTTTAACAAATTGAGTAATTTTTTCGTTTTTTTTTAAAAATATCAATTTTATTTCAATCAAAAAAGATAAATTAATATAATATAATAACAAAAATAAGATCAAAATTGTTCAATTAATCGATTAGCCAATTGTCGCATATTGCCAAATACTTTCGATGGTGGACTACCCAATATTAGATTACAGATAGCCGTACGTGCTGCACGAATATTATTATATGAACCGAGTATATGAATCTTGGAATCAGCCAAAACAATTCGTGTTTTCGTAATATTTTCAATAGTAAATTTTATACGACCACCAGTGCCAGCAATACGACCAATTGCACGATTTAAATGATTACCTTTTAATCGTTTAACTTGATTGATTGTATACAAAGAAAAGAGAATATTAATTTTTTGACAAAACAAGAAAAAACAAATAGAATACATACCATCTTGTATTTCGAATGATTCAATAAACATTTCATCTAAACGAATCAATGCAAGTGCATCTTCAATTTCGAATCCTAAGATGAATGCCTGTACAAAATCGGCTGCTTTTTGTATATTACATTTATCCGATAATCCAGGTGGTGTACGTATTTCTACACATTTGGTACGTATATTGAAACGCATCTGTAATTTAAGATGTTCAACAATTGGTGTGAATATTCGTAGCCAATTCTCTTTCAATGGTTTATAACGATTTAATGGAACCTGAATTTTTCGATATTCCACTCCTGAATACTATTGTTTGCGAGAAAAAGTTGTTAAAATTTAAAGCGAAAAATAATAACAATGATGCTTACCGTTGAACTTTCATCGACTGGTTTAAAATTTGGTAGTTTTGGCAATGATTTATTATCATCATCGATTTCCATTTCATCTAGTTTACGTTTATTTTTTGATTTTTTACCCACTACTACTTTGAATTCTGAATCTTCATTGTTGTTTTTTTGTTGTTGTTGTTCAGTTTTATAATCTTCAATTTTTGCCATTTCGGCATCTAATAGATCGGCCATTATTTTTTTTTTTTTTTTGAATTTTCAAATTCAGATTCTAACCAACAAATGAACGGTCCACGTGTTTTTATCCTCTGGATTCTCCGAATATTTTTTCTATTGATGGCCATTCATATATGACGTTTCAAAAAATGTAAATATTCTTATCATTTTTTTTAAAACATTTATCGATTTGATTCATTTCCGGCTTTCTGACAAAACATGATCAGAAAAAAAATGAAATTGAATTTGTCTTAATCCGGTGATAATTGTGAAGATTTTTGAAAAAAAATCCAAAATCTCATCATATGTTCTTTGAATGGCTGCTTCACACACGAGCGGCTATTGAAATCTGCTGGAACAAATGCTTCTGCTACTGCTGCTGCTGCTGTTGTTGAGTTTAATGATTGATTGATAAATTTAATTTGTTTTGTCTCATTTAAATTGTCACATCTGGTATCTGGATCTATATTTTTATTTTGAACCCTTTGGAACTTTGGAGCAATTCATCTATTTCTTGCCAAATGACTAAACAAATTATGAATATTTTCGGAAAACTTGAATCTGAATATGAAACTATCCAGAAATCATTGACCGTCATTGATGATAGTATTAAAAAAATAACCGGTAAAGATCCAGGCCGTATTTTTGATGAAAAAATTGGACGTAATAGATTTCGATCATCATCATCATCATCGTTTGCTATTGGAAATAAACGAAAATTGTATGTATTGTTTTCGATTTGTTTTTTTAAAATCTGATTTTAATTTTTTTTTTAAATTCAATTCGAATTTATAGAAACGAATTCGATGATAATGATATCGATCATTTTGATAATCATCACGATGACGATGATGATAGTCCATACAAACGTTCATTACAGTCCCAAGTGGTGGCCACTTCATGGGAAATGAAACACCGTAATCAGGTGCTTGAAGAACAAAAAAATGATAAAAAATCAATGTCACGTAATCGTCGAATGTTTGGTCATATACTAGGTACATTGGAAAAATTTAAAAATGAACAATCACAACGTAAAGATTTGGTAAATATCATCTCTTTTTCTTGCTTCGCAATTAATCTATCTTGTTTAATCCCAAACGTATCTAGCAAAAACGTGCTGAAATTGAACAAAAATTAGATCAAGCTGCCGAACAAGAACGTGAAGCATTGAAAAAAGAACGAGAAAAATTATTTAAAGAACGTAAATCAAAACGTTTACAAATGAAATGTTTAGAAATGAAATTACAACGTGCTGAAATTGTATGTTGTTTGTAAATGTTTTTGATCAATATTTGTATCAATTATAATGAATTTATTATCTTTCCATTAGCATAAAAAATGGGAACAATCACAACAATATTTGGGAAATTTTATTGAAACCAAAACTAAACCAAATATATTCTATATGCCAACGAAACATAACGCTGAAACAATGAAACGTTCACAAGAAACTAAAGATAAATATAGAAGTAAGTGGTTATTTTTTTTTCATTGCCAAAAAAAAAATTTACTGTAAATTGTTCACTTTGTTTAGTCATTTTTGCTGAAAAACGTGCTAAAATACACAAAGAATTGAATGAAATCGATGAAATGTATCGTATGAATAATGACGAAGAATCTGGTACTGGTGTTGTTGGTGATGGTAATGATGTTGAAAATCAATCTCATCATAATCCACCATTACATGATAATGATGACAAGAATCGGAATAAATCTCAGGATAATAATGATGATTCAAAGAAAAATGGTCATTTTGTTGGTCAAATGGCAAAAGAATCGATCAATTCCACTGCCACCACTACAAATGTTGATGGAAATGCATCGAATTCGATAAAAATTGTTGATGAAAAAATAACTGAAGAAATAAAATCCAAAGAACAAAAAAATCTTGGTCATCATCATCATCAACACCACCACCACCACCATCATCATCATCATCATCCTAGTAAAAAATCTTTAAAAGAAGAACCACAGAGTAATAAAACATCGAAAGAACAGTCACAACCACAAAAACAAGTTGCTGATGATGAAAAAGAAAAGGAAAGAAAATTGATCGATAAAGAAGATTTTGAACCAGATTATGATTGATTTATTTATTGAATCGAATCGATCGTAGTAAAACAGAAACAAAAACATTTCATCATTTTTGTTAAATATAAATTTTATCATTTTTTTTACAAGAAAATTTTTCATTTTCATTTTTTGATTGTTTGTTTGTTTGTTTGTCACACACACACACTTACATCATATTGTAGTTGTTGTCATCATCATCACACCTTGATTTAGCATGAATGAATTTAGCCATAAATAAATATAAACTGATTGCAAAGACTTTGATCTAAACGTCCATCTAATGGATAAATCATTTGTTTATGTCGATTATTATTAAGAATTTTCGATTTTATTCGTCGTAGATTTTGATTACTTTCACATAGTTTTCGATAATTCCATATATGTAAATGTTTACTTTTGCCTTGACGAGCGTATACGAATAATCGATCCATTGATAATAAATGTTTTATATTGTCGAATTTGTTCGATTTCAGTGGACACAATAATACATCAGTTTCAAGATTCACAGTTTTTTCAAAATCTTTGGTCAATATATTTACTGTTTCGGATGAAGAATCAACCAAACAGAATCCACAAAGCAATGCCCAATGTGCACGATTGCCTTGTCTTAATCCAGGTTCATGATTAAAATCTGAATCATATGGCACGAGAATTGGTTGTCCATTACATAAATGTTCGATTACATCATACATTGATCGTTCCAGATCATAACGATGTTCAGCATTTAATGAAAATTCTTCACGTATAAATTTGGCCATGTTTTCCACTGTGAATGAGAATTTGGTTGAAATTGAAAGAAAAAAAAATCATTATTTTATCCATACCAGAAAACATTTCACCAAATCTGGTAATGCCATAGGATTTAGCTTTTATCAATATTTTGGATAGATCAATATCGTATTGATTATCGATCAATTTGAGGCACATTATCAATGCAACTAATCCACATCTGAATATATAGAAACAAAGAATAAATGAAACGTTAACAATTTCGACGTTTCGAAAACTTACGTTGGACCACTTTGTATAATTGGATCACAATGATGATATAATGACAGCAATAATACTGGACTATTATTTTGTTTGAATGATTTAAATGATCGAATGAATCTTTGACAAGCAAATTTAACAATTTGATCCGGATTAGCAACAACATTCGATTCGGATTTTTCTACAAATGACGAATTCGGATAATGTTTTATTGTTAATGTTAAAGAAAATATGGATTGGGGCAGTGGTGGTGGTGGTGGTGGTGGTGGTGGCGGCGGCGGCGGTGGGGTCACTCCTGAAAATATCTTCGATGGACTAGAATCAATTAATGAATGATAAAATGAAGACATTATATCACAAATTGATCATTTAGATTTCTATCGAATAAATGAAATCGGTCGCAATCGATAGATGGAGACACAGATCGAGCACAGCTGTGTGTGTGTATACATTTTGCTCGAATTCGGCTTTCGACACGACACAGTTAGTCATTCTGTCCAACCAACAAAACAAAAACAAATCAATCGACGATTTTCGATTGAATTTGAATAAATACGAAAATCATTCATATTTTTATTTTTATATATAAATAAATAATGAATCCAAGTGGTAATGAATTTACATTACGTGTTGCAATCTGTGATCTAGTTGAACGGCTGAAACGTATGCAACATAAATGTTCATATTTGGAAGAATGTCGTAATCAATTAGTTAAAGAAGTAATACGTTTACGTTTACAGAATGAATGGCTAGCCAGACAGATTGGTAATGATTCGCCAGAGATATCATCATTGCCACCACCACCACCACCACCAACACAATCACAGCAACAACAGAATTTGCAAATATGTTTTTCATGTAATCAACAATCGGCCAATAATAATAATAATAATAATCTAGTCAATCATAATGCTCATTGTCAACATCATCATCAACAACAACAACAACAAATGATCAATGGCCATCAAAAGTCGAATCGTCTTAATGATGATGATGATGATGAAGAAGAAGAAGAATCACCAATGACGAATCGATCAGCAACAGCAAAAGATGATAGCAGTATACATCTAATAAATATATTAAATGAATTTGAACGTAATGATAATAGTGAAGAATCGAATCGCCAGGATTCCATACGACAATTAACCATTCAGATGTTGAAAGATTTAGATGCTGAAATGAAAACTGGAAAATTGAAAATGGAATTGATTAATTTCGTTCGAAATAATATTGAAAATTCATCATCATCCAATGATGATGGTGATGAGCTGATAAAATTTGATAATCATCAAATGGAAATGGATGGAAAACAACAACAGCAGCAGCAACAACAACAACCAATGATCAATCAAACAAATCAATCGAATGATTATGAAGCATTCAATAATAATAGTGATTATTATACAAATTCACATAATATAAATGTGCAACAACAACAACAACAACAACGTGCCATAACAATGGCCAAAATTATTGAACGATCCACTAATGATGTTGATGTGGATGAAGAAAAATTGAACAAATTACAACCTTCATCACAAAGACAAACGATATCCCGGCGACAGGATGCGGAAAATCGTAATTTTTTGAATTCAGCAACTGCTACTACTACTGCTGCTGCTGCTGCTGCTACTGCAACTGCCACTACAACATCCATATTCAATAGTATTGATCTTGTAACACAAGAAAATCAATTGATTAATATAATCAAAATAATACGTAATGATATTAAATATCTACATCAGGGCGTTTTAGCATCGACGGATAAACTTAATCGTTTGAAAACAAGACAATTACGACATTTTTTTCAAAAACAAATCAATCTTGAACAGCAGCAACATCAGCAACAACAATCCGGAACAACGTCAACAAATAAATAAATCGAATGAATTCATCCAATCAGCAAATGAGTATTTGGAATTTTTTTTTTGTTATTACTCGTTAAGGAACCATCAAAAACATCATGCTGACAACAAAGAAGAAAAAAAAACAATGACGATCATCATCATCATCATCATTCCAATAATTTTCTTGCCTTATTGATTTTTTTTTTATTTCAAACTTTGTCTTTCCATTTGGCTGTGGGACTGTGTGGAGTGGTGGTTGCTAGATAGCTAAGATTTTTAAAATTCTCTTTTTTCTACAAATTCATTCATTTCAAAATGGAAACAAAAACAAAAAAATTTTTTTTTGTTTTTGTTTTTTTCTCTCTCTCTCAAAAAAAAAAATAATTGAAAATGATGTGTTTTTTTCTGGTCTTGCGTTTCACAATTTCAAATTCAGCCGCATTCATTTATCATCATCATCATCCGCATCAAATTTTGATTCATTGAGTTGTCATCATCATCATCATCATTGTTGTTGTTGTTGTTGTCGATGTTGATGTTGATGTTGTGTGAATGGGTGTAGAATATCGAATTTTTCGTTTCATTGTTGAACAGATTTGAAAAATGGATATGTTTTGCCGGAAATTGTTTTTTTCTTCTTTTTTTTATTTTCAAGAAAAAAAAACAAGCAACTCAAATGAAAAAAAAAAAAAATCGAGGCCAATGTCATCATCATCATCATAATTCATGGAATGAATGAATTTTATTCGGGTTTTTTCTGTAAAATGATGACGCAACATGCATAAAAGTCTAGTTTATTATTTTTTTTTTTTTTTGCAAGCAAATTGGCCATCATCAAAAGGGCCAATAAACAATCAATGTTTATCAGATTCCATAAAGCAGAGTGGCGCATTGGAAGCGTGCTGGGCCCATATAGTAGTAATAGAGATGGGAAAATCAATGATGATTAGAATTTTTCATTTTTGCATAATTTAGGCAACCCAGAGGTCCAAAACCATACTCTGCTATGTGGAAATTTTTTTTCTGCATTTGAAATAAATGAACAAATGGATTAATGAAAATGACAAACAAAATCCTTTTTTGACGACACAAACCTACACGCCAAAACAAAACAAAACCAACAAAAAAAAATGCAATTTATCCAATATGTCGTGTGTGCGTGGGCGTTCGTTTTTTTCTGGTTGAATAACTGACCCAAAAAAACGAGAAAAGAAAAAAAATTCAAATGACGCCCACAAATGAAAATGAAACGACAATTCATTGTCAATCCAATTCCGATTTCAATCATCATCATCAACAAAGTTTCCGGAATATTATTATTCCAACTGCCATCAAGATGATGATGATGATGATTGTTATCACGTCATTTTTATTCATAGTGTTTTTTTTCACCACAACCACCATTATTTGTTGTTCTCGTTGTTGTTGTTGTTGTCATTTCTATTTTTTATCTAGTTTTTTTTTTTTCTGGGGCCAAAATAACAAATCTGTGACCAAAAAAACAACAACAACCATACCCGATGATGATGATGATGATGGAACACAGATGTTTATCATCATCAGATAATCAGTATCGGGTAAATTACATTTTTTCTTCAAGAAAAAAAAAGCAAGAAACAATCTTAATGATGATGATGATGATGAGAAACATGAACATAACAAAGAAACAATTCCAAGACCGATTCTGGAATTTCGAAATTCATTTTTTTTATTCTGTTGCCAATTAATTTCAATTTTTTCTCGGAATTTTTAAACAATGAAAAAAAATAAATAATCAAATGCATGACAGTGAAGCAAACATTGATGATGATGATGATGATGGTGGCCTGTTTGCATAATCACGAGAAAAAAAACAAACTGATTAATTACGAATATCGGCAATTTGACAATTAATTATCCATATTTCAAAACAAAACAAAAAAAATTTTATCCTTTGTATCTCTCCACCATGGTAATGATGTATTAAATCGCTGATCCATAAGCAGACAGATGATGAATGAATCAAATTTCGTCACAAATTTCATCATCAGCATCATTATAGTCGTCGTTGTCGATATTGTTTTCGGCGAGCAGAAAAAGAAAAGTTAATTCCCCACTGTATTAGTATGTTTGTATTTGTTTCGGAAAGTGGGGAATTTTTTTTTTTCATTTAAAATTGATTACAGAATTTCATCGTCGTCGTCGTTGTTGTTGTCATTGGCATGATTCTTTTTCCGTCTGATTTGTTGTTGATAAATGTCACACACACACACACACACACATGCACCAAGTTTTTGTGAAAATTTTCAGACATTAAAAATGCCCAGTAATTTAGCAAATTGGACAAATTCATTTTCATTCCATTCCATTCTATCTATCTGTTTCGCAATACCGGTTAAGAATGGCGTTTTGTTGTTTCTCGATCAAATTTAAATAACTTGTATCGGGAAGATTGAAACTACCGGAATCAAAAAATTCTGAAAACCAAGAATAATAATAAATGCTAGGATTTGTTTTCTTCCACCACTACAAACAAAAACATCACACGAAATAATGGCTTAAAAACTTTTAAAAATGGGTGCAAAAAAAAAAAAAAAAACCTAAAACCCCCGCCACTCAGAAACAATGTACTTTGTTATCGCAACTTATCTTGTGCATGTGTAATCCGTATTCATTCTTGAATTTTTTTTTCTTTGTGAAAAAAAAACAAATCTACACAGAGGAAAAATAAAGACAAAACAGCAAAACAAAAAGTTTATCACGTATCTCATTTACGTAACCAACAAACAAACGAAAAAGAACAGACAAAACATTCACAGTAAAAGATCATTACAAATGACAAACATCAAAATAACAAAAAAAAACTTTAAAATAAAACATCAACCAAAATTACACACACCCACACGACAGAGAGAAAAGAAAAGGAATTTTTATTTCTGCATCTGACATTCAAAAAAAAACATCTCATTCATTTCGTTAAAGTTTTGGAATTTTTTTTTTTTTTTTTGGTTTGCTTGTTACAACCCGACACTGGCACAATATTTGTGTCTTCATTAATATTACATCAGTGATCAGTGTCTGTAGCTGTGTGTGTGTGTGTCGATCAGTGATAATAATAACTTATTGATAATCTATATCATCGTCATAATTATGGTGGATAATTATAATGGATTCATTTTCATTTTCATTTTTTTTTGTTTCTCCAGAGTTCAGCGCTTTCGTTGTTAGGTTGATTAGATTGAATCGGGTGTGTGTTTATTATTGTGGAAAATTAATTTTTTTTTGCCATTTCACTGAATCCAATCGAATTGGATTGATTGTGGTGAAAGAAAGGCTTGAACAAGGCCATTAAAGTTACAATGGTGGAGAAGATTTTATTCGTTTCTCAATAACGATGAAACGGATGAACTTTTGTTCACAAAATAACATCATCATCATCATAATGATGTTGTTGTTGTTTTGGTGATGATGATGATGATGATCATCGGAGGAAAAAAAGAATATTCCAATGAACGATTCGGATAGATGAAAGTGAAAAACTAAAACTAAAACTCTACAATCAAGAAACAAAAAAAATTTGTGTGCATGTATTGTCAGCAACGACGATGAAAAATTGTGGAACAAAAACCGATAAAAATTAAAATTAATGATTTCGTTATACACATTCGCCCCTTTTAAACATTGCAAATTGTACAAAAAAAAAGCTGAAAGAATATCGAGAGAGAGAGAGAGAGAGAGAGAGAGAGAGATAGAAACAATGAAAATTATAAAGAGCTTAAAGCATCAGAATAAAAAAAAATTCTGTTGAATAAAAAAACAACAACAAAAATAACAATAAACGATAAAAATGCAAACAAAACAAAAATTCAAGCTACAATCAACCAGGAATGAATACGAAACAACAATAATCAATGAAACAAGAATTTTCTGATTTTGAATAAATGAAATGGAAGGTGAATCAAAGAATGAAAGAATCGAGAAAGAGAGAACAACAAGAATTGTTATTTTTTTGTTTTTTTTTCTCATATAAAATAAAATAAAAAAAAAATTCATGCAACCAAAAAAAGAGCATGCGTTATGCGTCTGACATGATTTTTGTTTTGTTTTGTTTTCAATTGGTTAAATAAAAATGTGAATCATACAACGACAACGGCAAAAGATAGATAAAATCGCGCCATAAGTTCATTTCATATCAACATTTCATTGTGTACGGAAGAATACATAGAATTTGTGATTGAATTATTCAGTTTATTTATTCTTTTCATTTAATCTGGTGTGTGTGTGTGTGTGTGTGGGTGTCAAAATGCAAGTTGATGCAATTTAATTTTGTTTTTTTTTTTTTTCCGGAACATCAATCAAATCGAAATTCATTGCTTCAAGGTGTTTGTGTGTGTGTGTGTGTTTTTATGTGAAAATATGTATTAAAAATGAATGAAAACAACAACGACAACAACAATAATGATGATGATGATGACAAACGAAACAACGTTCAATGATAATAATGATGAATTATTCAATATAACTAGACATTTATATGAACATCTTGGTCCACAACAAGCATTACCATTAATATGGCTAATATTGATGACATTTGTCTATATTTTCATTTTAATATCCGGTATTATTGGCAATATTATCACCATTTTGGTCATATTTCGTTTTCGTTATATGCAAACCATTACAAATCTTTATCTTTGTAATCTTGCCATTACAGATCTGATTTCATTGATGTTCAGTAAGTATAGTGATGATTTTTCATTCAAAATGGATAAACTATGTGTGTGTGTGTGTGTGTGTGTGTGTGTGTATTTGTGGAAAATCTAAAAAATTCTATCGGATGATTATTGTTTCTGATGGATCGATTTTTTTTCTCTCTCTCTCTCGTTCAGATTCTCAATTTCAAATCTCATTATTTTTTTTTTCATTTCTATTGCTACCATTTATTCATTTTGCAAAGAATAAATGGAAAAACATTTTTCAATGATCATGATGATGATGATTTCATGTTCATTCAAACGTTTTATTATTTGTTGGTTCATTGGAGCTTAAAACGCACACCATTATTTGTAATTTTTTTCCATTCTTCTTATTCTTCTCCTTTTTCTTCTTTTCAAATGATGAACACACCCATCTACCCACACGGAATTGATTATCCAACTACATTATTATTCTATACAACGGAAGAAAACCAATAATAGTGGGCGCTGATATCAGCAAACCAACACCAAATTCTAGTCTATTTGTATGGTGAAACAATATGATCGCTTGTCAACAACAACAACCGAAACAAAACAAAAACAAAAAGTTTAACAACAACTGATCAAACAAACAAACAAACAAACAAACAAACGAGAAAAAAAAGAATTGAGAACAATTGGAACCAAAGAAAAAAAAATATGATGATGATGTCCATTGTTGTTTCTATATATCGAGTAAAGGAATAATTGGCTATCCAGAATTCATATACGGGTGAATTCTGAACAATAAAAAATTATGATTCTGATGATGATAATACAGTTGTGTTTTTTTTTCTCTCTCTCACTCTCTTTTTTTTGATAATCGTACATGTCAAGAATATTTTCGACGGTTATTATGAACTGGTTTTCACAGAAGAAGAAGAATATTCTTGGGTGATAGTGATATGGTAACCAGCAGCAGAAGGAAATTTTTTTTCTTATTTTTCTTCTTTTCTTTTTTTTTTGATAATAAAAGTAATGAAAATTCTTCTATCGTTGCATCTTTCATTCATTCATTCATGCACATTCTTTGCCCAGAATTTCTTCTTCATGTTGTACAGTTGAATTCAGATTTTTTTTTTATTAACAAACAAATGAAAAACAAGATTTAGACACACACAAACCAAAACCGAATGGAATAATAATGTAGGATGGAAAAAAATTTTTTTTTCATTCTTGCAACAAAAACCAGAATTCTTCTTTTTTTGGATCTGTAAAATGTGAATAATATTCTCAGATGATTCTCATGACAGATTTTTTTTTTTTTTACCCGTATGCGTATCTGTATCTGTTCATCATCATCATCATCATGTTTTACATTTTTTCTTATTCTCATTTTTTTCTACATTCTTGCAACACACACAAAAAAAAATAACCGGAAAGCAGAAAAAAAATGAAATTGAAATAAATTAATTCCTATATTTACCGTTGGCAGTTCATTCAAAATAATCATTGCAATTTTATTCACTTTCTATCCGGAATTATTCAGGATAGAAATTCTTCCAGAATTTCCTACTTCCATCCACTTTGATTCCTCGAAAATAATAATGATGAGCTACACACGTACACACACACACACACACAAGCAATTGAAATGGATTTTTGTTGTTGTCGTTGTCTTGAATTTCTTGTTTTTTTTTTTCTCTCAATTTCTGTTTTTTCCATCTCTCATTTCTGTTTTTTTCCAGGATAGAAATTCTTCCAGAATTTCCTACTTCCATCCACTTTGATTCCTCAAAAATAATAATGATGAGCTACACACGTACACACACACACACACACAAGCAATTGAAATGGATTTTTGTTGTTGTCGTTGTCTTGGAATTTCTGTTTTTTTTTCTCTCATTATTATTTCTCTCATTATAATAATGGATGAATGAAAAAGAATCCTTTTCCTATTCTTTTCTTTTTGTTGTTTATCCATCATCAAAATAATCATTTTTCGTTCTCTTGAAATGGAAATGAAATTTTTTTTTCGCCCAATTCCATTTATTCAATAAAACATAGCAAATTTGGATGGTCAAAACAAAAACTTGCAGTCCAAAAATTTTTTTCTGACCAAAAAAAAAGATAATTGGTCCAAAATATTCATTTACAAAATAATGTTAATGACTGGACATCATCATCATCATCATCATCACCATTAAATTTAATTAATCTTGGATCATTGAAAGAATTTTGTGTTTGTAGGTCAAAACTGTTGTTGTTGATCGAGGAATCAATTTTTTCTCTCCCATTTTTGAATTGATTCAAATGGCATGTGAAAAGAAAAACTTGATTCAATTCAACGAAGCAGAAAAAAAAATTTAAAAAAAAAGAAAAAGATTCTTTTTCTGGTTGTTGGTGAGAGACATCGAGCAAAATTCCAATGAAAATGGAAAATTGAAAATTGAGAATTGGGAATTGGCCTGGCACAATATTTGATTTGATTTTTTGTTGTTGTTGCTAAATTGAATCCGAATTTTATTTTTTGAGCTGTCAAAATTTTAATTTCAAATCAAACTACGGTAGATATACGAGTGGGAAAAAAAAAATGAAACAAAATGAAACAACTTTATTATCGCTGCTGTCAATTTGGGTTTATTACTATAACTACACGCACAGACATAGACAGAGATTCATTGATTTTTCAAAATTTTTTTTTTTACTTTCTCTCATTTACCATCAAGGTTTACCATTGGAATTATATACACTATGGCATCAATATCCATGGCAATTGGGTCCGATAATGTGTTCATTGAAAACATTGATATTGGAAGGCACAGCAAACGCATCGGTACTTACGTTGGGTATGTTTTTTTTTTTTTTTTTTGGTTTCACTGAAAATTCAATTTTCCACTAAATTTTATTTTTTTTTCTCTCAATTCTAATAGTTGCATTCACTGTAGAAAGATTTTTGGCAATCTGCGGTTCAACAAAACATCAAACATTACAACCATCGACACAGACATTGTTTAAAAATGATAAATCAATAATACGCATAAAACGTTTAGTATATCGTAATATTGCGCTCATATGGATCATATCCATTGTAGGCGCATTACCATTGGTGCTATTAACACGTGTAAATTATTTGGAATTTAATCAAAAAAAATTAAAACAAAGTGCCTGGTGTGGCCTTGCATACAATGAACCGGATAAACGCTGGGAATTGATAATGTTATTGTCGACAATCATATTTTTTCTTATACCACTAATAATAATAACATATCTTTATTATAAAATTGCCAAAAAATTGAAAAAAGCAACAAAATTAGATAATATGAATAGTCATTATTATCAACATCAGAATCAGAATCAGAATCACTATCAGCATCATCATCAGCATCAGCATCAATCGGATATTGGACAATTAAATGATCACGTAATTTCAAGGAAAATAATTCAATCACGACGTATTGTCATTAGAATGTTGGGTATGTATCTATGTACATGTGGAAGGTGGTGTGTAATTCCCCAAAAAAAAAAAACATACAACAAACAAAAAGAATTTTTCTCTAAAATTTTCAAGGCTCCTTCCATCATGATTGTCATAAATTCCAACGATTCTGCATGTATACTATTTATTTTTAGTAACAATAAATATTGTATGTATGTATGTATACCTGCTGCTGTCTCCCAGAAGAATATTCTTTCTGTCCTTATTGCTCTGTACAATCATTGCAACAACAAAAAAAAAAATTCGACAATGATGAATAAATATAAATCATCAGCGATCAAAAGAAAAAGTTGACAACAACCAAAAAAAAAAATGATTGCAACAAAACAGCAATATATCACCTATTCATGTTCACCTTTATGGCTAAATTTTATTACATAACATGTGATTCTCTCTCTTTCTCTCTTATTCGACAAATGAAACTAATTATCCGAATCAGAAAAAAGTAGAAAATTACTGCTTCCATTTTTTTTTGTTGACTTTCTTTAATTACACTAATGGTCCGAATTTTTTTTTGCTCATTTTCCGTTTTTTTTTCATTTATTTTCACAATTATCATCATTACATAATATGATGATTCAATGGTGGATGGACATTGTATATATATTCAATTCATAGTGGTCATTGTCATTGTATTCACATTCTGTTGGTCACCATTCCATGCACAACGTCTTTTATTTCTATATGTTACACTATATTCAAGCTGGAATATGGTTCTACGACAAATTAATGGCATTTTATTCTTATCAGCTGGTATGTTGGGCACCATTCTCTCTCTCTTTTTTTTTTCGATTAATTAATCAATTTTGATTTTGTTTTTTTTTTACAAAATGAAACAGGATGTCTATACTATCTAAATAGTTCATTAAATCCATTGGTAAGTTTTTTTTTTTTTGATCGTCCATTTGTTTTGTTTCTCACGTTTTTTTTTTTTCATTTTTATCTAGATTTATTCATTATTATCAACAAGATTTCGTGCTGCATTCATGCTTTATGTACAAACTTGTTGTGGCCGTCATGGTTTAAATTCAAGTGGTCATAGTAATAGTGGTCAATCAGCTCAACAACAACAACAACATTCTCATCATCAACAACAACAACAACAAAGAATAGGAAATCGACAATTTGCACATCAATTATCGATCGGTGGTAATGATGGACGTAATAATAATAATAATTCAAATAATTCATCAATCAATGGTGGAAATGGAAATAGTATTCTAGGTGTTAGCGGTAGTGGAAAGGTAGTGGCAAACAATAAAAATAATTTGTGCCTTACAACTAATAATAATAACAGGATACCATCGATTGTGATGACCGATACATCATCGATGGTTATGATGATGGCAAACAATCGAAATAATAATCACCATCACCATAATCATCAAAATATAAAATGTAATTCAAAATTACAATTACCACAACAATGCTGTAAACACAATCATCATCATCATCATCATCACCATCATCAATGTCGCCATTACAACCACCATCATCATCATAGTCAGAATAATTTTCGATTACAAGTTGAAAACAATAATAAATCGGACAACGAAAATGAAACCAATCATCATCATCAACATCATCATTTGATGATATCGACACAAAATTCTTGGTGAAAAATGAAAACTTGAAATCAATTTTTAATCAGGATTTATGATGAATAATAATTTGATGATCATTATTATTGATGTCATGTTTATGGTTGTGGTTGTTTTTTATGATTTGATCATAAAAATCATCACCATTTGGTATTACTAATAATTGTGGTGGTGGTGGTGGCTGCTGTTGTTTTTCCATTTTATCCATGGTTTTTTGCCCATGTTGCTGTTCCGGTTCCGGTTGTTCATCATTATTATTTTGATTCATTGTACTCATCATCATTGTTGCTGTGGTTATTTCACTTGTATCATTTAATTTTATTGTTTTTGTATCTGTATCATTTTGTTGTTGATTCGATAGGTGTCGTTGCCGCTGTTGTTGTTGCGGTTGACGATTATCTTGTGGACATGGTAATCCATTGCCGAATTGAAATCGTAATCTTCTCATCATTAGCAATGAATTATCATCACGTTTTCTACCCGATAAATTATTATTCATTGGCATTTTTGAACTTGAATATCGATAAGAATGTGTAAAATTAACATCATCATCAAAATCATCATCATTATCATCTAATGGACCATCATTACAATTACCATTGAAACGCCAATCTTTACTTATATTACGATAAGCATACATGATTGTCATGACCAAAATTGTTGCCACAATCAATGTAGCAATAAGAATGGACCAAATATAACCAAATGATTGTGGTCGTGATGGTCGCAGTGGATTGATCGATGTTGAATCATTCGATTTTTGTTTTGAATACTTTGTTCTTTCCACAATATTTGCATATAATGGTAAAAAATTTCTTTTTCTCACCTCTTGTTGAATTTGATTTCGTTCAACAATCGAACCCGATATCGATAGTATCGCTGTTGTTGTTGTTTCGATAGTCAATGATGATGATGATGATGAATTGATATTCAAATCGGACGATAAAATGATCGATAAATTGGTGATTATTACAAAAATTTTCAATAAAAATTTATTCATCCATTCTGGTGACATAATCGAATCGTGAAAACAAAACAAAATGAAAAACAACGAGAACAACAACAACAAAACAAGGAACTGGGGATAGAATTCATTTCATTTTTAAAAGTTCAAATGAAATTATTCAATTAAATTTTGAGGATTTTGTTTTGATTTCAAATTTCAAATTTAATTTATTTTCTCTAATTCATTTTACGATCAAAAGATGGCAGCAATTTCACCGAAAAACATTTTGCTTGCGAAAGAAAATCGAATGGAAAAACAAAATCAAACAAAATCAGAGAAAAAACCTGTCACAATCCAGTTAAGATAATTGATGTTATTATATAATAGGAAAAAATGGCAGAATTTTTATCGCCCACCTACCTTCGTATAATTTGGTTTTTTTTTTTCTGGAAACGATCCAAAATCGAATCAAAATGATTAAGATGATGATGATGAGAAATAGAGATTAGACGTCATTTTTTTTGCTTGAAGCTTTTCTAAAGCTTTTTATTCAATCACATGATAACGAACAAAAAAAATAGGAAATAATTTCGCAACATCAAAACGTCAGAAAAATTTTAATCTAAATCTGAAAAAAAATTCAATTTTCATTCCATTCAACCATTAAAATGACGTTGATGGTGGTGGTGGTGGTGGTGGTTCTGTTTTTTATCATCATCATCATTATCACTGAAACAAAAAAAAAGAATCAGGTCAATGCAATATTTCCAACTACAGGTTTATCATCATTATTATGGCGCAAATGTTTTAGATCACAACCAATGAACAAATCAAATCAAATAAAAAATTTGCAACAAAAACTAAAAAACAAATCATCGTCATCAGTGAAAAAAAAAATTATTGGAAATTAAATCAGCAACGAAACCAGAAAAAATATTTCCAGAAAATTTCCCAACCAATTTCTCTCTTTAAACATTCAAATCATCACATGCACATGTGATCGTGATCATTTTCATTTTTTCATTTTTATAATTATAATTTATAATAAATAATCAAACAAAGTAATAAGAAAAAGCTTTAGTTAGACCTGTGTGTAATAATAATGATAATGATGCTGATGATGATCATGACAAAGATTGATTGAACTAGATTCATCATTCTCTTATATTCTTGGTGAATTTTCTTTTCCCCATCATCATCTTGTTGTTGTATTGGATCCAATTCCATTGTTGTTGCTGCTGCTGCTGCTGCAATTGTTGTCGAGAACAAAACCAAAATCATCCATTGTTGATGCCTGTAGTCGTTGTTATTATTATTTTCTTTTATCTTTCGTTTTTTTAATCATAAAAATGACAAGATTCATATTTTCTTTCTCCTTTTTTTTTGCTGGGGCTTCAACAGTGTTAGTGGGGGGAGGCAGTGAAAGGAAAGTAAAAGAAATACCATTATCAAGAACAAAAGACTGAGTGAGAAACACACGGCGTTATATAAGAATAGAATACAAAATCAGTTATGAAATCAATAATGACGATGATGATGATGATAGTGGTGAAAAAAAAAGAATAAATATAGAACCTGTAAAAATAAGAACTAAAGAATATTCGTGCCATTTGAAAAGCATCTATAGCAACAACAACAACAACAATAATAATAATAATAACGAAACACTTTCAGTGTATGAGAAAAAAATAGGAAAGAAAACACACATATTATTATTAAAAAAGAAAAAAAAAGGAACCACAAGTTTTAATTAAATATTTCTCTTTCTCGTTCGTTTATTTTCATCTATTCGTTTTTTTTGGTGATATTCAATATTCAATATCGTCATCAGTGATGATGATGATTTGCTATTTATATCTCTGTTTTTTTCGGCTATTCCGCTGTTATTATCGCCATCGTCATCATTATAAAAATAAATTCATTACCAGCACACCACCACTGTGTGCTGAATTCTTTTTTTTTTTCATTGAAAAAAGATTAGAATTTTGAATTTTTTTCTATGGTAAAAGTTTGGAATTTCGCTGTGCACACCGAAAAAAAAAAAAATAAAATAACGCCAATCAAGCAAAGTAAGAAGCAAAAAAAAAATAGACAAGATGAAGAAGAAGAGAAAAAATCATGAATGAAATATAATAATAATGGCATCATAAATATCTTATTGCATCTTTTTTTTTCCTTTCCATCCAATCATTTGATGGAATCAAGAGGCTAAAAATGAAAAACCTTTTTGTTTCAATTATATATAGAAAAAAAAACACTGGAAAGATTCAAAAACACCTACACGCAGAGAGAGAGAGAAAGAGAATCGACAACAACAAAGATGGTTATAATGATAATTGCATCGCCGTTGTTGTTTATGGCAAGAATAATATTTTTCACCATATTTATCCATTGATTGGTTGGTCATAGATATCCACATAAAATGTTGTTGTTGTTGTTGTTGTTCAATCCATCTTATTAGTTGGTTATTACACTGAACACAACATTAACTGTTATATGATCTTGATGGTTGTTATTTTTGTTTTGTTTTTGTGTATTAAGTTTAGTTGAGAAATGAAAAAAAAAATTTTTTTTTCTTGTCCATCCAGTATCAGGTTACATTTGAACGAAAAAACAAAACAAAAAACAAACAACACATCCATCCACATAATACATACAATCAATAACCAATCTGCCAATATAAATGACAAATCGATCATCATCGATGCTCAACAAAAAAAAACATGAAAATACAGACACACACACATCGGAAATTGATTTTATAAATTTAATAATTTTTCATTTTTATTCAAAAAAATTTTTTTCTTCATAATAATAATTTTATAATAATTCAGCGCGCACACGCACACACACACACACACACACAAAATGTGATTTTTGTTTGCAACCAAAAAAGACAAATAATCAATAAATAAATATATCGAATTGACGAAAAAGAATGAAGATCCAAAAAAAAATCAATCAATGGTTGGTTGGTTGGTGGTGGTGGTGGTTGATGATGATGTGTCTGTGATTAGAGATAGATCAAAGATAGAATTGGAAAGAAAAAAAAATGACCAGAAACAGAAAAAAAAATAATGAACGTGTGTGTGTGTGTGTGGGTGTGAAAGTGCAAAAGAGAATGACAATGCCACACAAACACAAAGAAGTTCCAAATCGCACGTCGATTTGATTTGATGAACAGAAAAAAACAGTGTGTGGGTGTGGGTGTGTGTGTGTGTCACAAAGTTTTTGGTGCATTCACAATGTAATTTCAAATTCATTAATTTTTTTTTTTTTTAAATAAAAGTTAAATTATTGCTTTTTGAAATCGGTGATTGACTGTATTTTTTTTGTTTGTTTGTTTGAAAATAATAACAATTTTTCATAGAAAAATATAAGTCCACAGTTGATCAGTTGATGATGAATCAATCAGATCAGGTCCATTGTAATTTGATGATCATGATAATGATGATGATGATGATGAATGTGAAATAAACGTTGATGGCGCCTCCTTTAACAAAGGATAATCCAAATAATGATGAGAAATGATGTGTGTATCAAGTTAAATCAAGATTAATTCAGTGTGAATTTTATCGGTACGTGTGTGTGTGTGTGTAATGTGAATCAAAACAAAACGAAACAAAAAAAAATAATTCAAATTTGCATGCTGAGCGTGCTTTAGAAAATCAAAAGAAAAAAAAAACACGTGTATTGTGTGTGTATAATGTGAATGAGCGTGCAAAAGGCGTTGGAATGATGATTTGGATTTTAAATAAAAAAAATGATGATGACATTATAATAATAACAACAACAACAACAACAACAATGATAATTTTGTTCAACATGATCAAATTTCATAATTTTCATTTCTTGATGAATTTTTTTCTTTTTTGCATTTGAAAAAATAAATGTTTTCATCATCATTGAGTGATGAAAGAGATAGAGAGATAAACTTTGAATGAATAAAGAGAATCAATTGATGATAATCAGGTGGTGGTGGTGGTGGTGGTGTAGGTGTGATGAAGAGAAAAGAAAAGGCACAAAAAATTTTTATTTTTTGCTCGAAGTGAATGAATTTGTCGTTTTTGTGGCGGTGAGAAAGTTGATCATTCTAAAAAAAGTATAATATGAATATCAGAAAATTCAAGACAAGACAAACTTACCAAGCGCATGCGAATCACTGCGATTGTGAATTCAAGCAATCAACCGATGAGAACAAACAAACAAACAAACATTTGAAATGCAAATCAGATCATTGATTGATTGATTGATCAGTCTGCAGACTGTACACATATAGACTGTTTATGATGTGGATGAAAGTAAGAGAAAGAATGAAAAAGAATCGATGATTAAAGTCAATCAAAATTCCAATTCATTTGTCGTCGTCGTCGTTGTCGTTGTTCATTGTTTATAATAATTTTTGTTTTTCTGGTTACAATTCTCTTCATGTTTTTGTCGTTGTTGTCATCATTATTGCTGATTAGGCTGAATGAAATGAAAGAAATAAAATTCTGTGTGTGTGGATCGTAAATTTTGTATTGATCATCATTATCGATAATTATGATGATGATGATGATTTGAAACTTGATTTAAAATTCCATTCACATACATACACACACACACACACAACGGGAATATTCTGTTTGTGCGTGTGTGTCTTAATTGTCTCGAACATAGAAACATTGTATTGTTGTAGTACAACAGGAAGTAGTGTTTATCAAGATTCATTTCTTATTGTTGATAATCATTTCATGGTAATGATAGTGGCCAAATAACCCATAGAATCGTGATCAATTATCCGATTGGTATTTCCGGTTATTGTAAAAAAAAACAACAAACAAACAACAACAACAACAAAAACAATCACAACAACGGTTATTGACAATGACGAACAATTTGTTTGTTAGTGAATAGTAGTAGTAGTGGTCTATGTTTTTTTCCATTCAGCTGATTCAACGTTTGCCCATTCGTATTATTTGCTCTGATATATCAGTATTATCTCATCAAACGGCAGTCTCACGGTTACAAGCTTGTGATACGTCTATAGAAATAAAAAAAAAACACAAAAGATGAGAAAAAATATGAAATGGAAAAAAAACAAACGACCAACAATCGTCGTCGTAAATCTAAAAAAATGAGTATAAAAACCATTCAAGAGGTCGTGTCTTTGTCTTTTTTTCGAATTTCGTTTTAATCAAAAAACAAAAAACAAACGCAAAAAAGCCTGAAGCAAAAATAATGATTATTAAAAGCATGAAAATTGTATTGTATGCCATTATGGTTGTTATTATTGCTGCAACCACTATTCAATGTTGATAAAAATGAAATTTGGGAATATTCCTGGAAAACATGTAACATTTAGAAATCAACAAGAATATGAAAATAAATAAAACAAAAAGAGAGACCTGGTCAATAGAGATAAAATTTTCATGGAAAAAGAGAGAAAGAGAGAAGAAAAAATTCTTTTCGTTCAAAATCAATTTGTTTGTTTTTGTTTTTGTGCATACAATCTTGTTCTCTGTTTGCATGTTAACCAAATCAAAACATACGATCCACACACAGATACACAATGGAATGGAATGAAAGTCAATAAATAACAATGATGATAATAAATACAGAAAACATATACACACACAGAGAGAGAGAGAAAAGATGCACCAAATTTGGAGCAAAGAGAGAGAGAGAAAAAAATTCAATTTGTCGATTACCATTTATGTCATGTTTTCACTGTTGTTGTTGTTGTTTTTTTCGTAACAGAAAAGAATCCAAATGAAATGTTAATGTATTAGCTAGCAAAAAAAAAAAAAAAAGAAAATTCCATTCCATTCGATGATTCGATTCGATATCATCGAATGGATATATAAATATATTCAATTCACATTAACAACAACAACAACAACAACGACGACGACGACAAGAAAAAAAAACAAAAAACAAATGAAACAACAATAAAGCAGCCGCTTGGTTGTCATTGTTGGTGGTAAATTAAGAATTTGAAAAGTGGCCCTCAAAAAAAAAAAAAATTCTGACAATCGAAATTCTTTATTTTGATTGTTTCACAGTCGAATAATAATAATGAAATAATGAAATCGTGAATGAAATTGACAATGAAAATTTAAAAAAAAAAAAAATGAAATGAAATAAAAGACAGACAGATAGAATTTTTTTTTTGACCGGTGAAAATCTAAATTCAATAAAAGAATCTGACTTTGTTTTTTTTTCGATCAAAAAAAATTTTTCATTTTTTTTCTAATAAAACACGTTCATGACAAACAATTTCAGGTGAAAATATGTGTCGGTTTAGTTGAAGTTAAACCAACCAGAAAACCGAATTTAAATTTAGAATTTTTCTTCTTTTTTTTTGCTCAAAACGATGACGACCTTCATATGATATAATACAGAATTTCAGAATTTATTTTTTTGGGGGGGAGACCTTCTGTTTTTTTTCGATCACATTGATTTGACATATTTTTTGTTCTCTCTGGAGAGAACAAAAAAATGTAAAAGTAAAATTGGAATCAAACGGTTCATAGATTGTTTCTGACATCTGTCAATTTTTGTTTTTGCTTTTTTTCATTTACGCGGTAATCCAAAGACATGAAGAATTTTTTCATTGGCAAAATTGAATTTACCAAGTGTTTTTTTTCTGCGTCAACAAACCCGCATAGCTTTTGTTGTTTTTTTCCGCATACAAAAAAATGATCACTGATGGTTGATTGTTAGCTATAACTACCGGAAACAAATTCAATTTTCAAAATCTTAGACTTGACACACACACACACACGAACGAACGTGACCATTTCATTATCAAACATTTGACTGTTTAAATCATCATCATCATCATCATCAAACACACAACTAACACATTGACATCATTATCATGCACATGCACATACAAAAAAAAATCAATCGATCGAATGTGACACATTGTGATTGGTAGAGATGAAAAAAAAACTAAAAAATTAGAAATGGAAAAACTTTTTTCACGTTCAAAATCATCAAAGAATCAATTTTCTTGGAGTAGAAAAAAAAATTTTTTCCCATCAAATAATTTATGCGTTTAATTTACCACCCATTTACACAGTTTTCGATTCGTTTTGATTCGAAAAATGGTCCATTCAAACCAATTTTCATCGATACGTTGTAGTTTTCCCGATACGTCAATTCCATGATTCGAAAAATGGTCCATTCAAATAGTACGGGAAAAATATGAAATTTTTATAGCTTTTTTTTCTTTCTTTTTTTTCACTTGAAAAAATAATCATAATGATTGTCAGCCATATTTTTTTCTCTCTCTCTCCATTCTCCAGATGAATATAATTGATTCTGTCATGTATTCACTGTCTGGCTGACTGGTTGGCTGGAATTTTTTCATTTTGACGATTGAATCAATGATGATCGTTAAGTCAATTTTGATCATTAAAAAAAAGTGAGTTTCAAAATGCAGCAGAGTAAATGTTCGTGGATGGAACTAAAAAAAGAGAAAGAAAGAAAAGGGAAAACTTACGCAAAAGTGTTTTAAGTAAATCATGACGGCCAAGATTACGACCTAATTGCTCAATATTTTGTCCATTATTATCACGTATATCTAAACGGGCACCACGTAACACTAATGTAATACAAATATCACGTTTGGCAGCAATTATTGCTTTATGTAATGCTGTATGACCAAATTCTGGTTCGGCCAGATCGATCATCTGTTGTGTAAATGCATTGGCCAGAAACGATACGGCTTCATCCTGGCTATTCAATACAGCATAATGTAATGCTGACATTCCTTTTTCATCAATCAACATTAGATTAACACCTTTGTGGTGAAGATGTTTCAATAACGATACGTCACCATTACGTGCGGCCAACATTAATTGATTCAATAATGGACGACGATTTGTTTGTGGTGATAGAATCCGATGACGCCGTCTTGGTGATTTTGGTGGTGAATCATCTGCGAATGGCACTGGTGATAATGATGATAATGTGGATGAATTACCATTCTGTTTACTTGGTGATATTATCGCTGATGTATTATCACTTTGAACTTGTAAACGATTCACACGATTCGTACAATCAATATTACTTGGACGTAATTTATCCAATTTACGCATCTGTCTATAATATGGTTCCGCTACAATTGTTGAATCATTGTTATTATTATTATCTGTATCAGATAATGATGATGTTTGTGATGGTGATTTTGATGGTGATTGTTGTGGTGATAGTGGTGATGGTATTGAATCCAAGGTTTTACGATGAAAATGATTGTCAACATCATCATCATGTGGTAAATCTAAGCTATTTGTACGTAAATCTGAATTTGTCATCAAAGTAGTGCTTATAGGAAGACTTTTGGTAACTAAATTTTGATTAGATGTCGCTGTTGTTGATGATGGTGATTGTTCAATGTTTTGATTGGCCAACAACGATTCAATGGCCAATGGTGATGGTGTTGGAGAGGATGATGCCGATGCTGAAGATGAAACACCGGCAACAACTTTGGCAATCACTTCTTCTGATGTGAATAAATCTAGATCATCTTTTTCATCAAATTGTGGATCTAATATAAATAAATCTTCGTGGCAAATATCCACCACATAATAAAGTTCTTCTTGGGCACGGTCAATACGAAAAAAACGTTCAGCTGTTACGGCTATTCAATAAATGATGACAATTTGAAATTTACAAATAAAAAATATATTCAAATACAAAAACTTACAATCAACAAAACACCAATCATTGGAAACAAATTTACAATTTGAAAGTGAATTATTATTCGTTGTCGTTGCCGTTGTTGTAGTGGTTGTTGATGACACATTTTCAAAACAAGTTGCCAATTGTTGTTGCTGCTGCAGATGCTGCTGTTGTTGTCCAGTCACAGCAGAAACAATAACATTTGCTGTTGTCGTGGATAAATCCGAAGATGGCCGCCGTAATCCTTTTTCTTTCATCATTTCATTGATTCTTGCACGTACATTACTCAATTCCATAATCTGATCAATGGTTATGGAACCAAGTACAGTTGCTAAAAGGCGAAAAAAAAAGAAATTTTTTTTTTTTAAAAAATTTAAATTTCAAGAAAAACAATCTACTGAAATACTTACAAACTTCTTTCAATTTCTCTTTATCATAATGATATGTTTCATAATCATTTAGATTCAATTTACGAATCTTCAATGTAATCTTTTCCAATGCAGGCCTGTGTAATATTTCAATGAAAACAGAAAAAAAACCAATCAATAATCAAAGAAAAAAATTTTTCAATAAATTCAGGTGACCAGGAAAATTTTCTTGGCAAGATTTTTTTTTTTTTTTGACCAAAACAGTCAAACAGTGTGTGCAAGTACGGAATTCAAAACGGAAATTAAATTTTTCAAAAAAAAAGAATAAAAATCTTGCCGGTAAAAGAAAAAGGAAAAAGAAATCAAGATTGATTATGAAAATCTTTAATTCCATTTCTGAGTTTCATTCTAGACACAAAAAAAATGAAACGTTCCTGAAACGGTCCAAAACCAAAAACAAAAACAAAAATGACTAAATATTTTTAATGAAAATAAAGCGGCTAAAAAATCCACTTTATTACACTTCAGTTCACGTTTTTTTTTGTTGCCAGAAAACGTTGAAATATTTCTTATCATTAATTTGAGTGGAAAAAAAATTTCATTTGAATTTCAAATTTCATTTTCGGTGGATCTCATGTGTCCACCGACAACATATGTTCTACCTATCATTTTATTCATTTAATATTCATTAATTATGGCTGGTGTTTCATAATTTTTTTCCCCATTCCTACGAATAGACAGACAGACAGGCAAAACTAGGAAAAAAAATTATGACAATTAATGAAAACAAAACACACACACCAGAATCGTTTATTATTGATCAAAACGAAAGGTGTATATTGTTGCTCCTTACTGGTGAAATAATTACAGCTATATATATGAAAAATGAGAAAAATTCTAATGTTCATCATCATCATCATCAAAAAAAAACGGGTGAATGAACTTTTGTCTGTTGGTGATCCAAAAAAAAAAAAAAAATCAGGTCACCAAGAAAAAAAATTCATAACCAAAATTCAATCATCAATTGACCACATGATATACTTACATTTGTCGTTTATGTTCAAATGTTTTTGTATTGGCAACAATATTTGCCTTATTACGTAATTCCAGATTGATCAATGATGGTAATAGACGACATGGTTCACCATCCACTTGCATCGGTATTGTACGTGATGTAACAATTTTTGCACTACGACATTGTGTTATAATTGTACCGTGGCCACCAGCTTGTAATAATGGCTAAATTTTCAATGCAACAAAAAAAAATAGATGAAACGTGAAAATTAAACAAAACGAAACAAAACAAAAAACATTTCGAGTTGATAAATAATCATGCTGAATATGAATATACAAGTTGATTGGGTGTGAGAAAAGTTTTTTTCTTTTGGTTTTTGTTTTCGTTTTTTTTTTTTTATTAAAAGTTTAATTTAGTTTTTTTTCTTCAATTATTTCGATGGAATATTCATGATGATGGTGAAAAAAGTTTCGAGAGAGCAGAGCAAAAAAAAGATCATTATAATCATCGTCGTGTGATGATGATAATTAAATGCAATAAATTTTCTGATGATGACTAATCTTTCATTCATATCTCGTATATAAAGTAGTGGCAGCGATGGTGGTGGTGGTGACCGTGGTGGTAGTGATCATGATGACGGTGACAGCAGCAGCAGTGAAACAAACAAACAACGAAAAAAAAGTGTCAAATTAATCCTCAAAGGAAAATTTCGTTTTTTTTCCACTTTTTCTGTTTTCCCCAGTCAAGTTTCGTCATAGATGATGATGATGATGATGAGGGTTTTTATTTTTCTCTCTTGTTCGCTTTTTTTTTATAAACTTATATTTTTTTTGTCAATAAATAAATAAAAATAAAAAGAAAAAATCTCATGAGGATTAATCAATATGTTTGACTTTTGTTGTTGTTGTTGTTGTTGTTGCTGAAAAAAAAATAATGAGAATCTGTGGGCGTGTGTGTGTGTGTGTGTGTGTTCAGTGGATCTGAAATTTCCGATGAAAAAAAAAAAAAAAGGAATAAGTGAAAAACACTTGTCCAAAGAAAATTCTCTGTGTGTGTGTCAAAAACTTTTTACAAATTTCTTTCGAGAATCACAGGACAAGGATTATTAGAATCAAAATTCAAAAAATTTTTTTTTCTTGAAAATCAATTTTTCCAAATTAATCAAATATATAAAAATCTCAGATTTGATTTGTATATCTGTGTGATGAAAAAAAAATTGCAAAGAAAATGTCAAACGTCACAATCGGTTTTGTTGTGGTTGACAAAATTTTTTTTTTTTTATTTCATTTCGTCTCCACACCATTTTATTGCAGAGATGAGAAAAAAATAAGAAAATAAGAAAACCTGCCCAAATAACAAAAACCAAAAGGTGATGGCAATGGTAATGGCTATGGGCTGCTGCTACTACTATTACCAATGATGATGCAGTTTTGTGATGGTGATGATGATGATGGCCTCAGGAGATTTCAACTTTCAATCCATTAAATTCAATTACATTTTTTCTCTCACTCTCCTGCATTGAATCTAACCTTCAACAATAGAAAATAAATACTGGGTGACGAAAAAAAAAATGAAATGAAATGATAATTGAATAGTGTTTGTCAACGAATAACGAGAGTAACACAAGCCACTGGCATCTACAACAACAACAACAACAACAAAACCAACAAGGAAAAAAAATTGTTTATTTCATTTGAAATTCATGGAATTTTCACATACGAAAAATTATGTCGCACCACCAACACCATCACACTTGATGACATTATCATCACAATGGACATTTGCATAAATATATATCGTATGTAAATGAATAACTAAATCAAATGCAACGCAAACGAAAAAAAAGGTGATAAGAATTTCATGTGTGACATCGTCATCATCATCATCATCATCATCAACCGAAAAAAATGATGATGATGATGATGGTCTACGGAAATTCTAAATTAAAAAAAAAATTTACACATGTACTAATCACACAACAAATCCAAGTGCAAAAGGATAAAAAATGAACAGAAAATTCCAAAGAAAAAGAATCGTGAAATTTTTAAATTATTCATATATGAAGCGAAGAATATTCATGAAATGAAATGAAAAAAAAATTTCAAATCTTTTCATCATTTCATCTTATTCTTGCATCCACACACGCACACAAAAAAAATGTAACGACAACAAATGATGATGACGAATACTGGAAAAAAAGTCAATTTTTTTCCACTTCATTTCTTGTCTACCACAGAATCATTTCTAAATGTTGGATTCGCCACCACCACCACCAACGCATATAGAACCAAAAACAGACAATAGAATTTTGTCAAACAGAAAGAATGAAAGAAAGAATGAAAAAACTTTTAAAATAGAAACTTTATGAAATGAAAACTGGAAATTCAACACCTAAATACACAGCAGCAATAACCAAAAAAAAAAAAAAAAAAATTTAAAAAGAAATCGAGAAAAGCAATCGCAAATGGTGGAATTGAAATTGATTTTATTTTGAAATATCAATATCGATTTAACAATCGCGTCATCTTTGTTGTTGTTGTTGTTGTTGTTGTTGTTGTTATTGTGCAAACAACGATAGAAAAAGGTACATGGTATTTGTATGCTATACCAACAATTTCTGTTTCAATATTTCCACATGAATAACTTATACATACGCGAATTATTTAAATGAGATTGAAAGAAAGGCAAACAACAGCAACAAAAACGAAAACGGAAATGCGGCCGATTGTGATTCACATATATTCACATATTGCAAAAAGAAATGGACAAAACTTATTTTAAAAAATAAAATGGATCTGGATAAACTTTGAATTATTCATTGGAACCAAAAAAAAAAAAAAAAATTCTTCATAAGCTTCTCATCATCAATTCACATTCATTCATTCATTCATTCATCCAATTCGGTCCACATGTTTTATGTATTTAGCATCATTTTCATATTAATCTCAATCATCATGATCATGAAACTCATCCGTCATCATCATCATCATCATCAATGCAATACAATCATGATCATTACGAATTTTTTAAAGATTCATATATGATGAAATTAAAGAAAAAAATAAATAATGACAGTAAAGCCAACATTTAAGGGGCCAATATCCATATAATGCCACCACCCACGCATTCACACAGAAACTGGATGATATTTTTGGAGAAATAAAAAAAACCAAACAAAATTCAGTGAATAAACGAGAAACAGATTCATCATCATCATCATTCAATTCAATTCACTCAGTCATCAGATGTTTTTTTTTCGTTTTAGTTTTCGCTGTGAAGATATCAAATTATCAATTTGTTGAAAATAAATGTATAGCGTAGAAATTGATTGATTCTTCTTACGAAATAAAGAACCGGAGAAAAATTTACATATTTATGGGAGAGAAAAAAAAATCCAAAATAAACACATTACCAATTGATATGTAGTCAATCCAATCACTTCGATATAACCATCATCGGTTTTCGGTGTCTGTAGATTTGATGGTGCCGATGATGTTGGCCATGGTCGTGTGCCGCCACCATAGCTAGATTATCATAAAATAGAAAAAGAGACAGAATGAAAAAAAAAATTAAATTCCAACTTTGCATGTCAAAAACTGATCATTATCTACGACAACAAAAAAAAAAAAAAATTCTGGACATCAACATGGAGTGTGTGTGTGTGTGTGTGTATGGAGAATCAAATTGCAAAACATTTAGTTTGGTTTTTCAAGTTTCATCTAGCAAATAATTTACTTTCCAAAAAATCATCATCATCATCATTATTATTATTATATATTGGATCGGAAAACAAACAAAACTTTTTTTCCACCGCTTTCTCTGCCATTGAAAATGACAATCATCAACCACAAAAGTTGAAAATGTACTCGCCAAACCCGAAAAACAATTGAACAAAAATCACAAGCACGCAATCAATGATTTATGGATCCAGTGCACAAATAGCAGCAGCAGCGGCCACAGCAAAAACAGCAGTCATTCTGTGTTTCTATTTTTCTTACACCAGAAGAAAAAAAAACTGGCAAGGAATGCAGAAAAAAAAACTTTTTTTTTTAGTCTGTGTTTCCATTTCTAATTTAGCCAATCAATGATTTTTACCTGTCATTAAATTGCCATACATAAACACACACACACACACGGCAGAACAAAACAAAAAGAAATCAAATCAAAATCGGTAATCGAAACACACAAAAAACACAAGACTCAGAACAAAAAAAAAAATGTACAAAGAGAACAAAAACTTTTAGAAAACCTAGAATTTTTGTAATTAAAGATTAATTAGTGTTAATCACGAACAAGACAGAAAATTTGATATTCATGATGGGCGTGGTCTAGTGTGTGCGTGCATTATTAGAGTTTTTTTGTTGTTGTTGTTGACACACCCATTCAAATTCAATTTCGAATTTTGGTTTTTTTACATTGAATTAACGTTTTCATGATTTAATTATTTCGTGTGTTTTTATATGCAAAAATGAGTTCAGCGAATTTTTTGTTTTTCGTTTTTCAGAATCAAGAAAACACAAACTTTTGGCCAAAAGAAATGATCCCGTTGTCAGAACAAAGGTGGTGGTGGTGGTGGCAATATTTGATTATAATGATCTTGGTAATGTTGATGATTGATTCGGAAATTGTGGAATTGAAATTATTTCTAATCAGAGAATCAGATGAATTACAAGCATATCTAATATATCGAAATTATTATTGGCATGAAACATTTGAATGTCAAAAACGTTTAAATGAATTAATACGGACAACAATAACAATGGCCACCATTGGTGATAATGTATTCCGATTTCAAAATGATCATCGTATCAGTATATATCCAAACATCGTAAAACGATATGACCACCGAAAACATCGGTTACATTTATTAGATTCAAAAGGTTTCAGTGATTATGGTGCATATGAATTAAAATGGGAAAAGATTATAGAAAAATTATATGAACATTATCATATACGTTATCAGCCACAAATAAGAGCAACAATAACAGCCGATTATCCAATAGAATTAACAATGGAAAAAGATGAATTTCAACAGCAACAAATTCCATACATATTGCATTTATATGCATGGAAAAATGATGATAATGATTATGAAAATTATGAACGATTAATGTTTCGTGAATGGCAACAAACAACAAATGTACAAACTATCAATAGAAAATCGAGAACAAATGAAAAAATTTTCAATATAATCAATATCTCTATTGATGGTATTTATTATCGTATAATGTCATTCATCATGACAGATCATGATCCATCATCATCATCATCGGTGAGAATATTCGAAACAATCGATATTGAAAATGAAATACAATATGCAATGGTTTGTTGGTCAGTTGATGAGCGAATGATTTATTTGGAAAAAAATTTAAAAAAATCCTGCACACCTAATAACAACAACAATACCAGTGATCAACAGTTATTCAATCAATTTGAATTTGCATTCAATCTGATGGATAATTTATATTTCATTTCCATTAGATATCAACAGATATTTTTTACATCAAAAAAATTAATGATCGAATTGAATAGAAAATTTCCATTTGAACGTTTAAATTTTCATCAATTTTTCTATTGTGATAATCAAACTAGATTTGATCAAACAAATTTTGATAACATAAATGATACGGAAACAAAAAACTTGACATTGCCCATTCAAATGAAATATTATTATCGGCGGCCAAAAATGGAAAAACCAAACATATTGAAAGCATTCATTGAGATTATTATTGGCATTAAATATCTATTCATAATCACCTATCTGCTATTCACCCTTTATATATTGCAAACATTTGAAATGAATCAATGGCTAGATAATCTTTGGTTTATGGGCGGTAGCAGCAGCAGTACAGATGTCGATGGTACTACTAGTAGTGGCCATCAAAATCAACTAAAACATCAACTACTACTACTACCATCATCGCAGCAACAAGAAATGGAACAAAAAATGATGAAAATATCCACTTTCAATACAAATAAACAGATATTGATTAATGAACAATTTATACAACATCAACAACATCAGCAACAAACACAGAATGATAAGTAATGTTGAAAACAAAAACAAAAACAAACCACACAACTACTTACCTTGGAATATTTAGAAATAAAACTGAATGTACTTTCAATTCTTTAAGACGTCCAGTATAATCTTTACCATCACATTCAAGATTAACATAATTACATAGATCTTTCCATTTACGTTGCAACAGATCTTTACCACCTGCTTGACCATAAAACATTTTATTTCTTAATCGTGAATTAAAACGTTCTGGATGTGCTTCACGTGCTTCATGAAAACTAAGCGCTATATGGGCATCAACACCGATTGAGAAATAATTATTCACAACATTCAATGGTAATTCACGTTTGGCTCCTTTATTTTCTTCCGTTAACATTTGTTGTTGTTGTTGTTGTTGCTGTAATTGTTGTTGCGTGATACATGAATGATTTGGCTGTACTTTTAGATTCCAACGATCCAATTGTACAATTTGTCCATCTTGAATGTTGCAAAGAATTTTCGCTATTGGTTCATCCGTATAGGATCCACCCCAACCAAATGCACGTGCTAAATCATTACCAGTACCTAATGGCAGCACCGATATCGGTGGTGGTGGCTGTATGGCAATTTCATCGATAGCTGATAATACCCATCCAGCTGTACCATCACCACCACATGCTAATATACGTAGATTATGTACTTTTTTATATAAATCTAATCCAAGTCTTGGACCACCTTGACTAAGATCAAAAACTTGTCGTGGATTCAGATGCCATTGAAATTTTTGCATCAATTTTACACCTTGATTACCACCTGATTTTGGATTTATAAACACCAACAATGGACGTAGATTGGTCGATGGTATTGGTTTAATTACAAATGATCGATGTACGTGTTGTAAATATTGTTCAACACGATTATTGACCACTTGAACTGGATTTGTTTGATGATTATTATGATGATGATGATGATGATGAGGACCACTTGTACAACCAACACTAGATAATAAATTTGTAGAACCATTTTGACCAACGGATGTTGATGTTACATTTGCATGACTATGACGTCGATGTCTTGTAACACGATTATTGTTATTAGCAGTAACAGTTGTATAAACAATTGGTGTTGTTGTTGTTGATATTGCAGTGGCTGCTGGTGATGTTGTCATAATCGATTCTATCGATTGTTTATTATTATTGTTATCATCACCTTTATCATCACTAATGTTATCATCATTATTCATGAATGGTAATGATAAATTATTCTTTGTAATTTGTTCACTATTCTCATCATCATTATTATCAGATATCAAAGATGAATTTAATTCTTTATCATCATGATGATTATCATAAATTGATTGTGAATTCATAACAGGAAGAGGTTGTTGTTGTGTTGGTTGTGATAATGATGATGATGGTAATGGTGGTGGTGGTATTACTGGTGGTGGCAATGATAATGAAGATGATGATGATGATGATAATGTAGATAAAAAAGATTCAGACATCACAGTCGTTGTTGTTGTTGTTGTTGTGGTATTGGTGGTGGTTGTTGTTAGATTTATAGTGGAAGCTAAAGTTGTAGAAGGTGGGTGTGATTGTGGTGGTAGTAGATGAGAAGGAAATGTTGTTGTTGTTGTTGTATTTATCATTGCCATTGATTGTATCGATGATGTTGATGATGGCAATGGATAATAATCATTGGCTGTTGTCATTGTAATTGAAATCACATTTAAATTATTCGTTGTTTGACAACCAGAATTCGAAACAATGGCTACAGCAACCGTAGAACTAGTAGCAGTTGTGGCACTATTGGTCATTGATGTTGATATTTTATTCGTTGAAACTGTTGTAGATGATGATGATGATGATGATTTGGTTGATGAACGTTTTTTCGATGATAAACGTTTATTACGTGGTGTACGACGTATTGATGATTTAAATGATCCCTAATGGTCGTTATTGAAATTGAAAATTAAACGAAAAAAAAATTGAAATGAATACAGCAACATTTACATTTAGGAAAAAAAAAATAAAATAAAATTCCGGTTCTAATTCATAGAAACGGAAATGCAACCAGAATACATTACATTACATATTTAAATTTACCAGAAAAAAAAATTAAAAATTCTGGTAATGGTATTTTTAGCAGAATCGAAAAATAAAACATTCACATTCATTTTGTTTATTTTATTTTTTCTCTTCCATCTTCTTCCACCTTGTTTACCTGATCAATAGACATTGATGGTGGATGATGATGATGATGATGGAAAAAAATCAAAGTAAATGGCAAATGAAATTCAAATCAGCATTTTTTTTTTTGTTCAGTTTGAATATCATTATGTGTGTCATTATCATTTACGATGATAATGATGATGGATTCTTGTTCCTGTTTACCATCTTCATCATCGTTTTTTTCCACTCGGTTTCTCATTGATTTTATGCATTATATTATATCAACCATTAAATTTTGAATATAAAAAATGCAACGAAAAAAAACGATGACAAAAGCAAATTTTTGCATTTTATTTTTCGCCGAAAGGTGTTGTCGTTGTTGTTGATGATGATGTCAGGATTTTTTCGTTTGTTTGGTTTTCCATTTATTTGATTCGGGTATAGAAAAAAAAAAAAAATGGAAAAGTTGGTTCCATTAAACATAAACCAGAGGGCGTTTATCGAGAAAAACCAATAATAATGGTGAGAGAAACAAAAACATAAAGTTAATTTCCGCACGAATAAATTATCGAATCGGAAATAGAGAAAAACAGAAAGAACAAAAAAAAATCAATCAACCAATTAACCATTGGTTTGCTACATACACACACACACCACTAAACTAATTTGACCAGAACACATCGACAACAACAACAACAACAACAACTGGAAAAAGTTGACTAGAAAATTTGTCAATTTGTTAGAATTTTCTGTTGTTGATGATGATTTTAATAATTTAGATTCGTTACTACTAGTAGTAACAGTAGCAGTAGTAGTAATGATATTCTGTGGATTTTTTTTCCCCATTAAAAATTCTATTGTAATCATCATCATCATCATCATGGTTATAATTAAAGAATTCAAGGACAGGAATTTTTTTTGTTTCCATTCAGAATAATGGCTTGACGACAAACACCAACAAGAAAAGAATTTAATTAATTATTTAATTTAATTTAGACATATATATGTGAACAATCAATTTAATCAAATAATGAATGAAATGAAAGAAAATTGACCAATGTCCAATGTTGACTGGCCATTAAATAGGATGCAACGAAATAGAACTTTGATCCTTATGTATGGGCGGTATGCGACCAATCAATAAAGAAAAATTCCATGATTAATGATACACTCTAAAGACACGGAGAATAGAAATTTTGTTGAGAAAAAGAAATATCAACAACAAAACAGCGGTGGTAGGTAAGTTTCAATTCATCCGACAAACAAAAAAAGGTTGCCAATTTCCTCCGCCAGAAATGAAATGATCACATAGTGATGATTAATCATTCATTTCCTGTTTCATTTGGGCATATCAAATAGAAATTGAATTGATTCATTTTGATTACATACATACATTCGTAATCTTAACCTAATGCAACATTTATAGGATTCTGATTCATTTTCATGCGATAAAAAAAAACGGAAAATATAATCAGAAATTAGAGTTTGGAAAATGAAATGAGAAAAGTTAATTAAAAATGGAAATCTAAAATGGATCGTGTTGTTGGCGTAATTTTATTCCTGGCGTCTCTCTATCTATCCATCACGCATCATCTATCATGCATATGCAAATGATTTCAACTTTTTCGAAACAACAACAACAAATGACAAGAGAAACATACCTTTCGTGGTAATTTAACAATCCATGATGATGGTACAATAATACGACGATAAAGGCCAAAATCACAATTATCTTCGAGCATATTTTTTGTAAAACAAGGTTCCTTATTATGATATGATGATTTACACCATGAACAACTGACGGCAACCACTTCCTATTATTGGTTGTTGTTGTTGTTGAATGGAAACAAAAATTGTAACAAAAAAAGTAAAAAAAAATTGAAGTGAAACAAACGCAAAAAAAACAAAATTGAAAATCCTAAAAAAAAACAACAAAAATCCACAAACAAGCACATAGCCTGAAGGGGTTAGTGCATGGTTGTTATTGTTGTTGCTGATATACTCATAAAAGATGAAAAACACGCCCACCCAATTATTAATGATAACAACAACAACAACAACATACCTTATTACCGAATGATAATTTTGATTGGAATGATTTTCCACAATGTTTACAGCGGCCTTTTTCATGGCGACGATGTACCCAATGATGTTTTACAAATGTTTGCTAACATGAACAAAACAAACACGTAAAAAAAATCAATAATCAATTAATCATAAAACCTTAATCACACACACACACACACATACCTCACGATATTGTCGTACACCATCTTTGAATGTGGGTTTACATTGAAATTTCATGTTATCAATCAATATTGATATACAACCAGTGTGTGCGGTCACTTTGCATGCTGGACAACAAAGTCTTGGTCCGATTTTCTTTATATATTCGGTTGGTTGGTTTGGTTTGGCACATATTTAAAAAAAAGAACGGAAATCAATATATTTACAGCCAGGAAATTCGATTATTCCATTACATGTGGTAGGAAAAAAGCGGTGGTAGTGGGGGAGGGAAAAAACCATTGTAAATTCAAATCATGAACGCCAAAAAAACAACGGGAAAAAAATAAACAGTAAACTTACAGTGCATTTATTTTCGCCAACATAACAAAGATCACTACCCGAAGTGGATGTTGATACCCATATATGGTCTCCAAGGATTGCTGATTCCTGTTCGCCAGTTGATTATGATGATGATGAAAAAAAATCCAAGATTCATAATCATAATCATTGATCATTGTCGTCGTCGTCATAGAAAACAGAAAACTTACCGTCCAATCTGGTGCTGAACGTAATACTCGTGTTTCACCATTTTCAGCTTGAATTTTAATTTCACCTTGTACGGTTTTTCTGTAAACGAGAAAACAAAACAAAACAAAACGAAAAATTAACATTTCGACCACACAGTGAGAAGAAAAAAAAACCATTGGAATCGGTTTTTGTGTGTGTGTGTGTGAGGGGGTGGGGCTATTTTTTTCAACAAAAAAAAATAAATTCATGACCGATACTGTTGATGATGATTAATTGTATGACGACGTTTAATTGCACGTCGTCGTTGATATGAATCCCATTGATATGATGATGATTGTAAAGATTTTTTCTTTGTCTTCGTTGTCGTCGTCGTTATCGGTTTATTATGTTTAAATGATGATGATGGTGGTGATAAATTTATTAAAATTTTATCTTCATCATCAATTGGTGATGATGGTAAAATATCACTAATAATCGTAGAAAATATTGTCGTCGTAGAGGTCGTTGTGGTCGCTGTATTCGGTGGTAAACAATTAAATTTTGATGCAGCCGTTGATGATAATAAACATATGGTATTGACATTCATTTTTCATTTGATGATTCTTGTCATCATCATTGATCAAATTTTCAATAATTTTTTTTTCGTTTATAAAAAAAATGTACAACAACAACAAACAAACAAAGAATAATAATGGTTAAGACACTTGAATATAGGCAACAGAATGGACGGAACAAAATTGAAAAATAGTCAAAATAAAGGTCATTGAAATTTCTAGAAAAATAAAGAAAAAAAAAAAATTCAATTTTGTCTGTTTTAATTCCATCATCATCATCATCGTCGTTCGTCAAACAAATTCTTATTCATTTTTCGTTCAACATTTTTTTTCCTCCACACTATTTATCCTTCAATCGATCAATCAATCGATTGATTGATTAAATTCAATCAAGTTCAATGTTTCGACTGATCGTGAGAATCAATCTTGTGGAAACCGCAGCAGCAGCAGCAGCAGCAACAGCAGCAACCGAACATTATTATTTTCAATCAAATCAGCAAAGAAAAAAAATTCAATGATGATGGTTCGTTCGCTTTTTCAGTTTTTTTTGGTAAAAATTACATTTTATTCGCTTCAAATAATCACATCATCGAACATCATTCGATGAGAATCCAATCAAAATGAATAAATAAAAGTAAACAATTTTATCAGCCAGAAGTGAAGAAAAAAAACATCAAAACTTTTTTTTTTGATCCACAGACAAGAAAATCAAAATTTATTTTCATGAAAAATAAAACCCAAAAAAACGATTAAAATCGATGCCAAAAATTTTTTTTTTCCTCCAAAACCCATTATCATCATCATCGTCGTCGTTGTTGTTGGAGAAAAAAAATTGCCTTTCTGAATCTCTCGACACACACACACACACACACCCAAAGACAAAACAAAGCAAAAAAAAAAAAATGACAATATGGCAACTGGAAATAATTTTTTTTTCATTCCTTCTGATTTTCGGTTCGGTTCGGTTCCATCTTGATAAATCATGATGATGATGATGATGATGTTGAGGGATCATCATCATTGTAATCATCATTTGATAACAAACACACACACACACACACACATTTGCTTTATGTTCTATTTCCACCGTCATTTATTCACTCACTTTTATTCCTGTCTTTTTTTCAGCTTTCTTTATGAAGCTTTTCATACAATGTTCAGATACAGTAAAATGAAGATGATATCTTGACAACAACAACAAAGAAACAAGAATCTGACTCTGTGTGTGTGTGTGTGTGTTGAGGGGGCGAATGTATTTAATGTCTAGGCGTCAAAGTCGCCACCACCACCACCCATAACATCATCATCATCAGTAGTAGTAGAAATGGAAAATAATTCTATACTCTACTTGAAAGCTCAAACAACAAATTAGACATCAACAACAATGAAAAAAAAACAAAACGTAAACATGAAGATGACATTTACTGAATCCATACAATAAAGACAAGAAAAGATTATTTCCTATTCCGGAGATCAAGAAAGAAAAAAAAGGATTTATATTCCTTCACATACACACAAATGTAGCAAGATAAAAGCCCTGAAAATGGAAGAAAAAAAAACAAACGAAGAAATCTTTTCATCATCATCATCATCATCGTATACAATTTCAGTACATTTGCAGTTTCAGTGTTTTGTTTATTTGTAACCGTGGTGGTGGTGGTGGTGGTTGTGGTGGTGTTGAACCATAAACAAAACACTGGGTAATATGCACATACACACACACAGTGAAAAAAAAGATTCTGGTTCACTTCATTTACACTTTCGTGTGTGCATTTCATTTTCATTAGGGCAATTCATTTTATTGTTGTTGTTGTTGTTCCAGAACAGTACCACAACAACAACAACAACAACAATAGAGAGCAACATAGTAAAAAAAAAATCATACAGCACAAACAAAAGTGATGAGAAAAAAAAGAGAATCCTGTTCCAAGAAAAAAAAACAAAGAAAAATGACCACCAGAAACAGAAATTGTCAGTGGCGAAGAAACAAAATTCAAACATTCAAAATGTGATGAAAATAAATAAATAAATAAATGAAAAAAAAATGTCAAATATGAAAACGAACGGTCACCAAACTACAAAGTAAAAAAAAACCACCATCAATCAAATTTGGTATTTGGTCACATTCGACCAGAATCCAAGAGAAGAAAAAAAACATGTAAACATCAAAACTAAATCGACCAAATCGAAGAATCAAGAAAAAAAAAAATAAGAGCAAACGCGTAAACAAACCATAAACATAAACAACGAATACAGAGGAAAAAAAATGTTGGAAAAATGTTCATTCAACATGGGATTATCCTATGGGGAGCAATCACCATCACCACCAAACAACCAAACAACCAGAAAAAAAATTGAGAAAAACCAAAGGCCAAATATCCACTGTTATATGACGATGACGATGATGGAATAACGGTAATAAAAATAAATTATGTAAAAAAAAAAAAAATTTTCACAGCACACCATCAACATCATGATCATCATTATTGCTGCATAATAAAAAAAAGTGCAATTTTCATTTTTCCAATGGTGAAAAAAAGTGCAAATTTTTCACCTGGTAAAAATTCACAGTTTTGGTCAACCAATTTCAATGTGAAATTGAGAGCAAGAGATGAAAAAATGAAAACTGAACCAAAAAACAAACAAGAATTTCGAATGTAATCACAACAACAACAACAACAAAAATTTAACACATCATAATAAAAACTTTTTGATAATCAAAAACAAAGAAATGAAAAAAACCCGGATCTAAGATTTTTTTCTGTTTGATAAATTGATGGAAAACAAATGATGTTATCTTGTTGTGGTGGCCATGGAGATCAATCAATCAATCAATCAATCAACCAGTCAACTGTCTGTCGATATGTGTCGAAAATTTGCCTAGAAGCAATTTTTGAATAAATAAAAATGAACAGTTTTTTCACCGTCGTTTTGTTTCAAGATGAATGAAATGAAAAAATCAAAAGAAAACAGAGCAAAGATTTTTGCAATCACAGGAATGAGAAAAAACACATTGAAAATCAAAGTAGTATTGCAATCTGGTGAAAGATATCCACCGAAATGTGCACTTATTTATATGTGGTGGTGACAACCACACCGATTGCACTCATCAAAAAAAAAAAAAAAAATAAAAAGAAAGCAGTGGTTTAACGACGACGATGATGATGATGATTGTCGATCATTATCATTAATATGTGTCTATGGCAATCAAACAATTAATTATGATGATGATGATGATGATGATAATGACCCAGTGAAATGCTGAAACACACATCAATCAATTGTGGATGGATTCATCTAGAAAAAAAAATCAACAACCTATACAACCTACAACAACCAACAACAGTGTTTCATATGAATATTTTTTTTTTCACTTACAGCTCACAATGTTGTTGTTGTTGTTGTTCGCCATCTTTTTTACTTTTTTGTTCTTCTCTATGTGTGTTTATAATAATAATAATAATAATAAAAACTTTCAATCGATTGATTGATTGATTCAATTCGATATGCTCAATAATAACAATAATATATAATATAATATACCACCACAAGCAGCATAGAGAACACAACCATCACCAATAATAATAACAACAACAACAACCATGACGATGATGATAAGCAGAAGCAACAAAAACAGAGAAAAAAAATTCTGGTTTCATCGTCATCATCATCATCATATCCTTTATTGCCAAAAAGAAAAAACAAAAACACAATGATGATGATAATGATCAAAATTAAAATAAAGCAATCAACCAACCAACCAGCCAACCAATCAACCACCATGACTACAGAATAAATGGTGATTCTGTACATGATTCCGATTCTATCCATATGTAATGTATATGAGGAGCGAGAGTGAAAAAAAAATAAAGGTAATTTTCATCTGTTTGTCAATCGTTGAATTTGTGTGTGTGTGTGTATCTGTGTGTATGTCGTAATCGAATTCTGTTTCGTTTCGAAAAAAAAATTGGAAAAAAAACTTTTTCGTTTCGTCTCTATTTATTTTAGATCAATTAGCTGTTTGTTTTGTTTTTTGTTTTTTTTTTTTTGTTGATTGAGAAATAATAAATTTTCATTGAAAGAATGGAAGAAAAAAACAATCATCATCATCATCATCAAAAGAAGCCTAAAAAAGATAAATAAAAGTGGAGCAACCCAGAATCAGTTAATCCACCATATTTATCCCTCAAATTTTTTTTCGCTACTACTACCACCACCACCACTACTACGAATACTACACCTATTTTTTTATTATTATTACCAGAATCCATCTAGATTCTAGATCATCATCATCATCATCATCATCATTGCAAAATGATCGACAATTACACAACAAAAGAGAATATGGTGAGATATAGAATATTCTTTGTTTTTTCCCCTCCCAAAAAAACATTATCCAAGTGTTGCATAATTTACAATCTACTGTCTACAATATATAAAATGTTTCTTTATCCCGATCTTTTTTTTCAAGTAAACCTTATGTCGCAATAATCATCATCATCATCATGATCTAAATCCACGCAAGAATGATGAAAATAAATAAAAATAAAAAAAATTCTCTAAGAATCATCAACAACACAATGACAAAAAAGAAGAAATAAATAAATAAAAAAAAGAATGGACAATGTAACTACTATTAAATTGATAATGGAATTCATAAATGCAGAGAGAGAGAGAGAGAAAAAAAAGATAAATTTTGCGTGACACATTTTTTTGCGGGCAACAAAACTACTATCATCATGATGAAATAATTTTGTGGTTCATTCATAAAACGGAAATTTGATGATCAAAATCGACATCTGTATACATACAACACCCAAATTAAAGAATAAAAAGGTTGTGTGTGTGTGTGTGATAGAGAGAGAGAGAGAGAGAGAGAGAGAGAGAGAATATTCTCAAACTTTTGCTCCAAAATAAAATTTATTCATGCACCACTACAACAATGACTGCTACTACTGTTGAGCAAAGAAAAAAAAAAATGATTCTATAATTAGATCAAATCAAACCCACACACACACACACCCACAAACAAAGACAGATGTTCAAT